CAGTGTAAGATGGGATCTCAGAGTGGTTTTGATTTGTATTTCCCTGATGACTAAGGATGTTGAGCATTTCCTTAGGTGTCTTTCTGCCATTTGAGATTGTTCTGTTGAGAATTCTCTATTTAGATCTGTACCCTGTTTTTTTTATTGGATTATTGGTAGTTTGATTTCTAGCTTCTTGAGTTCTTTATATATTTTGGAGATTAGCCCTCTGTCAGATGTGGGGTGGGTGAAGATCTTTTCCTATTCTGTAGGGAGCTGTTTGGTCTTGCATGTTCTTTGCTTTACAGAAGGTTCTCAGTTTCAGGAGGTACCATTTATTAATTGTTGCTCTCAGAGTCTGTGCTACTAGTGTTCTATTTAGGAAATGGTCTCCTGTGCCTATGTGTACAAATGTATTTCCCACTTTCTCTTCTATGAGGTTCAGTGTGGATGGATTTATACTGAGGTGTTTGATCCATTTGGACTTGAGTTTTGTGCATGGTGATAGATATGGATCTCTTTGATTCTTCTACATGTTGAGAGCCAGTTATATCAGTAGCATTTGCCAAATACATTTTAGCTTCTTTGTTAAAAATTAGGTGGTCTTAGGTGTGTGGGTTGATATTGCGGTCTTTGATTTGATTCCACAGGTGATATATATATATATATATATATATATATATATATATATTTTTTTTTTTTTTTGGTTTTACGAGACAAGGTTTCTCTGTTTTGGAGGCTGTCGGTCCAGCCTGGCCTCGAACTCACAGAGATCTGCCTGCCTCTGTCTCCCGAGTGCTGGGATTAAAGGCATGCGCCAACAACGCCCGGCATCCACAGGTGATATATTTTTAAGCATACCTTATTTTAATATGATGATCTCCAGTTCCAACCATTTTACTGCAAATGACATAATTTCATTCCTTAAGAAAAAAATTTTGTTTTGCAAGGCAGGGTTCCTCTGTGTAGCATTGGCTATTCTGGAACTCACTCTATAGACCATGCTGGCCTGGAACTCACAGAGTTCTTCCTGTGTCTGTTTCCTAAGTGCTGCAATTAAAAGTGTTTGCCACCATCCCCATTTTTGATTTTTTTTAATGTTGTGTGTGTATATGTGTGTGTGATTGAGGATTCAGCCTACAGCCTTACATGTATTAAGCAAGTGCAGTACCACTAAGTTATTGTAGTAGTTTGAATGTAACTGGTCCCCATAAGCTCACAGGGAGTGTCACTTTTAGATATGGCTTTGTCAGAGTAGGCATGGCCTTGTTGGAGGAAATGTGTCACTGTGGGGTCTTATATGCTTATATGCTTTGAGGTCTTATATGCTCAAGCCATGCTTAGTGTCTCAGACCACTTCCTGTCGCCTGAGGGTCAAGATAATGTACTCTCAGGTCCTTCTCCAGCACTATGCTTGCCTGCATGCCACCATGTTACACCATGATGATGTTGCAGAATATTAAGACCTGTTACATTTGTTTATGCTGTGAAGCATTTGTTTTAATGATGTAAAGATGTGTTGTGTTTTTTATGTTGTATTTGTTTTACTGTGAAGCTATGATTCTTTGCCTATCTAAAACACCTGATGGTCTAATAAAGAGATTAACGACCAATAGTGAAGCAGGAGACAGGATGAGTAGGGCTGACAGGCAGAGAGAATAACGAGAAGGAGAAATCTGGAAGGAAAGGAGAAGGAACAAGAGAACAAGAAGAGGAGGACACTAGGGGCCATCCACCCAGCTACACAACCAGCCACAGAGTAAGAGTGAAAATGAGATTACAGAAGTAAGTAAAGGTAAAAGCCCAGAGAAAAAAGGCAGATGGGATAATTAAAGTTAAGAAAAACTGGAAGGAAACAAGCCAGGCAAAGGCTGAGCATTCATAAGAAAAAATAAGACTCTGTGTGTGACTGATTTGGGAGCTGGGTGACAGGTCCCCCAAAAGAGCCAAAAGAGTAAAGAGTAAGAGTAAAAACAACAATACCATGATGGTAACAAACTAAACATCTGAAAATGTAAGCAACCCCAATTAAATGTTTTTCCTTTGTAAGTGTTGCCATGGTCATGATGTCTCTTCACAGCAATAGAAACCCCGACTAAGGTAGTAATATGCCTTACTCGCTTTTTACTTTAAAAGATTTTGGAGACATGGGCTTGGAGGATGGTTTAGGGGTTAAGAGTGCTTGTTGCTCTTCAACAGGAATAGAATTCACTTAAGTCTGGTGGTTCATATGTAATTCCAACTCCAGGGAATCTGACAGCCTCTTCTGGTCTCCATGAACACCTACAGGCATGAAGCATATATACACACATACATAAATAAAAAAATAAATTTAAATTTTTCTTTTGGAGAAGACTCTCATTAAGTTGTACAGGCTGACCTTGAACTTGTGACAATCCTGTTTTATATTCTCAAGTAGATATGTGCCCCTACTCTTAGCTACATACCCCCCCCACAGGGTTTCTCTGTGTTGCCCTGGCTGCCTGGAACTCACTCAGTCTAGATATGGCTTCAAACTCATATCTAGAAAAGCTCAGAGTGAGCCAAGAAGACATCAAGCACAAACTAGGCTTAACAGTGGGTTAGCTGAATGGGTGACAAGCTGGAGTGAACAGGATCAGGTAGCTGATTGGACCCTAGTCAGTGGTGGCACTCACCTTTAATCCCAGCACTCAGGAGGCAGAGGCTAGCCAGTCTCTTGAGTTTGATGCCAGCCTGGGTGAGAATGGCCAGGGCTACATAGAGAAACTGCCTGGAAAACAAACAAACAAACAAATGAAGCCAATTAGATTAGGTTCATCTTAGCTTACTTACGTTGGCAGGAATCATTTTTTTTTTAAAACGTGCTTTCAAACAAAAAGCTGTTTGATTTCAAGACAGGAGAGAGTTAACATGGCAACAAATGTTTAAAAATGACTCAAAGATTTTACTTGATTATAAACTTAAGTATAAAACGGGCAAAGAAAAAGATGCAGTTCCTTTAAAAAAGTTAGCGTGATGGGTGGGTGCTAGAGAAATAGCTCAAGGGTCTAGAGTACTTGTTGCTGTTGCAGAGGGCCAGGGTGCAATTCCTAGAGCCCACTTGGTGGCTTACAACCATCCATAACTCTAGTTCTAAGCGATGTGATAGCCTCGCCAGTACCAGTCACACGTTCGGTGTATATACAAACATGTAGGCAAAACACTCATACATATAAAATAAAGTAATCTAAAATAAAATTTAAAAATCTAGCACAGAGCTGGTCATGAGAATAGAGAAGAGGAAGTGGAGACACAGGGTGATGATTTTTCCGGGAAGGAGAAAGACAAAATAGTAATTAAAAGGTGAAAGCATCATTTAAAAAAAGTGAAGAGCTCTATGTAAATAAGCTAACAGGGAAGGAACTACTAGGGAAAGGCAGAGGGAGAAGATAGTTGATGGAAGAGTAAGAAACGTGGAGTTGGTTTTGAATAGAAATGGGGATGCCTCATCTTTGGAACAAGCCAATGAAATGGGAGTAACTGTTATGTTCAGGAAGGAATTCAGGCGCTTGCTAAGAGCGCAGGCTTATGTTTTCAATTTGTGTGATGAAGTAATTCAACAGTGGGACCGGCTCTGCTGTTTCCAAGACAGGGTGTGCAAGGAGAGCGAGAACAAGGAGAAAGTTAGAAGGGAGGGGGAAGACAGTGCCAGATGGAAGGCATTTGTCTGTGGAAAGCAGAAAGGGCTAGCTTCTTTTCAGGCTCTGTAGGACAGCCACACTGTTCATGACCTCAGCGTCCTCTGGACGCCTTTCTGGCTTATCTCACCAGCTCAGGGCTGTGAGGCCAACTGTGTCAGGGTTATGGTCGAGAATGGTCTGCTTAAGTCTGGGCATGGTGGCTCTACTCTGTAATCAGTAGTTGGGAGACTAAACAGGAACTTGTTGAGTTGGGGGTTAGTCAAATAACGTCACCTTTAATAGCCTTAAGTTCAGCTTTATGTGGTTTTCTTTTCAAACATTCTTATTTTTATCTGTATGCATGTGTGGGTGGTTGCCTGAGAAGGGCAGAAGAATCCCTGGAGCTGGAGGTGAAGATGGATGTGGGAGCTGGGAACAGAACTCCGGTCTCCTGGAAGAGCAGCAAGCATGCTTATCTGTTGAACCATTTTTCTAGCCCATTGTCTCCTTTTTTGTTCGTTTTTTGGAGACAGGGTTTTTCTGAGTAGCCCCGTCTTGGAACTAGCTCCGTAGACCAGGCTGGCCTTGAACTCACAGAGATCCACCTGCCTCTGTCTCTGGAGTGCTGGGATTAAAGGCGTGTGCCACCAATGTCCCCCCCTTCCCTTTTAAATGCAGGACAAAGTCTTTGGGAGACAAGTACCTGAAAAACATATTCTTGCAATGTCTATAACTTCCTGTACGAATTAACTATTTGGTCATGATTACTAAGTAGACAACTGTATTTTTATCAAAAGGTTAGCAGAACCCTAATTCTGGAAGTCTCACTAAGCTAGTACTGACTCATATAATGGTTAAAACCAAATCAAAAACAATTCCATAGAAAACCATAGACTTTTTCTTTTGATTGGGTTTACACTGTGTAGACCCCTCGAACTCATAGAGACCCATCTGTCACTGCCTCCAGAGGGCTGGGACTAAAGGCGTGTGCCACCACGTCTAAACTAAGAAACGTGGACTTTCGGTTGGTAGAAGTTGGTGAGAAACCATTCGTCATTTGTAACAAAACCCCAGCGCCTGTGCAGGGGCCAGCTTTATCTAATAAACGAGCTGCTCTCCGCCCTCTAAAAGACCAGGCAGGCGAATACCCGCAACAGAATGAGCCACGAAATGCAGGCGACGGAAAAAGCCAAGCCTTCGCCTCTGTCTTCCCCAGGACTCCAAAGGAACCCGGGCCAGAACCCGTCCTAGTCCACCAGTTGGGCCACCCACTCGCCCCGGGCCACCAGCATCCCGTCTCAGCGAGTCTCAGCCGGGTCAGCCTGCGAGCGCCTGAGCGCGAAACCAGAGCCACCAGGGGGCGCGTCTGCGCCAAGGCCCGCAGACGGAAGTCCCGCCTCCCGTTTCCGGCGGCAGAAAGGTGTAGCGGCTTCCTGTTTGAGAAAGGTTGCGCTTTGGGCACGTGTGTTACTTCCTCCGGCTCCTGCGTCTTCCTCTGTCCCGTGGATCTTAGACGTGGTAGTCCTTGCAGGCGTAAGGATGAAGGCGGTAAGTGCCCTCGGGACTTAGGGTTTCTTGGGTTGACAGGGTCTCTGCTTTCCTTGTCTTTCCCGTAGGTTTCCACTCTGATCATAGGGGGCGGTGGCCCATGTTGGGGCTGTTGGAAGCTCTATGCAGCATCTACTTCGGGTCCTGACCCGGGTTTAGCTTCTTCTCCCGCTGCGCCCAAGCGCGGCCTCAGGGAGCACTAGGTGTGAGGGCAGCAATGAGCCCTGCATCTGGAGGATGTCAGGCTGAAGAGTTTTTTCAGACTGTGTCGAATCCTTTTTTACACAAGAGAAGCAAGTCCAAACTTCTGTGAACCTACTTTAGGAGGCACCGGACCCGGAGAGGACCCTTTTCCCGATAAAGGAGATAGGAAGACTGGTGATTTTCCTAGATGGAGAGGGAGATTTAGAAGTAGTCTTGGGATTTCGATTGTAAAGCAGTTACCAACAAGAGAATTGGAATCCAAAGGGCATAATTCGGTTTTACCTTTATGTTAGGGATCTTCATCAAGTTACATGACTTCTGTAACCTTCACTTCTTAATTTGTTATGTGAGGATTATTTTATATATATATATAATTATATATATATAATTGGGACGTTTGTGTGCTTTGTAAATAATAAAACACGAAGTAAATGTCAGTTGTTCTTGTTAAAGTAGCCTTTTTTTCTTTTGCTCTGTGTTACATTACAAGCGTTAAGCTAACCTTGAATAGCCATTTACCTCAAGATGAGAGATTCATAACGTTTTCCTCTTCAGATCTTACACAATTGAGAGACCAGATTCAGATCACGGGAGAATCCTGTGCTGAGTAACTGATGCCCCAGTGACATTCTGTAGGATTTGATACTGCCATATGTTGGTTTTAGTTCCTATGCAGGATTCATGGTTGGGAGACATCTGAGGAATTGGTCTGATTTAACTTGTAAACTACTTTCCTTAACCTGCTTTAAAGAATAATCTAGACGTCTCAGTTGCAGTGTCCCTTGTGTTGTTGTTTTCTAGAGAAGAAATAAAAAGCAGGTCCCAAGCTTTCGCAAGTTGATAAAAACTAGTAAAGTGAAACTTGAAAACAAACTAAAAAACAAGCAATTTAAACAACAAAGTACTATCAAGAAGTACCGAAAAGAGCAGAGGAAGCTAAGGCAAGCTGTGAAAGATGCTGTGTCTAAAAAACCCATCCCATTGGAGGACCCAAAGAGCAAACGACCAGGTAATGAGAGCCTTCGCTTACCGTAGTTCTCTTTAGTTATTCTAAAGTATTCTCCATGGAGGTGACTTGTTTTCTAGAAACCGTTTGTCCTGTGTTCAGATCTTTGTAAGTCTAGATAAGGATAGAATGCCTTTATGTTTTACTACAGTCAGTATGAGAAAACATTTCCAGTTAGTATGCACTTTGAGAAAGCTAGCTTCTGCTTTTAGTTGGTCTCGACAGCAGGTCTGAAAATGTATTGGCAGACACTCAGAGCAGCTATGTAAACACGCTGTGATCTACGTGTCAGGGCTGTCACTTGCCCACTCATTGAGAGTTAGCCCAGGCGAGAGTGCTTTGCGTTGGTGTGTTCTGCACTGTGTGGCCAATAGGTTCTTCCTGTTCTTATCTTTATTTTTGTTTTTCTAGACAGGTTTCTCTGTATAGTTCTGGCAGACTTGGAGTTTGCTCTGTAGAACAGACTGGCCTCGAACTCACACAGTTCTGTCTGCCTCTGCCTCCTGAATGCTGGGATTATAGGTGTGTACCACCACTGCCCAGCTGGTACTTCATTTTCTAAACTGCTGATTTTCTTTCAGCCTGTACACTTGAGGGGAAATTCAGGTGTACTTGTCTGGGTTATTTTGTAGAACTATTCAAGAACCCCAGATACTCAAAACAGGAAAAGAATATGACCATTTTGAATCAGGCTGGTTCTGTAGCTGATTTAAATAACTATTTGTTTTCTCGATAGCCATCTTATGCTCATAATCTTGACAGTTTGACCCAGTAGTAACCTATTGTAATGGATAAATGGTCATTTGACTAGAAGCCAGGAAAGGTGGGCTTTTCTCTTGATTTTTGTTGCTAGCCATGTGGTCAATCTCCAATCTAGGAAAAATGAATTGGTTGGTTAGATACTTTGAGAGATCTCTTCTGAGTTTTACAACTTGAAAAATGTCATATGCTGTGAGGCAGTGGTGGCACACACCTTTAATTCCAGCACTCTCAGGAGGAAGAGACTGGCAGATCTCTGAGTTCGAGACCAGCCTGGTCTACAGAGTGAGTTACAGGACAGCCAGGGCTACACAGAGAAACCCTGTCTCTGAAAAAAACTGAAAGAAAAAAAAAAGGGAAAGAAAAGCATAATGTGCTAATAGTTCCTTAATAAAAGTAAAAAGAAAAAATTCCATTCTTACAGCTTAGCATCTAAGTTAAGTTGTGAGAGATGGATGAATATAAGGAAAGGATGGCTGCAAACACTGTTAAATTTGATCTGAAGAAAATTGATGTTTGGGGTTTTTTTCTTCCCTTGTTGCCTCACTTTACTATCATAGGAAGGTAGGTCCTTGGATGAAGTGAGGAGGTGAGAGAGTTAGAGGTATAATGATGGAAAAAAAGATGGTCAACGGAGGAGAAAAAGTTGACCAACAGTACACAACTATTTCTGATTTGAGAAATGCAATGTCTTTTAAAGTAGATAGGTTCATTCTGTGCTGTGTTCACATAGCAATAATTATCAGTCTTACTGCTGTTAGGAAGGTTGAGTTTCCTTAGGGAAAACACTAAGATTGTCTTGTTCACAGTTGAATCTTCTGTATTTATAAGAGGGTTTCTGACCTTGGTTATTTTTTTAATATATAATATATATGTGTGAATAAAAAGGTGAATAAAGAGGAACACAGAAAGTGAGTAGAGAAGGAAGTTAGAATGATGTAGGTTGGGGTTTTGATAGTTATGTAGAAAGGAAAGTGCTGAGTGTGTTAGCAGGAGAATGGTTGAAGTATGCCATGCATTGGAAGCAAGGGAGTAAAAGCGGAGCACACTAGTGTGCAGAACAGCAAGTGGTTGAAGAAATACAGGTCTGTATATGTAGTTAGTAAAACAGAACATTGTCCTAAAAATGATACTAGGACAGATGGTTGAGATCAATGCTTGGGACCTGGCCTGTGGAGAGGGCAGCTGAAACGAAGAAGTCACTGGAGATGAGAAGGTTAATGAATTCAGCCGTTGGTTCTCAGATGCGCTGAGACACAGTTCAGTATACAGGGAGACATTGATTTTCAGATTTCAGGAATCGGAGAGACTAAGATGCTAGCCCTTTGCTGGATTCAGAGTATCTCCACATGGAAAAGGATTGCCACCCAGCATGTCAGTAGTGGGAGTACTGGAGGGTGGGGGGTAAGATAGAAAAAATGCAGAATTTTAATACTTTTCCTTTTTTGGTGGAACAGTTAAAGGGTTGGAGAGGGAAGAGGAGGAGGAAGAAGAAGCCCTTCCTTTAGATATGATGGATGAGGATGACATGCAGCTGATGAAGGATTTGGGGCAGAAAGCATCTTTCCTCACAAGAGATCTTTCTTCTAGGTAATATTTCATCCGGATTATAACTTTTTTTTTTTTTTTTTGGTTTTTCGAGACAGGGTTTCTCTATGGCTTTGGAGGCTGTCCTGAAACTCGCTTGGTAGTTCAGGCTGGTCTCAAACTCACAGAGATCCGCCTGCCTCTGCCTCTGCCTCCCGAGTGCTGGGGTTAAAGGCGTGTGCCACCAACGCCAGGCCGGATTATAACTGTTCATATCTGTACGTGTTACCAATGTGGTTCTGAGCATCAGACCCAGGGCCTTGTATGTACTAGACTAGTATTGTTACTGTGTAGCCCAAGATGGACTGTAACTGACGGTCCTCCTGCCTCAGCCTTCAGAATTCTGGGATTATAGGCATGTATCATGTTGCCTGGTTTACAGTAGGTTTTCTGAATGATAGACCTTTAGGTACCAGTGCTGGTTAGTTTTGTTTTTGTTTCTATTTTTGTCAGTTTGACATAAGCTAGAGTAATCTGAGAAGAGGGATCCTCACTTGAAAACATGTTCCATCAGATTGGCTTATAGCAGTGGTTCTCAACCTACCTAATGCTGGGACCCTTTAATACAGTTCCTCATGTTGTGGTGACTGCTCGGGACCTCCAGCTCACTCCTACTAGATCTGGAAAACCCCCTGCCTGTCTCTCTAAACCTCACTATTTCAGAGTCTCTGAACAAAGGAAAGGTACCAAAAAGCCCAGTACCACATTCTTGGTGGCTACTGCAGCTTTCTTCCCTGATGGTTCCAGCTGCCCACGTCCCTGCCTAAAGTGTCCAGCTTTGACCATACTTGGGCACAGACCCAGTTTGTGGCAGACATATCACCATTGGCCTACAACCTATATAATCTCCTTGTTTAGTTAGGGTGGGCTGCTTCTTGGGCCTCAGTCTCTGGGACTGGCTTACTTCGTCAATGAAGAAACATATTATCGGGGAAAGAAAACGTATTAGTGACCCCCAGCCATAAAATTTTTTTGATGCTACTTTATAACTATACTTTTGCTACAGTGATGAATAGTAGTGTAAATATTTTTGGAGGTAGAGTTTTGCCAAAGAGGTTGGAATCTACAGGTTGAGAACCACTGGCTTATAGGCAAGCCTGTGGGACATTTTCTTGATTTATGTTTTGATGTGGAAGGGCCCAGCCCATTGTGCACAGTGTCATCTCTTGGCATGTGGTCCTGGGTATTGTTGGAAAAATTGAACAAGCCAGGAGGAACAAGCCCGTAAGCAGTGCTCCTCCATACCGTCTCCTCCTGCCCTACACAAGGGACTACAATTGTAAGCCGGAACAGACCCTTTCCTCCCCGGGTTGCTTTTGGTCATTGTGGGTTTTTTTTTTTTTTTTTTTTTAAGTTTTTACGAGACAGGGTTTCTCTGTATTGCTTTGGAGGCTGTCGGTCCAGCCCGGCCTCGAACTCACAGAGATCTGCCTGCCTCTGCCTCCCGAGTGCTGGGATTAAAGGCGTGCACCACCACCGCCCTGTGCTTTTGGTCATTGTGTTTATCTCAGCAATAAAGACCTAACTAGAAGAGTACCGTTTAAAACTGAAATTGAACCTTTTTCTGCAGTGAGCCTGTTCATATCAAGAAACGAAAGCATGAGAGTGTGATAGATAAATATGAAAAAATGCCAAGAACCCTGCAAACTGCACCAGAGAAGGAGCTGATTCACCTGCTGCCTATCAAGGATAAAAGTGGCATAATCCCACAGACTAGGGAGAAGCCAGGTGAGTCTAATGGCTGACTTACTAGTTACTTAGATTTTACTATTAGAACACACTTTTTTTCATTCAAAGTTTAGTGTTTGGCGTTCAGTTCTATCTACTGAATAAGAGTAGCTGCCGGGCTGGAAAGATGGCTCAGTGGTTAAGAGCACTGACTGTTCTTCCAGAGGTCCTGAGTTCAATTCCCGGCAACCACATGGTGCCTCACAACCACCCTGAATGAGATCTGGTACCCTCTGTTGGCCTGTAGGCAGAAGGCTATAATAAATAAATAAAAATATTTAAAAAAAAAAAAAAGAGTAGCTGCCATTAGCATATAGCAGACTTACTGATTCTGGCTGGGGCATAGATAGTTCTTTCGAGTATTGGCTGCATTGAAACTGCAACTAGAGCTACAAGGATTAGATGATTATCTCTTCAAAGATTGAGGGGGGGATGGCACAGAGGTAGAGACAGAAAAAAAGTGAAAATGTGTTTGTGAAATAAAACAGAAAAAGGCAAAAGTCAAAGACATTATTGTGATTAAGAGCAAAGCATATACCCAGGAAACTCCATCTAAGCAAAAACTAAATTCTGCCAGCTTCCAGGGATTTTGGTGTGGTCCCTTACTCAGAGTGATGGCTATGCTACGATCTGTGGTAACCACTGCTCTGTTGTTTCTTCTCTGTTTTGTTTACCACTTAATGTTATCACAACTTTAATATGTAAATCTGTCCAATAGTCACGGACGTCCAGCAGGAAGAAGAGGATGAAGAAGAGCTGGAAGTTGAGGAAGGTAAGAAGACAGACATGTAGTACTTGACAGACAGTTGATTGGGAAGGTGGTCTTTTGCATGGTGAGTGTAGTTATTTTAGGCAGTGTACCTAAGGGGAGTCATGGAGCACTGCTCCTTTAAAGGTCATTTTCCACATTTGAAAGTCTCACCTTGTGAAATTTGATAACACTTTATTATGAAAAATGTGAACAATTTTCATTGGTGAGGCAAACATGAAGAATTTTAATTGTTACTGTTTTGAATCCTTCTAATTATAAGAACAGGACCTACTTATAAAAACGATTACTTTTTAAAACAGCAAAATTGATTTTGTGATATACAATCTTTTTTTAAAGGACAATTATGCTTAGTATATCTCTTTTTCAGATACTGAGATGTGGGTTTTTAGCATTTAAAATGAATTTTTGCTGTTTATTTAAGTTTTTAAAATGATATTTTTCTTGTGTATGTGTACATGTGGAGATCAGAGGACAGGCCTGCTCCTTCTACCCGTTCACTGTCCCCCACCCTTGTTCTTTTTTTATTTTTTATTTTTAGACTAGGTCTCAAACGCTCAGATTGACTGGGAACTTACTGTCTAACCCAGGATGGCCTTAAACTCACGGCAGTCCTGCCTCAGCCTGCCAAATGCCAGGATTACAGGTGTGAGCTACCATACCCAGAAGAATGGCTTTAACTAATAAAAATTAGCCTGGAAATAAATTTTATTTTAATTTAGCAGGCCTCATTAAAAATGCATGTGACATTATAAATCAACTGTTGTATTTAGCTGGTTTCAGTCATTTATCAGATGCTCATCACAGGTTATGCTTGTGTGTGTTTATTATCTACTTTCCTATGTCTCTGTCTCTGTCTCTCTCTCTCTCTCCCTCCCTCTCTCTCTCTCTATCTACTCCCCCATCGGTATTTTGTACCTTAAGAAAATACTAAGTCAAGAGCGTTTTTTTTTTGCTTTGTTTTGTTTTGTTTTTTGTTTTACGAGACAGGGTTTCTCTGTATTGTTTTGGAGGCTGTCTGACCAGCCCGGCCTCGAACTCACAGAGATCCGCCTGCCTCTGCCTCCCGAGTGCTGGGATTAAAGGCGTGCGCCACCACTGCCCAGCTCAAGAGCATTTCTTTAGCTAATGAAGTCATGGGCTTGTTCGTATAATATTTAAGAATTTGAGTTTAGGCCAGGCAGTGGTGGCACACATCTTTAATCACAGAGGGAAGCAGAGGCCAGTGAATCTCTGAGTTAGAGGCCAGTGTGGTCTATAGAGTGAGTTCCAGGACAGCCAGGGCCACACAGGGAAACTCTGTCTCAAAAAACAACAACAACAGAAGAAGAAGGAATTTGAGGTCTGTTATGTTTTGAATTTAAAGTTAGCCAAGCTACTTTTTTTGCTGTAGTTTTTGCATGTGCACGATGACGTCACGTGTTCCGTAGTAGACTGGTGGCACCTGTTTTACATGATTGTGAAGAGGGTGATGCACAGCAAGAAACACAGATTTTTGCTCTCATCATCGATACTATTTTATGTGAAAAGTATGCATTTCTTAGATCTATGTAAATAAAGGAACATTTGAGAAGAAAAACTCAATTTCTTTCAGAGGTCGTTGAAAACCCCATTCAAGAGCTCTCCATAGAAGAACATTTAATTGTGAGAAAGAAGAAACTACAGGAAAAGAAGATACAGATTGCAACCTTGGCGTCTGCCATACTATCAGATCCGGAAAGCAATGTGAGTGGTATTAATTATGTATAATCCACAGTGTGTTAAAGAGCTCTAGTTTCCTTTAGGTGTACACAAAACGGAAAAGAATTAACTAAACAGGCTGGAGTGAAATAAAAGAGTAGATGGAATCTTAGCTTCATCCTGCATCTCAGCTTCGTTTCTTTATGAGTTTAAAAAAGCCGCTTAGATTCTGAGGTTTGTTTTTCTCATTTGCAAACAAAGGTAGAGGACTTACTTTGGCAACTCTGAAACTCTGAGGGTGGTAAGTATCTAAAAGAAAAGAATTTTCTTTTTTTTTTCTGAGACAGGATTTCTCTGTGGTTTTGGAGGCTGTCCTGAATTATCTCTTGTAAACCAAGGTGGTCTCGAACTCACAGAGATCCTTCTGCCTCTGCCTCCTGAGTGCTGGGATTAAAGACATGTGATGCCTTTCCCCGGCAGTAAATGTCAGTTTTTTTTTTAAACACTTTTTTATTATATATTTAAATTAGAAACAAGCCTGCTTCCCATGTCAGTCCCAGTTCCGTCTCTCTCTCCCTCCACGCCCACTTCCCCCCCAAGCCTCTACCCAATCCCCACTCCATTCCTCAGGGAGGGTAAGGCCTTCCATGGGGGATCGCTAGAGTCTCATTTCATTCCAGGGAGGACCAAAGTATCAGTTTTTAAAAGGAGTTTATGCTGGGTAGAGATGGTGCATGTCTATCTACAGAGTGAATTCCAGAACAGATAGGACTACATAGAAACCCTGTCTTGGAAGAAAAAGCAAAACACAAAACAAAACAAAACAAAAAACCAACCAAATAAAGGATAAATAAATAAAAGGGCTTACTTTATTATCATTTGTTTGACTCGTGTATACCTGTGAGTATGCCACACAGTGCATGTGATGGTCAGTGAGCGGCTTTCAGGAGTCTGTTCATTCGGTGGATTCTGGAGATTGAATTCAGCTAATCAGGCCTGAATGGCAAATGCCTTTAGTCATTGAGTCTTCTCACTGGCCTGACAATATCTTATGATGTGATTTGATAATGTCTTTATGTCATTTTCCTACAGAAAAATCGGGCCTTCAGAAACTCAAGTAAGAGCAGGGCATGGTGGCACGTGCCATTTCCCAGCATTTGGGAGGTGGAGGTGGGCAGATCTCTGTGATTCGTAGACCTTCGAGGGCTTCTGAGATTTTCTCAGAAACCTTTAGTGAGAACTGAAGATGCCTCAGTGGAGGAGCTACCTGCCCAGCATGCACAAGGCCATGGTTCAACTCCCAGCATCTCCAAATAACTCAAGTGATTCCCCCTCCCCCCATTTTGATTGCCACTTTATTGGGCTCAGGTCTTCTGCTCCAGAGGCTTTATGCCTGTGCCACACAATTTCAAGTTAGCAAAAAGATGAAGGCACGTTTGTCATTGCTGTGGGAAACATCGCTCACATGCTGGAGTACTGTTCTTCACCCACTGTTCTACCTCCAGTAGCAATGGTAATAATTCAAAGCAACTTCTTACTTATTTTTTTCAATACGATTGCTTCACATCTCTGCATCTTTCCAATTTTAGGATATGTGCTGCTGAAGGTAGCACCAACTTTATACTTTTGTATTTTATCATGTGCATAACTTGACTCTATATATGCATATATATTTGCCTTCACTATCAGATAATGAACCTAGAACCTCATGCATGCTGGTCAAGTTCTCTACCACTGAGCTACAACCCCTCAGTGGTTATATTCTTGATTGATTTAGTGTTAGGATTTTTGTGTGTTTGTTTGGTTTTTTGAGACAGGGTTTCTCTGTGTAGCCCTAGCTGTCTTGGAACTCACTCTGTAGAGACCTGCCTCTGGGTACTGAGATTAAAGGCGTGTGCCACTATTGCCCTTCTAAATAATTATTTATTATTATGTGCACATGGGCGTACTTACCATGGTGAACATGGTGAATATGTATAATTCAAACATAGCTCTTAGGAACTAGTTTTCTACCAAGGGTTTCTGGGATAGAAATCACAATCATCAGGCATGCTCTGGAAGTGCTTTTACCTGCTGAGCCATCATGCCAGCCCAACTTTGTTTGTTTGTTTAATTTGGAGATAAAGTCTCACTTTGTAGGTCTGGCTGTTCTGAAACTCATTATGTAGACCAGGTTGACCTTGAACCCACAGAAATCTACCTGCTTCTGCCTCCCAAGTGAGTGCTGATATTAAAGATGTGCACCATCACACTTGGCTGCTCACCTATTTTTAATAGTTTGTACTTGCCTATATAACTAAAGTGTGGTTTCCCTATGACTTTAGTGATGTGTCATTGTTGTTTAATGCAGCTTGGCTCTGTGAGTTGTTAGGTAAATTTCACTTACGATGTCAGATGCAGGGCTGTTGTCTTTTGCTCTAAAATGTTTTGCCATCATTTTTGTAGTCTTATGAATCATTTCTTTAACAGATTAAAAAACTGAAAGAGTTGCGTTCCATGCTGATGGAACAGGACCCAGATGTGGCTGTCACTGTCCGGAAGTTGGTGATAATTTCACTGATGGAGCTATTTAAGGACATCACTCCCTCATATAAAATCCGGCCTCTAACTGAAGCAGAAAAATCTACCAAGGTGATGCTAGATAGAATTATTGTATAAAATAAGCCAAAACTTTTGGAGGACTAGAGGTGGGAGACTAGAGGGTTATTGTTGCTGTTTAATCTTTGTTCTTGACCCAACCCAAAGCAGAAGACACTTGTTTTCTTGCCAGCTTTTGAAGTTAATGCTCTGATTTTTAAACATAAAATAATTTTGATCTTTTCAGATTCGCAAAGAAACGCAGAAGTTAAGAGAATTTGAAGAAGGCCTGGTTAGCCAATACAAATTTTATTTGGAAAATCTGGAGCAAATAGTTAAAGGTATTTATTAAACTTTCTTTTTTTTTTTTTTTGATTTGAATCTCTGTGTAACCCTGGCTGTCCTGGAACTCTAGACTGGCCTCTACCTTCCAAGAGCTGGGATTAAAGGCTGTGCCACCACGCCCAGCTCTTTTTTTTTAAATGTAGCTCTGGCTGACTTGGAACTCAGTGTGTAGACCACGTTGGCCTCAAGGTTACAGAGATCTGTCTGCTTCTGCCTCTTGGAGGCAGGAGTTAAAGACTTGCACCATCATGCCCAACAGGCAAACATATCTTAAAAGAACAGGCATACCTAACCTTATGAGATCACAAAGGTAACTTTTATCTTCTGTTTTATGTGAGAGACAGTCTGAAGTCAGACTTCCTGGCGTCAATTGGAAGAGCTCTTTCCTAGCATTCATGAAAGTTCCTGTCTCTGGCATTGCATAAGCCAGGTGTATGTGGTAGTACACACTATAATGTCAGCATAGGCGTGGTCGAGGCAGAAATCTCAGAAGTTCAGGGTCATCCTTAGCTACATAGAGAGTTCAAGTCCATTGTATGCCAGAATGGAGACCCTGTCTCAAAACACAAAAAGACTTCCCAAGTTCAGCCTTTCTCCATCATTCACATAATAGGAAAGTTACCTTTGTGTGCTTTATTTTTTTAATCAATAAATAGTAGTAATATCACTTACCTTGTACGATTATGAGAAGCATTTGAATTTATAGACAAAGTATTTAGATATTTTATCAACTACTAGTATTAACCTTATTATTTTTGTAGTTCTTTTTCTTTTTATGGTGCTGGGGATTGAACACAGTAACATATGTACACAATGCAAGCACACTACACCTGAGCTCAATGTTCAGCATGCTATAGTCCTTCATAAGTAGTCACATGTTTGTTGAATTATTGAACAGTTGAAATTTCTTATTTTAAAACTGTAGAAAAAAGGCTGTATCTTGAACTAGTTGTTCATGTTTTAAAAACAAACTTAAACTTAGCTAGGTGATAAGCTCTTTGTACACTCTTCTCCAAATAAAGAGGGGCCTAGTGAAAATTGGGTGATGAATGGAGAAGAAACCTAGATGCCTAGTTCTGTCTCACTGGACTCCTTTCCTGAGTGCTAGGACCAAGGATTACCTTGTCATCAGCTGAGACAGTACTGTGAGTAGAGTGGACACAGAGGGGAGATGAGAGGCGTGGATACTGTTTCTATGCTTTGGCATCCACCTGGAACATACTAGGATTTGATCCCAGAGGCTCTTACCTGGCCATTGGCAAGCCCCAGCACAGGACCAGTAGAGACCAGTGGAGAGCCTGGAGATGTGGCTTAGGAGACCTAAATTGGTTTTCAGGACCCATGCCAGGCTCTTCACAACTGCCTGTAACTGTAGCTCCAGTGAATCTCATGCCCTCTTCTGGACCATATGGGCACCTGTACTCTCTTGTGTACCACACATGGAACACACATATACTTCGTGAACTAAGGTGAAAGGTGACAGAAAATGACCTCTGGCTTTGCCATGCATACGGATGTGAATTCACATTCATACATCATGCTCACACATAAAAGAATATAATGTAACTACATTAAAAATGAAGTTAAGTTTAATACTAAATTATATGTGTATCCAAATTACCATTTCTTCAGATGGTGGTGGCACACAACTTTAATCCCAGTACCCCAGGGACAGAGGCAGGTGAGTCTCTGAGTTTGAGGCCAGCGTTGTCTATGGTGTGAGTTCTAGGACAGCCAGACTATTACACAGATACTGTCTCCAAACAAAACAAAAACAAAGCCAAAAAAGGAAGAAAGCCCAAATTGCCGTTTCTTATTTTTTTATATTTTTTGTTTATTTTTTTTTCGAGACGGGGTTTCTCTGTATTGTTTTGGAGCCTGTCCTGGAACTCGCTCTGTAGACCAGGCTTGGTCTCGAACTCACAGAGATCCACCTGCCTCTGCCTCCTGAGTGCTGGGATTAAAGGCGTGCGCCACCACCGCCCGGCGCCATTTCTTATTTTTTTTACATACATACATTTTTTTTGTGTGTGTGTGGCTATCCATGTGGGTGCATATTTGGTATTGTGCAAATGTGAGTTTAAGAGGGCATCTTGTGGGAGGCAGTTCCCTCCTTTCAACCCGTGGATTCTAGGGGTTGAACTCAGGTCCATAACTCACTGAGTTGACTTGTTGGTTTTGCATTACCATCTTGGCATGTAACTAATTTGAAAGATTAGTAAGATGATTTATAGTTTTCTCTTCCCCCCTTTTGGTTCCAAGATCAATCCTGTATTTTACAGTTTCCTGTTTATGTAGCTTGTAGCTTCTGTCTGAAACCATAAAGATACAGATGTTAGATGTTCTACACAGATCTGACCTTGAAAACATTTTATAGTTTAGTAAAAGTGTGGAAGTGTGGGAATGCATGTTTACTGTATAACAAGAGCTAATCATTTCAGTCTCTGAGCAGTGATTAAAGTAACTGCATTTGTGTTGCTTTAGACTGGAAGCAAAGGAAGCTGAAGAAGAGCAATGTGGTGTCCTTAAAGGCTTACAAAGGCTTGGCCGAAGTGGCTGTGAAGAGCTTGTGTGAGCTGCTGGTGGCCCTGCCCCATTTTAACTTTCACAACAACATCATTGTCCTGATTGTCCCCTTGATGAACGATGGCGCAAAGTTGGTGGGTTGCTCTAAAACTAGTTTATTGTTCTTGTTCTTATGGGAAGATTGCTCACTGTGTATTTCATCTCTTAGCCCTGAGTTCTTTATAAGCTGTTAGTCGTAAGTTAGTATCAGTTTATTATGCACTGTCTCTAAGAAAATGATTTGAGCATGAGTTTAGTGAGTGATTCTCCATGGGGGCTTTTAACGTCTTATAATGCACAAACAGTCCCCCAACAGCAGGGTTGGCTGATTCACACTGTCAGTACTGCTGTATTGTAATGCTTTCTTTTTCAGGTATCTGAAATGTGTTGTGAAGCAGTAAAAAAACTCTTTAAGCAAGATAAATTGGGCCACGCTTCTCTTGGTGTAATTAAAGTGATTTCTGGTTTTGTAAAAGGCAGAAATTATGAAGTTAGGCCAGAGGTAAGCCTTTCTTTTCTTACTTTGAAGTTTGTTTTAAATTATGAAGTTAATTTTTTATTGTTTCAAGAAATTTATTTACAGACTTATAAGGTAAAAAGTTAAAAATATTCATTCATTAGATGTAGGCATTGCTGACAGTTTGTTGTATATATCTTCCTAGATGTATTTGTAAAGAGATATATGCCTCCTTGTTTCAAAACTTACAAAATAGGCTTCTACAAGGAACACATTCTTCAGCAGAATGGTATGTTGTGTGGTCAGCTTCAGCATCCCACACATGAACATGCAGCACCCTGCTGGGTAGATGGCGAGTTGTCTCAAGAGTTTTCCTGATACAGTCAGTGTTGGGGAGGCCACTGTCCATATTGGGTTTTTATATTGTGAGTATTCTATGATTTAGACTTCTTGACTAGAATTAGTGGATCCAGTAGTAATCACATTTAAAAATGAGAGATTGCCAAATGGTTTTCTCATTATATTGTGTCACTCAGGATGTTATTAGTAGTTTGAGTCATTTCTGAACTGACTGCCCAATACTGAGTGTTAGTGTTTAATCTTCTGTTAGTTTGAGGTATAAAGCTGTCTGCATTGCACGTTTTTGTTTGCACATCGTGTGTGTGTGTGTGTGTGTGTGTGTGTGTGTGTGTGTGTGTGTGTGTGTGTGTGCATGCATGCAGGGGGTATTGAACTCATTAATATGGGTCTACGCATGCGTGTGTTTGTTGATGGCACAGATTAACTTAAGTATTTTTTTCATTGCCGTTCACCTTTACTTCTTTGAGACAGGGCCTTACCCTGAATCTGAAGCGCATTGATTTGACTGTGTAGTCTCCCCAGCACTGGGGTATAAGCACACTGTCACACCCAACTTCTTATATGAGAACTTCTTATATGGGGATCTGAACTCAGGTCCTCATGCTTCCATGGCAGGCCCTTTACTGAGTGAGCCATTTTTCTAGTCAGGTTTAATTAATAAAGTTTTGCTTCTCTGTATACTTTTTCAAAGATATTGCTTTACTAGAAAATTTAAATTTATGTCGTGAGAACTCATGAAAGACAAAAATAGAAAAGAAATTCAATGGAAATAGTTAAGTGTATATTAGTGTGTAAAAACACACCCACATTTCAGTAGCATTACTAATCAGAAAAGGAAACATGTCTGCAAGTAAATTTGAAGCAGTAGTTCCTCACAGTATAATCAGGGATTAAAAATCTCAAAATGGCTAGGTGCTATTCAGTAATCATACTTTAAAGTTTTTTATATAGCATAGGTAACATTTACTGAGATTTAAATGTAGAGTAATTTTTTGCTAAAAGTTTGTTTTTCCTCCCCTCTCATGAGCCCCATCCTAGTTCCCTGGTGTCTACTCTTTCTCACATAGATACAGATATACAAAAATTAGAGACTAAGTTGGGCAGTGGTGGCTCATGCTTTTCATTTCTGACCAGCACTTAGGAGACCGAAGCAGGTGGATCTCTGTGAGTTCAAGGCCACCCTGGTCGATCGACACAGCAAGTTCTAGGACAACTAAGGCCTGTTATACAGAGAAACCCTGTCTTGAAACACCCCCCCCCCCAAAAAAAAATCCACATGTGGGAGAATATGTGATTTTCTTTCTGGGCTTGAGTTACTTCACTTAATATGTTATTTTCTACCAACAAGATGATAAATAACAGTCTTAAGAGAAATGATAATCAGATAATATGGCTTGACTATGAAACACAGCTGTAGAGAAATACTTTCACTTCAGCAATGCTAGAATAAGTTAGATTCCCCGGTCCCGTACAAACTGTATCCTTTATCCTATTATTTGGAGTTGTCTTTCATTGGCTAATAATATTTTATGAGCACATAGAATGCCTACAGAATATTTGAAATTTGTCTTTCTAATACCTAGAGTAACTTTAGATCTGTGTCACACTTTATGTTTTTGTTATTCCTTTTCCTCCCATGCTTTTAGTCCTGTTATCTGAAATATGTGCAGGTTGAAATGTTGAAAGTTCAAATCCTGTGGTTGTTAAGAGTTTGTCCTATGAAAGCTGCTGTGACTGAGAATTCAGTGCAGTGGTTTCTTCAAGAGAAAAAATGAAGGGTCTCAAATTTCTTTCTCTTTGTGCTATTTTGTATTGTGAGGATCAGATAAAGGCTGACCCTACTAATTGCAAAATTTTGGTAGAGTACAGCTAGTCAGAATGTGTTAATTTGTCTTTTTCCTCACTTTCCCAAACCTCTTTCTGCCCTGGTTACCCAGTGTACACACTATTTTCCTCTTATATTCACGAATGAGCTGTTTTGAAGTTTTAGCCAAACACTGGTGCACTTTGGTAGGCAGATGTCTGAGTATGATTATCAGAAGAGGGTAGAACTCTGTGTCTATGTAATAAGACGTTCAACCTATTTGGCATAATTTTTCTACAGAGTTTTTGGGGATAGTGTAAGTAGTAAACTGTGTGTGTGTGTGTGTTTGTTTTCCAATACTAGATGTTAAAAACATTTTTATGCCTGCGAATCAAAGAAGTAGAAGTGAAAAAAGACACAGAGGACATTAACAAGCCAAAAAAGTTCATGACTTTTAAGGAAAAGAGAAAAACTCTATCAAGAATGCAAAGAAAGGTTTGGTTTATTTTCTTTCTCATTTCATTTAAGTATTCTGCTTTGACTGATCTTGGATTACAAGTGGAATCAAAGGGTAATTAGATAAATCTTATGTAAATCATAGCTAACAAGGACCTTTATTGGTTACTTTCATAGGCTCTTTTTGTGACCCATTTTGTTTACCCAGGGCCATCTGTGACAATTTGGGGTGTCCACCTGTCTGACTTCCTCCAATGATGGACTATGATCTGAAAGTATAAACTAAATAAACCCTTTCCTCCCCAAGTTACATTTTCATGATGTTTTGGCAAGCAATAGAAACCCTAAGTCATTAGGTTTTTATATAACTCTTTTCTGTGTCTCTGATTTGGTTAGTTCCCCCTCCCCCATCATGTTTCCCTTGCTTTAGTCTTTCCAGCCCCAGTATTCCCCCCTCTGCTCTTACATTATTTACATTTTATTACGTCCTCCTTTAAGGCATTTCTCTCCCAATGCCTGTTTGTTTACTTTTTTGGGGTGGGGTTTGTCTGTATAGCTTTGTAGACCAGGCTGGCCTCGAACTCACAGAGATTTGCCTGCCCCTGCCTCCTGAGTACTAGGATTAACGGCGTGTGCCACCACCACTGGTCCCAATGCCTCTTTGTAATTTCCTAGTCCTGACTGCTCTGGAGCTCACTGTGTAAACCAGGCTGGCCTCAAACTCAGAGAGATACTCCTGCCTCTTTCTCCTGAGTGCAGGGATTAAAGGTATGGGCTACTACCTCTGGCCTGACAGGGACTCTTACATCTACAGACTTAGAGTTTGGAAGGTAGAATCTATATGAGGAAGATTTTTTTTTGTGCCTAGTCTAGTTCCCTTAGTATAATTTTCCGTGCTTTCATCCAGTTGCCTGCAAATTTTGTAATTTCATTGTATTGAGACCTGAATAAAAGTCCATTGTGTGAATGTTCCATATTTCCATTATCCATTTATTAGTTGATAGACTTGTAGGCCTTTTCTATTTCCAGATATTTCGAATAGAGCAGCAGTGAACTTGGATGAGCAAAATATCTCTATAGTAGGTTATATGTTCAGGAGTAGAATACCTGGGTCACATGTGGTTCTGCCCCTGGCTTTTTGACACTGATTTTCATAGTGTCTGTATCAGTTTACACTCCCACCAAGAGTGAACAAGTGGAACTTGCTCCATAGACCAGGCTTGCTTTGAACTGAGTTCCACCTGCCTTTGCCTCCCTAGTACTGGGGTTAAAGGTGTGCACGACCATTGTCTGGTTGTTAATGATTTCTTGACAATAGCCATACTGAATGGGTGAGATGGAATCTCAAAGTTCTTTTAATTTGTATTTCTGTCATGGTTAAAAATGTTGAAAACGTTTTGTTTATTTACCACTCATATTCTTCTTTTGAGAATTCTCTTTCAGGTCTTTTTTAAGTATATTCTTTATTTTATATTAATGAGTACTTAGCCTACATGTATGTATGTGCACCATATGAGTTCCTAGTACTCAAGGAGGCCAGAAGAGGGTATTGAATTCTCTGGAACTGGAGTTACAAACTATTGTGAAGTATTGGGAACTGAACCTGGGTCCTCTGCAAAAGCAACAGTTGTTCTTAACTACTTAGCTGTCTTAGTAACTGTTCTTTTGAGTTTTTATTGATTCAGTTGTTTTATTGGCCAAAGTTCTAGTCTCTTAAATCTGTGTTGAAATCCAGTCACTTTTTGTTTGAAGGCTAATTTAGAAGAAGGGCAAATAGTATCTACCTATAAGATTCAATTTACAGTTTAAATATTAGAGATGATATGTGTAGCATATGTAAGAGTTCATATGTTGGGCAGTCTTCATAAATATTAGTTGTTACTACCGTTAGAGTAAGAGTCCTCTCTGTCCTTCTTTCTCTCACTTTTCATTCTTCCAACTTTTTCCTAGGGGCAACCAGTGTTACCAGTTGAGCTCACTTGTGTATTTTATCCATTGTTTTTCAACCTTTGCTCATGGTTGTATTGATAGACCATATGTAGTCTTAGTGTGTTTTAGTGTTGACACTTTGCCTCTTTTTTATCTTTCAGTGGAAGAAAGCAGAGGAGAAACTGGAGCGGGAACTTCGGGAGGCTGAAGCTTCGGAGAGCACTGAGAGAAAGCTGAAGCTGGTGGGCAGCTCTGCTCTGTCGTACTCCTAAAATGATTTCAATTATAATTTGTTCCAACTTAAAGTTCTATCATTTTGGTTTATTTTGTGAGTCTTAGGTAGATAGTTTTTGTGAAGTGTAAGAAAGTACAATGTGATACATGCCAAGGAAAAGAAAGTCGTGATTATTCTAACTCAGACAGAGCTACCAGCAAATTCTAATGTGTTCTTGTCTGCTTTCTCTGACAGCACACGGAGACTCTCAATATTGTGTTTGTGACCTACTTCAGAATATTGAAGAAGGCCCAGAGGTCACCTCTTCTGCCAGCGGTTCTAGAAGGTCTTGCCAAGTAAGGACTGTGTAGACTGAACCCTTGAGGTGCATTGTAAATACATTTTGGCAACATAGCTTTGAGTCTCAGAATGTCCTCTGATGCTGTCCTCATGCTCTGCTCTATTTCTGATTCCTTTTTATGCCGCAGCCTTTCCTTGTGGGCCTTGTGCTTTCCTCTTTTCAAAGCTTTTAAAATTTATCTTTTTTTTTTTCCTTTCTGCTTAATATGTTTCAGGCATCCCTAAGATTAAACTCTCAGTTCTTGATTTTATTCTGTTTTATGTGTGTTCTATTTAATATGTCTTCATGTGTGCCTGTGCACCATGAAATGAAAGGGTGCTCTCATTTTAAATTCTGGTTAGTAATGCCACATTGCTTCCCACAAAATTGGTAGGAGCACATGTGGAACCTCTGACTTTTTATTCAGAGGTTTACACAGCTTTAACAGACTCTGTGCCTGATGTTTGCTATGTACAGAGTATTCTAACATCTAGTAGCTGAGAAGATTCCTGAACTCTGCTGCCTAAGTTGTTTCAGAAATAGAGGCCTAGGGCAGTCAAGAGATGCAGTGTAGTGTCCCATAGTCGTTAGTAGCAGAACTTTAGTCACCACTACTACAACAGTTTTTCCATTTTATTTTCAAGTTGTCATAGTGCCCATAGTGCCAGGTTAAAGACCAGGGATCGAACCTGAGACCTTGTATGTGTACCAACTCTCTATAGCTCCCTCAACCCCAAAACTCCGTGTTCTTAAAAAAAGGCAGAATCCTTTCTTTTCTCTCTCTCCCTCTGCCTCCACCTCTCTCTCTACACCTCCCTCCCCTCGTTTTTGTTTTTCAAAACAGGGTTTCTCTGTGTAACAGCTCTGACCGTCCTGGGACTCGCTCTGTAGACCAAGTAGGCCTTGAACCCACAGAGATCCACCTGCCTCTGCCTCCTGAGTGCTGGGATTAAAGGCATGTGCTACCACCAACCAGCAGAATCCTTTCTTTTTGCTGCTTCCTGTTTCTTGAAAGCTTATTTCTGCTTTCTCTTTACGATTTGTAGAAACCTAATGCATTTAGTCAGGGCAGTTGTTTGCTCTTGGTAACTTGTTTCTCAGGATAGCGTTTTTTTTTTTTTTTTTTCCAACCAATGCCTCATTTATTCCTACCAAGTATAATGTCCAGCCATGTGAGAATTGTGTAAGAATTCAGTTTGAATGAAGTGAAAGCTGTCAGTGATCACTCATTTCCATTGTGACTAACAACTTGAAATAAGTAATATTTAAAACACAATTTTAAAGTCAAGCTATTTTTACTTACTTTATTTCTGCTTTTGTATTATTTATTTATTAATTTATTTATTTTAGTTTTTCGAGACAGGGTTTCTCTGTACTATTTTGGAGGCTGCCCTGGAACTCTCTCTCCGTAGACCAGGCTGGCCTCGAACTCACAGAGATCCGACTGCCTCTGCCTCCCAAGTGCTGGGATTAAAGGTGTGTACCACCAACACCCGGCTTGGATTTTTAGTAACTAAGTTTTATTTGATTCTAGGTTTGCACATCTTATAAATGTGGAGTTTTTTGATGATTTATTAGTGGTTCTTCATACCCTCATTGAGTCTGGTGTAAGTAACTCTACCAGTGAATTACTTTTTAAAGATATAAATGGCAACTATCATTCTCATTTATTATTTTTTTTTTAAGGACTTGAGTTATCAAGAAAGTCTTCACTGTGTTCAAACTGCTTTTCATATTCTTTCTGGACAAGGTGAGTTACTGTCTTAGGTTTTATTTGCTTTGTCACTGAAGACTGTAATTTAACCTGATTGTATTTGTTGTCATCTCAAAGGTGATGTTCTAAATATTGACCCGATGAAATTCTATACACATCTCTACAAAACGTTGTTTAAATTACATGCAGGTATGTTTTTAGAAGATGCTTGTTTAGTACGTATGTATAGTCTGAGACTATGTTACGATCATAATTGTAGCCAATGAGAAATAAGATCTGGTGCATAAAATGCTGGCTTGCCCTTGCCATGCACCTCTAGTTAATGTTATATAAGATGTGGGGGTGAACGAACACTTGGGGTTGACAGGAAATGCTTCTTAGAGCATCTCTAAGCATTGCTCTACTGACTAGAAGGATGGTTTGCAGCAGATGTGAGAATTCATTTTGTGGGTTTTCTGGGGTTTAGAAGGTTGCATAGTGAAAACAATGAGAATGGCACTGAAGGATGTCTGTTGTAGGTGCCACCAACGACGGTATTGAGATTGTACTCCACTGCCTTGATGTCATGCTAAGCAAGCGCAGAAAGCAGGTTTCTCATCAACGAGCTCTTGCCTTCATCAAGCGCCTTTGTACGCTTGCTCTGCAGGTTCTTCCAAATTCAAGCATTGGCCTTTTAGCAACTACCAGAATATTGATGCATGTGAGTAGTGGTAAGAAGTAGAGCCGAGTTCTCTTTCACCTGAATAGTTACCATTATTACTCCGCTCAGTCATAGCCAGGTGCAGTAGTTTTCATGCCTACATTTATACTAGAGACTGATGCAGGAGGACAGCTCAAACCCAGGAGTTTTAGGCCAGCCTGAACAGCCAGCTGAGAACCTGACTTTTCTCTTTTGAGTTGGGGTCTCACTGTATAGTGCTGGCTGGCCTGGAACTAGCTATGCAGGCCAGCCTGGCCTCAGACTCACAAAGACCTAATTGCTTTTGCCTCCCAAGTGGTGGAATTGAAGTTACATGGCACCAGCTTAGTGAGATTACATTTCTTTTAAAAGGGGGAAAAAAAGAAAAATTCACATTTGTAACAATCAGGTGCTAAGAGGAGCAAAGCAATTTATGATACCTCCTGAGGCAGCTGTTTTCACCACCTGCTGTCTGTCATTATGGTCCTGTATAAGGAAGGGCCTTTGTGCTACACACAAACAGCATTTGTTGTCATGGAAAGGAGATGATGTGAATTCTGTTATATACTGTTTTCAGAATGTATAATGATAGACATTTCATGTCAGTATAAATTTCCTACTTTATGTCTTTAATGATTAAAGTTTTTAGTTCTTTAGTAAACACAGTTCTTACAGTGCACTTGACATTGTTGCAAGCACTTCACGAACAATTACTTACTTGTTATAACTGAGATAGCTCGAGCAATTCTTAGTCCTGCTTCACGCTGGGACAGGGGTGAAGAGGAGAGGGAAGGGACTCACATCAGCTGACGGTGCTGATGAGCTGTAAGAATGGAGTGGCAGGCTTGCTCTAGTTACTGCCCAGCCGGCTGCCCACTTGCAGTTTAGTCAATAAACTATTGTGAGTTAAGAAATGGGTAGAAGTAGGATTCACACTCATGGCTTGGCTTTTTTACGCTTCTTTGTTCTCCTAATGAATATAGAAATTGCTCTTATAAATGATGCTGTAGATATTTCTATAAAGAAAATTTCCTTAAAGTGAGATTGGAAGGTGGGAAGAATATACCATCTTTGCAGACTGGGTAGATCTCCCCAAACCCAGACATTCTTTCATGATTCAGATGTAAATTATTTCTCATTAAAACTAGGCTTAGAAAAGTTAAAATTATAGCCTTTTTTTTTTTTTTTTTTTTTTTTGGTTTTTCGAGACAGGGTTTCTCTGTATTGTTTTGGAGGCTGTCCTGGAACTCTCCCTGTAGACCAGGCTGGCCTCGAACTCACAGAGATCTGCCTACCTCTGTTTCCCGAGTGCTGGGATTAAAGGCGTGCGCCACCAATGCCCACCTATAGCCCTTGTTATAACTGCAAATTTAAATGCAAGTATAGGTCAGTTATATTTTTTGAACTAACTTAGTTATTTCTTCCCTTTAATGTGATATTTTTGCAGACCTTTCCCAGAACAGATCTGTTGCTAGATAACGAGTCTCAGGGCAGTGGGGTGTTCCTGCCTGAGCTGGAGGAGCCAGAGTACTGTAACGCCCAGAACACTGCACTGTGGGAGCTGCACGCACTGCGAGTAAGGGCTCTTCCTCCTCTCTCTCCTCCACTCCCCTCGCCCCACTTGCCCTTTCCTTCCCTCCTCTCTCCTTCCTTCTGAATGAATAATGTGTTTTCACCTTTTCCTCAAGTATTATTGCCGAGTGCTCATATATGTGTTCTGGGATGTCTTCTGTAGGAGCCTTACTTTAATCCTATATCCCTTAAGCTGTTGAATATATTTTCTAAAAGAGGAGACAGTGGTGGTAATTTTGTATTGAGTTTACGGAGATTTATTGAAGGCTCCCTAACACTATTAAGAAAAAAAAAGAGGATTCATTCATTCATTCATTCATTTATTTATTTTGGTTTTTTGAGACAGGATTTCTCTATGGCTTTGGAGGCTATCCTGGAACTAACAAGCTCTTGTAGACCAGGCTGGTCTCCAACTCACAAAGATCTACCTACCTCTGCCTCCCGAGTGCTGGGATTAAAGGCGTGTGCCACCACCATCTGACTAAAAAGAGGATTTATTATCAGGCACATGTATACTATGTTGAATCCTATCCAAGGAGTCTTTGGTAGACTTCATTGCAAAGTAGCTTCACCTACAGTACCAGAATCCTGTAGTGAGGCCAGCATTAGAGTGAGCCTTATAGAAACTGTGGTAAATTATTTTTTACTGTGAAATAGAGACTGCCTTTTGGTAGTTCTTTTTATACTGTTAACTTGGTCATTTAACAAAGGTGTATTTTTTTACATTATTACATTATTTTGTGTATGAGTGTTTTGTCTGCATGTGTGTTTGTGTACCATGTTTATATAGTGCTCGTGGAGGCCAAAAGAGGATTTTGGTTCCCCTTGGAATTAGCTCCCATATGGGTTCTGGGAATCGAACCTGCTCCTCTGAAAGGGTAGTAAGTGCTCTTACCACTAAGTCATCTTTCCAGATATGTTTTTCTTTTTTCATTTTCTTTCTTTCTTTTTTTTTTGATACTGGGTTTCTCTGGAGCCTGTCCTGGAACTTATTCTGTAGACCAGGCTGGTCTTGAACTCACCTGCCTCTGCCTCCCCAGTGCTGGGATTTAAGGCGCGGGACACCAACGCCTGGCCAGATATGTATTTTAATCCTGAAAACAAAGATAGTAGTCTGTTTTATGTTTTGAGACAGGGACTCTCCATGTAGCCCTGGCTGCCCCGGAACTCAGAGATCTCTCCAGAACTCAGAGATTTCTGTGAGACCTCTGTCTCCTGAGTGCTGGTATTAAAGATGTGCTCTACAACACCTAGCTAGTAGTATTCTTTCTGACTTTTTAAAATTTTACTTTTTGAAAGCTAAAGTATAATTTTATCATTTCCCCCTTCCCTTTCTTCCCTCCATCCCTTCTCATGTCTACCTCCCCTAGCTCCTTCTCAAATTTATGTTGTCTTTCTTTGTTTATTTATACATAAATTTTAATAGTTTATATATATGCATGTATATGTATACACATGTATATACACACATACATACATGAATTATATTTAATATAAATATATAAACACATGCACATGCATAAATACATAAATACAACTTGCCAAGTCTGTTTATTGTTGCTTGTATGTATATGACATCAGGGCCCACCTCTTGGTATTGGATAACTAATTAAAGGGATTGACCCTGGGAAAGACTTAACTCTCCCACTCTCTGCAGTCCTTAGTTACCTGTAGTTCTTTGCCTAGGAGTAGGGTCCTTGTCAGAGTCCCCTTCCGCATTAGCATGTCTCTTGGATGTTGTCCTTGTCCAGATCTTGTTTAGGCAGCCATACTGTTGAGGTACCATGGGTGAAGCTTCTCTGTCATTTGTAGCAGACATAATCTCACATCAAATTTCCTGGTCTAAAGGTAATGAATGTATGTGTTTTAAATGATTTGTATAAATATTTCTGTTTCTTAAGTTGTAAAATAAGCTGTGGCTTGTGTTTTTGAAAGCACTGACCTGTGAATAATGTTTCTTTTCCTCTTCAGAGACATTACCATCCTGTTGTGCAAAGATTTGCAGTTCACCTACTCGCTGGGGCACCGTCTGAAGGCTCCGAGGCCCTCAAGCCTGATCTGAGCCGAAGGTAGCCTTTGACAGTGCATTGCTTTATGTTTCTGCCTTTGAGACAGGTTCTCACTGTGTCACCTTGATTGGCCTGAAATATCTACTGGATTCTGCCTCCCAAGGCGATGACTAAAAACGTGTGTCACCTGGCCTGTTTAGGGCTTGTTTTTTTGTTTTGTTTTTTTGTGCTTAGAATCAAACCCAAAGCACCAGCTTATATTCTAAGACTTAAAAAGCTCTGAACCTGGTCTTTGTCCTTTTATACTTGTGTGTATGTATGTTTGTGTGGGTGCACATATGTGTATAAGGAGCTTAGGGAGGCTGGGGGTCAGATTATGTATTGTTCCTCAGAAGCCATCCACCTTATATTTTTGAGACTCCTGTAGACTTTCTGGCCAGCGAATCCTTGCTATCTCAGTCTTTCCAGTTTGGAGATTACAGATAGCTACATCTGACCCCTTCCTTCCTTCCTTCCTTCCTTCCTTCCTTCCTTCCTTCCTTCCTTCCTTCCTTCCTTCCTTCCTCCCTCCCTCCCTCCCTCCCTCCCTCCCTCCCTCCCTCCCTCCCTCCCTCCCTGCCTTCCTGCCTTCTTTTGTTCCTTTTTAAGGTGGTGACTAGGATTGAACTCAGGTCCTCATGCTTGCACAATAAGCACTTTAGCAAATAGCTATCTGCCCAGCCCCAGGTTTTTCTTTTTTATAAGTCCATAGATTAATTTAGGTACCATACGATTGTAGGCTACTAATTTCACACTGTTTTTAAATTCTGAACGAAAATGGAAGAAGCTCGTATTTTTGTTTGATTGATTGAGACAGGGGTCCATGGAGCCCAGGCTGGCCACATTTCTGAGATGACCTTACACTCTTGAGCTTCTTCCCTCCACCTCCCAAGTGCCTGGGATTACAGGTGTGCACCACCGTGCCTCACTAGGTACCTTTTAAGATCGGAAGAATTCACCTAAAGTTCATTTTTCTTGCTTGTCTTTAAATACTGGATTTGGTTATTTCATATGAAAATAATTTTTTAGATTCATTTATGTGTATGAGTGTTTTGCCTACACATGTGTCTGTACACCACCTGTATGCTGGGTGCTTCAGGAGGTCAAAAGAGTGCATCAGATTCCCTGAAACTGGAGTTACACAAATGGTTGCGAATTGAACCTGGTCCTCTGCAAGAGCAAGTGCTCTTAACCACTGAGCTATCTCTCTCTTCAGCCCCTATTTTGTATTTTTTAATTGCCAATATAGTTAGTCAACTTCTGTGCTTTCCAAATGAGGCTCAGCATTGCTGTTTTCTATAAACGCTTTGTGGAAAAAAGAGATAATGTTTGGTCATAACTACTGAGGCTGTCTTTTCTTTGTTACAGCTTCCCATGTCTGCCTCTAGTCTTGCTCCTTTTTCTTTTCTTTTTGCGTTGCAAGGAACGTAAGCAAAGACCTGGCATGTCACTCACTGAGTCACATCCTCACTGCTCCTAACATTGAACTTTTAAAAAAAGGGAAGAGTACATTCTTTTTTGGTGGTATTGTTTGGGTTTTTTTGTTTGTTTGTTTGTGTTTTTGAAACAGGATTTCTCTGTAGCTTTGGAGCCTGGCCTGGAGCTGGCTCTGTAGACCAGTCTTGTCTCAAACTCATAGAGATTCACCTGCCTCCCTCCCCAGTGCTGGGATTAAAGGTGTGGGACACCAAGCCTGGCTAGTTTGTATCTTGAATGAACTGAATGGTTGAATGTTTGATATTATTCTTCAGATACAATGTAGCTCTTAAAGTTATATAAATAATGGTGTTATTTCTACATATCTTATATTTTTTTTAAATTACAGATCTGCAGTTGAACTTTTTGACGCTTACAGCATGGCAGCAATGACATTCAACCCTCCCGTTGAACCTTCAAACTCCAAAAAGAAGGTATGTGATACTTTTTTAAATAGAGGAAATATTAAATCAGTGTGTCAATTCAACTCTGCCAATTTTCTTTTCTTCTTTTTTTGAAACAGTATTGCTTGTAATCCAGGCTGACCTTGAACTTATGATTGTCTTGCCTTAAGCTCCCATGAATTGAGACTACAGGTGTTGACCACAGAGGCCTAGCTCTAGTAGTTGAGAGTAGGTTGGTTGCATGGGGCAGAAACTATAGAGATAATTGGTGAGGCTTTCATTCAGTATAGATATGTCTAAGATCTGACTGGACATCTCTCGTTACTCTATTTCTTTTTTGTTGTTTTTGTTTGTTTATTTTGAGACAGTGTCTTACTGTGTATAGCTCTGGCTGGTCTGGAACTCACTTTTTTCTTGTACTCACAGAAGATCCGCCTGCCTCTGCCTCCCAAATGCTGAGATTAAAGGTTTATTGTGCCACCACAGCCTGGCACAATAGAAGTAGTTTTAACTATTAATTTTGATTTTTTTTTCAGGATAAATTTTTACAAGGGGACTCATTTTTGAATGAAGATTTAAATCAACTAATCAAAAGATATTGCAGTGAAGTTACTACTGAGATACCACTGGATTTCACCAAATGTATGAAAACATCAGTACAGTAGTTCAAAGGTGAAGGTTCAGTGGACTGACTGTCTTATATATCTGTATGTGTATATGCAGCTACATGATGGCCTTTTTCTTTGTGTACAAGGCAAACTTCCTGAGGATGACTGTAAGAGGACTGAAGCAGAGCCCACAGGAGACACTGCTGTTGGCTTGCTCTCTATGACTTGCTCGGCTCACTTTCTTATACAGCCCAGGCCAGCTTGTCCAGGAATGGCACTGTCCACTGTGGGCTGGGCCCTACCACGTCAGTCATTAAATCCTATAAATGCCCTACAGACACACCCACAGGCAAGTTTGATGGAGGCAGTTTCTCAATTGAGGTTCCCTCTTCACAGGTGACTTTAGTGTATGTCAAGTTGACAAAAACTAAGCAAGATGATTTTTAAATCCTCTTTATAGGTAAATAAATATTGTTATTGCAGTATCATAAATGAAAGCAAATAATACATAGATTTTGTAAAGATTTTTTAAAAAATAGCTTAAGATAAGCCTCTTGTTCATTGGCTCTTGTTGAATGATACATGTAAGGAATAAGCAAGGAATGAGTATTCTGGGGGGGGAGGGGGTCGTGGAGAGCACTCAGGAGACAGAGGCAGGCAGATCTTTGTGAGTTCAAAGCCAGTCTGGTCTAAAGAGTGAATTCCAGGATGGCTAGTACTGTTATACCAAGAAACCTTGTCTCAAAGAAACCAAAAAAACCCCCAAAACAAAAAACCAAGGAGGACAAATGAGTGTGCTTATGATTAGTTTCAAAGAAAGTTTGAATGAGAGTCTAGACTCTTGCAAGTTGTGTTTTTTTCTTTTTTTGTTTTTTTGTTTTTTTTTGTTTGTTTTTTTTTACATGAGGGTTTAGGGGGGGAATTTGCTCAGTAGGACAAAAACAGGTCTGAGATTTCCATTGTACTGTAGGGACATTGGTTCCTGACAAACTAGTAAAGTGTTTTCTTTTAAATTCTTACAGATAAAAACTGTATATAAATAGTTATAAAGCACTATTTTATATAATAGCCATTGTCATATTATAGAGATGATTCATAAAATGTGTACATAAACATTTTCTGCTATTAATAGTTGAATAAAGTAGCTTCCTTTTGTATTGCATAGTCTTGTGAGGTTTTGATTGTTTTTTTTATTGTCAGTGAAAAGCAGTTCAGCTAAATAGACTGTTAATTGAGCACCACAGAAGCCAGTCCTCTGGGGCTTTAGAGCTCTTTCCTCATGAAGATATGAAAAAAATGCTCTTACTGTCCTGCGGAGTAAGGAACAGTGGCCAGTTACTCCTTTTGAGAATTAAACTGGATGTGTGGGTGTTTGGACAGAGACAAGGTCGGTAGCTATCGGAGGAGAGAGCAATGGGAGACAATTACCAGCTGGATTTGAATATGTGGGTATATTCTTATACTGAGTTCCAGAAGTAAAAGTAAGTCTGTTTTTTTTTTTTTTTTTTCTTTTTCCCTTGATACAGAGTCCCGCTTTATAGCTTGGGCTGTCCTGGAACTCAGATAGCTCTGCCTGCCTCTGCCTGGGATTAAAGGCATATACCACCATACCCAGCCCTAAAAATATTTTTGGAGACACATTTTTAAGGTTTTATTGTTTCTTGTTTTGAGACAGGGTCTCTTCATGTAGTCCTAGCTGTCCTGGAACTCCCTACGTAGACCAGACCAGCCTTGAACTTACAGACAAGCTCGTGGCTCTGCCTGTTGCCACACCCAGCTAAGACTTGATTATTGATGAGAAAATGTACAGTTCAGTTCAGTATACAAGTACTTTTTTTTGTTTTTTGAGACAGGGTTTCTCTGTATTGTTTTGGAGGCTGTCCTGGGACTGCTCTGTAGACCAGGCTGGCCTTGATCTCACAGAGATCCTCCTACCTCTGCCTCTGGAGTGCTGGGATTAAAGGCGTGCACCACCAACGCCCGGCTACAAGTACTTTCTTAGACCCCAATATTTGAATAAAAAAGTTCCAGGAATGTTAGACATTTATATGTACAACCAAAACATCTGTCTGTATGTCATAAATCAATTTTTTTGTTTGTTTTTGTTTTTACGAGACAGGGTTTCTCTGTATTGTTTTGGAGGCTATCGGTCCAGCCTGGCCTCGAACTCACAGAGATCTGCCTGCCTCTGCCTCCCGAGTGCTGGGATTAAAGGCTTGCGCCACCACCGCCCGGCTAAATCAATTATTTTCTAACTTGGATACATTTATATTTCGTTTTGGCAGCAACAACATATATAAGTGAAAAGTCAGTTTTAAAATAGGAATTGAACCACTGCCCAACTAGCTCAGTCGGTAGAACATGAGGCTTAAAGTAGGAATTGACTGTTTGGGTATTTCATGACTATTTTATACTTTTCAGTTTCTTGTCACAGTTGAACTATAACTCTATACAGTTAGCATTTGAATAATGTATATGAATTTGTGAGTAAACTATATGTGTACATTACCTTTTTTATATAGCTTTGTATTAGTGTTTTCTTTTTGGAAATAAAGTATTACAGGCACTAGTAATCACAGGCACATGTACATATACCTTGAGGACTATATTTAAGCTACAGCCTTAATTTTTTTTTTTAAGACATATCTGTAGCATCTGCTGTGCTCAGCAGTACACTAGGCATTTAAAAGTGAAGTGAGATAGTAGGAATAAAATAGCCTTGGTGCTCCATGATCTTTGATGCCAGGTCAGGTAATTCACACTATTTAAAAATGCAGTATTCTGCAGTTCATTATCAGAAAGAATTATTTCCATGTTCAGAGGCTGTCATCTGAATTATTTCCATTTCAGAGAATTGTGTTCAGTCAAAGAGATGTCAGAGTATCTTCATAATGGAGGTTCAGAATGTGTTTAAAAGCCAGCTGTTTAACATACTCTTGTGGTTACTTGTAGGAAAAAATGGCAGACAACATTGTAACTTAACTGTGGGTCCTGGGAGGGATGAGAAAGGTCCTGACTTTGTCTAAGAGATTGCTGTGTGATCACTTGGAGACCCTGTGTGCTCACCTTTTCTGGCCTTGGTGCTTGAGAGAGAGGCAGCTGTAAACAGGTTAAAAGTACACCTTGTGATTACTTTCCTGGGGGCTGCATCTTTGCCAAATACAGTATCTCCAACACTGTATTCTTTATTGGCAGGAGAGAGTAGCTGTCCAGAGAGCTTTGTTTTTAAGAGTTAATTCCATTTTACTAGAACAAAGCCAGCACTTATTCCTTTTCAGAACCAAGCCTTCAGTATCTGCACAGATATTGGAAGGGGAAGGTAAGTTTTGAAAAGACCTGGAATATATTATCCCGGGCCTTCATGAGCCATCAATACCACCAGAGCCATCAGGATGGGAAGCCTTTAAGGAAATAAGTTTGATTAAAACTTAAGGCACTTGTAACTCCACTTTTATTGAGTTCAGGCGCCATATTGATTTTTCAGGAGACTCTATTAACTTGTGCTTGTGCTGTGGATGACATTTGAAGAGGCTTTACCTCGGGAGAGCATTTCTGCCCAGATAGTATCCTTACTGCCCAGTTCCCAGACACTCTGTGGTATTCTTACCTTGACAAATAATCAGTTGTCAATGGACAGGTGACTGAGAGGAAGAGGATTTCTGCCACCTCCCTAGCATCATGCTTGGTTTTACTCTAATTCTTTTTTGTTGTTGTTGTTGTTTTTTGTTTTGTTTTTGGTTTTTTTCAAGACAGGGTTTCTCTGTATTGTTTTGGAGGCTGTCCTGGAACTCACCAGACTGGCCTCAAACTCACAGAGATCTGCCTGCCCTCTGCCTCCCGAGTGCTGGGATTAAAGGTGTGCGCCACCAACACCCGGCTTACTCTAATTCTTTATTGCCAGATAGTTTATAAGTTGGGCTGCCAAATTTGACATGGTTCACTTTGAGAATACGAGGGCCTTGTTCACACAGATAAGTACTAGGGAAACCAGGAAAGTTTTTAAACATGCAGACTTGTCTCTTCAAAGCCAGGAGATACTTACCTGTTTTCTACCCAGAATGCTGGAAATGGATGTAGTTTTACAATCTTTTGCTATCTCTAGGCCCTGCTTCACCTGAATCCCCGAGACTATTATGTTTGTGTATCCCAGACTCTCCCTCTGTAGGTAGACCTTGAGCATTGCTTCTCAGTCAATAAAACCCTATTCTTTACAACAGCCAAAGTAACTTCAGGGTTATCTTAGAGCCAAGTCAGTCTTGACCCCTATGGGCTATTATGCTTGCTTCAGTCACCCCCCCCCCCACCTTTATGTTGACCATTGTATCTAAGTCAATAGAACTCATCTTTATGGAAGACACCTTAAGCACTTTGTAACGAGTTTCAGTGTAAACATGTCTTAATGTTGTACACACAGGATTGAGTGACTTGTCATAAGGAAACTTTTTTACTAAAATAGTGCTATGCTTAAATACGGCTAAAATAAACTCTCTGGTGTCAGAGTCTGGAAGTTTGAACCAGCCCAGCTAAGTTGTGTCGAACCTGGTTTCCTTCTTGCCTCTCGGAGATCATTTCTCTGCAGGCCATAAGCCTTATTAGCAGGACCCCAAGCTCACAAATTTTTCAAAAAAATTGCAATAAAACCAGCCTGCCTATTTGGTTCTTTTTCATACCAGTTTTACTGATTAAGAGTTTGCTATATAGATTTCTTCTATCCTAAAATATATAAAATGGTAAGGGGCATAGGATTATTTCTTTCATTTGATAGACTGGTATCCCCATGTAATTCAGATAAGTAAGCTTTCAGTCAAAACTTAGTATTTCTAGCCAGGCAGTGGTGGCGCACACCTTTAATCCCAGCACTCGGGAAGCAGAGGCAGGCGGATCTCTGTGAGTTCGAGGCCAGGCTGGACCGACAGCTTCCAAAACAATACAGAGAAACCCTGTCTCATAAAAAACAAACAAGCAAACAAACTTTCTAGAAAACACCAGACTGTGTTAGTCAGTTGTAAAGCATTCATGTACCTTACAGTGGTGGACTGCTGTGTGTGATTCATGGGAATGGGATAACCATGATCCCATAATGTTCTAATAAAGCAAAAAAAAAAAAAAAACAAAAAACAAAAAACAAAAAAAACCCAACAAAACCCGGTTGCTTAGCGACACTGTAACCATCTTAGCTTGTATAAGTATATTCTGACATTCATACAACAATGAGATTCCCTAATAATGCATTTCTCAGAATGTATCCCCATCATTAAGTGGCATATTCCTATAATGAACTGTTTATATTTAAAAAATTTATTTTATTTATTATGTGCATATATGTATGTATATATGATGTAGGGGGCACATATGGAGGCAGATTTTAATTTTTGGGTCTTCTTTCACTTTTCTATTGGTCTGGGATCAAACTGAGGTCATTAGGTTTGTGTAGCCTTTATTCTCTGGGCCATCTCACTGGTCCTATTTACATTTTTTAATCCATGTGTCCTGCCTAAAATCTCAAAGACTCAATTTTAATAGTGTGTGTCCTTTTATCTAAATTGGGATGTAACAGGGTGGGTTTGTTCATATCAGTATTTTAGTATGGGGTCCGCTTCAGATTTATTCTGTATCAAATTCCCATCTATGCTAAGGACCATGTGGGTGGGCGGGGCAAACCCAGGCCACCAGTCTGGCTCTGCATCTTTTTACCTGTGGCTTTTGTTAGGCTCAGGCTGGTAGAACCAGTAATTTAATTTGCAATCCAAATCATTTGGCCTTTTTTAGTTTATAGAAACTTGATAAAATGTTTCCAGAATATTTTTTTTTAAAAACGAGGCAGCACCGTCCATTTGTTGCACACCTATAGTTTTATTTCAAAGGGAACCTTCAGTGCTGTGCAACTGCCAATTGAGAATAGTCTGAGTTTCGCTGGCAAGAGAATGACGGTGCAAGCAGGAATCTCACTGACGTGAAAGCTGTGTGGTGTATTCTTGATATGTCTCTTTTTAGAATGTGCAGAGAAGGGGTTGTTTAATTCATTCTATAATTGGTAAAGGAAAATTTCAAAGCAAAAGTCAGGATGTTTAGTGTGCTTTATAATTTGAAGAAAAATATCTCCATATGGAACAATGGTAATGGAAAGATAAAATGTAGGCTAGACTCTGAAGGAACGTGTGTTTCAGTCTGATAAATCACAGTTTGCTTCATTTCAAGAATGAGAAGAATCCACTGCACTTAGTTGACAGTTTTGTGAAGGACAGTTTTAAAAATAACCCACGTCAAATGGCGAGTGTGAGTTGGATCTTGGCTCCTCAGTAAATCAGACACTATTGCACTGGACAAATGGCGAGTGTGAGTTGGATCTTGGCTCCTCAGTAAGTCAAACACTATTGCACTGGATGTCTAGCCCACTTCTCATGTTCAAATGTTTTATTTTTAGGATGTCTTGAAATAGATTGAACCACTAATGCTTGTAACCCATAGCAATATCAAGAAAGCTATGTCTAATAAATATACAAGTACAGTGTCAGTACAAACATTGCAAAATAAATAAATCTACCTTAAACATCAACTCAGTCTGCTTTTGCTTTTAAAAAAAATGATGAAGCTTCTTATTAAGGCATCTCAACTCAGTAGATTCTAAATTGTACATCGTTCTAAAGTCATCTTGTGAGAACTGAAATTGGAACAATCTGTGGGCCTATGAATAATAGCTTTCAAAAAAAAGAACATTTCTATTTGCAAAAAGGCAGCCTAAAGTAAGTGTACCTTGGTACACACATAGGAACTAATTCGAGTAATTATTAGCAAACCTTACACGACATATTTACATTTCCAATGCCCCTAGACTTCCACTTCTCATTCAGCCTACGACCAGGTTTCAAGGCTTTCTAACCTCTGTGCCTCTGGTTCCCAGTTCTCCAAGTTGAGTCAGCAAGCTGGTCTTTGGGTCAAATTCCTGTGTTTTTGTATGATCCTTAAACTAAGAATAGATTTTACAATTTTAAGTGGTTGGAACACTTGAAAGGTTTATGATATATGAAAATGATATGGAATTCCAATTTATGTGTCCATAAATAAGATTTTATTGTTCAGTCACGTTCGTTCTTGTACCTATTGTTGGCAGCTGTGTTTGCACTCCAGTGGCAGAGCTGAGTCGATGCCAACAGAAGCTATATGGCCCAACTGTAAAATGTCTGCTGCCTGGCCCTTTGCACATACAGCTTGTTGCCTTAAGCTTCAGGCATGGCTTTTCCACCTGTAACATCCGTGCATCGCCCTGGGTGTCCCTGCTTCATTCCTTAGGAAGTTGGTTGGCAGCTCTGTGCCATTTTGCTTGTCTTCTCTGTGCCTCGCAGCAGGTGTGAAGAGGGCAGGAGTTCAGAAATCATCGGTTTCCAGTTTACATGTGATGGAAGTAGAGTACATTTCTTTTCACCACGTTCATTCTTCAAAGCATTTTGCCAAGGATCTTCACCTGTAACGTCATCCACATAAGCTTATTAGTGTACTGGACTCAAAGAAGCACATAGTCTTACAGCCTGCCCAGGTGCAGAGCTGTTCAGCTATGGAAGCCCACGGCTCTTATGGCTAGAATTGAAGGAGTCACTTTCTGTAATACAGTGTTCAATCGTGGTCTGGGGTGTAGAACACTGTTAATTCTGTCCTGACACACCACATTCTTTTTTAATGATTTATTTTTATTTTGTGTACATTGGTGTTTTGCCTGCATGTGTGTCTGTGTAAGGGTGGAGCTACAGGCAGTTGTGAGCTACAAGGTGGGTGCTAGGAATTGAACCTGGATCCTCTGGAAAATCAGTCAGTGCTTTTTAACTTCTGAGCTGTCTCTCCAGCCCCAGGAATATCACATTCTTTAGGAAAAACAGCAAAAGCTTTTTTTTTATTACATCAAATAAATGTTTCTCAACTTTAGGAAAAGGAGAAATTCCTTCAACTGTTACCACTTCAGGTAGGAGTAAGGTGAACATTTGCTTCTTTAGAAATTCTTAGGTTATTATTGAAATTAGGTGTTATTTTAGAACAAATAACATGAAATACCGTGGCAGTCAGAAAGGCTAAAGCATTGTACTTGTTTACTTGTGAGAATGTACAGAGAGAACTTTCTAAAAGAAGTGCTTGTTCTTGGGAATACCTTGATAAAAGAGGTCATAGTGGGCATAGTTGTTCCAATGGCTATTTTTAAAGAAAAGCAATGTTTAGCAGAGCTATGAAGTCAGTTTAATACTTCAAAAGATCACTTGCCAAGGGAAATGGAATCCAAAAGCTATCATCTAAATCACTGTCCCCCAACAAGGCCACACCCCCCAATCCTCCCCAAGACAGTCCCACCAACTGGGGACCAAGCATTGAGGTGTGGGAGCCTGTGGAGGCCGTTCTCACTCAAACCCCCACAGCCCCCAGCCAAAAACGGAACGGAGTGCTCTTTCACTGTTGGTTCTCACACCCTTTTCACGTTCCAGGTCATCCTGCCGAGATTGACTGTGTGTGAATGTCAAGCAGCGGGGTTGGCAGCCGGCACTGTGTTTTCAGGATGGAGACTAAAGTTACTTCTCTTTTGTTTAACTTTGCTTTTTAAACACAGGGTCTCACTTTGTTCCCTAAGTAGCCCAGGCTGACCTTGAGTCTGTGATCCTCCTGCCTCAGCCTTCTAGATGTTGAGATTACAGGTAGGTGCCACCACACCTGGCACATTTTAATTTATTACTTTTTTTTTAAGAGATGGGAAGAGATGAAGTTGTTGGGTCTAAATGAAACAAATTAAGACAATAATACAAGGAATCCCACACACTGAATGATCCAAAGCTCTTGAAGAATGTTCATGTGTGTTATTAATAATTAAGGCAGTCTTATACGTGATGACTTAAGTCTGTCTGGCACTTGGGGCAAGTTGGTTGCCTTCCTGGGACCTTTGCTTAGTTATTTATAAAATAAGGAAGTTTGAAAAAGTATGTGTGTAAATACAAGTGCGTGTACTGACATGGAGTGCTTATGGAGGTCAAAGGACAACTTGTGGGAGTCAGTTCTCTTCTTCCACCATGGAGTCCTAAAAATGCAGTTCAGGTCACCAGGCTTGGCAACGAACACCTTTAACCACTGAGCCATGTCCTGGCCCAGGAAGTCTAAAATTTTGAAAGCTTGCACATAATTTCAGAGCCTGGGGTTCTGTTTTGAGGTACCATCCCCACCTGTCTTCAGAGGATGAGCCTCTTGAAAGGACACAAGGCTCCATCCTGTGTTAGTAAGTACTTTCTGTTGAGTCTTGGTTCAAAATACTACAGTACCTTAATATAACTGGGTCGAACATGCTGCCCTCGGTCACTGCTGGTAAGCCACTGTGTCACTGGAGGACAGGGCACCTACAGGTTTCTCCTCCTTGATTTGGACACTTTCTGGGGCCACAAGCTGAGGAGGTGATGCGAGTCCTCGGGGCTGCTTGGTGGACTTAGTGAGTTTCTTGAGTTCACTTGCAAAGGAGATGCCCTTCCTTTTATCTTCTCGGGATGCCTACGTAAAAAAAGAAGACCTTCCTTGATGGAAAGGTAAACCCAGGCTCTTGAGTCCCATGGAATACTCAGAGGCAGTACTTGTTTTTGTACTTCTCTCTGGCAAGTAAGCTTTGGGAAGATGGGCCAAAGGCCTCTATCTATCCCAGGATCTTTTGACCACACAGGGGAGCATGATGTTTTGTCTTTTCTCCCCACAGAGTGAAAACAAAATGATTACCTTCTAACTGTTGGTCTTAGGAACTTTCCAGAGATTTCTCTAGCTCCTGCATTTCATTATGATGTAACTATCAGTGATTTATAAAGAGAACAAAGTAACTCTCCTGTTACCTGAACCTGCTCCTTTAGCTTCAGGATGAATTTCCCTGCACCTTTCCACTTGCTTTGGGCTTGAAACACACACTCTTGGTCCAAAAGGATCCTCTGTGAGGACTTTGGAGTAGAAGACTTCTTACTGGGTGCTTCTTTCATCACCTCTTCCAAAAGCACATAGTCACCTGGGTTGGGGTTGTTCAGGATACTGTAGGAATATTTGGCTTTGCATAAGGTCTGAAAGATAAGTTAGGATCAGCTGCATCAAGCGTCTCCCATGTTTGGGTCCATCCTGAATGAAAGTTTAAGGTGGGAAAGTGCCTCAGACTTTTAGTGATTGGGGGGGGATCTTCCAAATCTGGTCACCCAATGCCACATTTTCATTTGAATAGTTATGGCTTCTAACACTCAGGTCACCTCATTTAGCTTCCAAGTGGCCTGACTTCCAAAGTGGTGTCAGAGCACCTGGAATGGGCTAGTGAAGTCAGGCACGGGAGGAGGTTACACAACAGAAATGAATCGGAGTCCCCTCTACCCCCCAAAAGAGAAGTTTGTCAATACACAGTATAACTCAGATACCATCTGAGTGAGATCTTCAGATCTGGCTGGAGATCTCTGAATGAGTAAGGGGTAGAGCTGAGACTGAGCCTCAGCCTTGTGGTCAGTGGTCTGTGCTGTTAACTGTGAGGTATCAACTTCACAAGCAGGCGTTCAATAAATGCACACCTTGAGGAGACCGTGAGGAACAGTTCTCTGAATTCATGTAAAAAAAACAAAAAACAAAAAAACCCCAAAACTAAAAAACTGTTGCCTGACCTAGGGACGGGATTTGCCCAGTAGTCAGAGTTTGCCTCCTGCTTGTGTTCTGTGCTGTCCTTCAGTATTTGCTGAGGCAGTTTCGGCTACTTCCTAAACCCATTATCAGCAGAGATCCACATTCATTGTAGATGCTAGCAAAGTATCTGCTGCAGACTGAACACCGATTTCCTATCCTTCTGAGATGTGTTCCTCCTGTCCGGCTCCCCCATTCTAGAACTTCATTCGTAAACGAGCTGTCGACACACCCATCTGATCTGTTCCAATCATTTATATTGATAGGAGGCATGGCATGAGGAAAGGGGAGATTCCGTGTGGTGCTGGGATCAAGCCCAGAACCCTGTGCCTGCTAGGCAGGCAGCGTTTCTGTACCCTGGCCCGCAAGGAGGCTTTTACCTGCTGAATGACATCCTGTGCAGTGCTGACCCGAGGGGCTTTGATGACAGTTCGGGGTTGCTCTGGAGAGACATCATGAACTTGGACAAAGAAACTCTCCTCCTCCGAGCTCAAGATCACCTCTTTGTCATCTTGAACAATGCTTTTCTCTTCTAGGGTCTGCATTCAAAAAAAGAAAATATATAAGTAATTGGTAAGACAAAAAAATCTAGCAAAAATTTGAGTTGTATGTTGGTAATATAGAAAACATCACCTTAGTTTTATAGTTTATACGTGACCTAGTATTTCATACACTATACTAAAAAGACGTATCTGCTTCCGAGGGGAAAAAAGGCTTGATGTTGATACACACATAGAACAAACCAGTTTATAAGTGTCTACTAGTTGTGGATTTTGAGTGACCTAACCAATTACAAACTTTTAGAAAGAAAATATACTGTTTTGCTAATTACTGAAAGCCAAATAAGAACATAGTATTGAAGAGAAGTTCATTCCTCAAACAGTGTTAACATTTAAGGAATATTAGGCATGGGAGCTGGTGAGATGGCTTAGCACCCAGAGGTGCTTGACATGCAAGCCTGATGACGTGTCCGTTCCTTGGGCTGCTTGTAATCGTGGAAGAGGAAAACCAAATGCACAAACTTTTCCTCTGACTGCTACCCACAGGCTGTTGCACACTTGTCCCTTCACCTCTCTCCCTCCCTCCCTCCCTCCCTCCCTCCCTCCCTCCCTCCCTCCCTCCCTCCCTCCCTCCCTCCCTTTCTCTTACTCCCTCTCTGCCTTCCTTACTTCCTCCCCTTCCCTTCCTCTCTGCCTCCCTCCCTCTCTGCCTCCCTTACTCCCTCCCTCCCACGCCTTTACTCCCTTCTTCCCTCTCTCTGCCTCCCTTCTCCCCACTTCCTCCCTGTCTCCCCCCTCTCATTTTAAAGTTACAAAAGAGAAATACATGAAATATGAAGCATGGTGTACTCATCCAGTGGGATTGGCAAAGCCCACAGTGAAAATGGCAGAGCAGTGGCTGCAGGTAAGCCACACTTCGGTGAATATCGATAGGATTCTCAATGATATGAGAATTATCAGGCTAATTGGATTTGGGTAAATTTCAGTGAAATCCAATTTCCCTCTCTTGTATACATAATCTTTTTTTTTAAGTCTTGTTTATTTAACTTATGTGTATGAGTGTGTGCCTGCATGTATGTATGTGCATGAGTGCAGGAACCTTTGGAGGTCAGAAGAACATGCTGGATCCCCTGGAGCTGGAGTTCCAGGTGGAGATAAACCACCATGTGGGGAGTGAGTGGGAACTGAACCTGAGTCCTCTTGAAGAGCAGTGAGGCTTTTAACTCCTGAGCCATCCCTCTAGCCACTATTTTCATATTGCTACACTTTCAGAGGACCAGAGTTTGATTCCTAGCATCCACATAGTAGCTTGCAGTCATCTGTAACCCCATTTCCAAGAGATGCAATGTTGCCTTCCGGCCTTCATGGGCCTAGGCATGCATTTGGTGCACAGATACATGTGTAGGCAAAACAATGGAATTCATAAAGTTTTCCCAACAGTCGAGAAAATGATAAACCCTTTCCTACTCTCTCCTTTTTATATTCTCTCATTCTCATAAACAAAAAAATGAGCAAAGAAGTCTATAAACAAAATCTCACTGTTATATGTGCATCTGTCATTGATACATAAGTGCATTTCCTAGCATGTGAACAATACACACAAAATCCTGGGATTGTGTGAACATGATTGTAATTTTTTACATAGCTTCTGTCCATTTATTAGTCCCTTATTTATTTATTTATTTATTTATTTATTTATTTATTTTTGAGATAGTCTCTTTATGTAGCTCTGGCTGGCCTAGAACTCAGAGGTCTGCCAGCTTTTGCCTCCCAAGTGCTGAGATTAAAGGTGTGCGCCACCACTGCTTAGATGCCCCATTTTCAAATGACAGTAGTTTTGAAGTCATAGTCTACAAGAGAGTGTACACAGGAAAAGAGAGACGAAGGAAGTAGTAGGTGACCCCATCAGATGTCAAGGCTGCTCATAGAAAATTCTATCCCCAGCATTCTTCTAACTTGATCTCCACAGACAGGCTACTGAGATGCTGCTAATGAACCAGAATTCATGGTTTGCTGTCACTGGCCTGCACGTTTCTGTTGGTCCCATCACCCAGGATTGTTCCAATTGATACTTAAGTCAGAATGGGAAACTGCCACCAGGTGGTGCCAAGCTGTAACCAAGTCTGGAAAGGATCCGCACCCCATCCCCCACCTACCTTTTCAACAACCTGGAAGTCACAATCCTACAGCTTACATGACCCGAGTTTCAAACCCTAGTCTAACAATGGAGGTAGAGGAGGGAAGGTATTGTCTACTATTATTACATGAAACATGGTCATCCCGAGGCCTGATGGTATTTGTTGGAGCAATGGCTTTATATCCCACTTTAAACAGGGATAGTAAGGGAGTGGACACTTGCTAGATTGTTCTGCAAAGAAAACTGTTCTACAGACAACCTCAAACATGAATCAATATAAAAGTTGTTGCTTATTTTCCTTTCATGGGGACAACCATTGGGTATCAACATAAACATTTACTAATTCTGACTAAATCTGAGAGAGTATCTTTAGTTTGTGTGAAACTGTGGAATATTTTCAAAGACATGGTGAGCTAATGTATAAGCCTTTCAGAGGTTGATTTTCCCTCACTTGGAAAGCTTGGGACCCGATGTGCTTCAGATTTTGTCATCTTTCAGATTTGGGAATCTTTGCACAGACTGTTCAAGCTGGATATCCCCAGCTAGGCAAAAGCTTTACCAGACAGAAGAGAATCGGCAGCTCCTGTGTTAGCAGTGTGGCAGCTCTCTCTCTCATCTGCGACTTTTCTTTCTATGGTCTAAAAGTATTAAGGGGGAAAACGCCACAAATAAACAATGTATAACCTTTACCAAGGACATTGCTTTTAGACTGAGTGTCTTTAGTTAGCCATCTGGATATGTGCAGGAAAATAAAACCAGTTCTCCATGTTTACTTGAGAAGAATAATGGGAACCATGTTTCAGTGACAAGTAATTCAGGATTTGAGGAAGGTATTCAGGGGTGAGATGGCTGATGGCATACTGAGCAGTCGCCATGAAGGCGTGCCCAGGTGGTACTTACTTCCTGCTGGGGCTTTAAGACAATCCTGCCTACATAGCCTTCTTCTGGAAACCAGCTGTTTAAAATCTGCACAATATCTTCTTCTGGACCCACAGCTCTCTGGAATGGTTGTTTCTTGCACTCATTCTTTTCCTTAGATATAAAATACTTCTCTTCCATCAGAAAGTAGTCTGTGGCACTAAGTTTGGTGTCTGGGTCAATCACCAGAACCTAAAAAAAAAAAAAAAAAAAAAAAGCAAAGGCAACATTAGGCACACCTCTGAAGAGTGGCACCAACTGAACACTAGTCTGTTTGCATGATGTTCTGGCAGGTTTGCTGGGCAGTTTATAAGTGAAACCTACTTGGGAGTGTTGCATAATTCTTTCTAGAGCTATAATAATTCTTATATGTCCAAAATGGATAATTTATGCTCACTGTGGGCAAAGACACAATTTATTTATAATCCCCAGACAGCATAGCTATTTTTTCCACTGCTGGAATGAGAAATCCTGTTGAATTAAAACTTTAGGTTTCTTACTCTTTGAACTTGGTTCTTTGAAATCTTGCAACAGATGGCCGATGCAAAAAACCCTGTGCCATTTGCAAGCATCACCTCTGTTTTTCACAGCGGAAATAACTACCCGGTCACGGAAGACTCACAAGGCTAAGGGCTCATCTGGGAATTCTTCTGTTAGACACAGTGCCCAAAGGGCTGTTTCCTGATGGAGTGGTTAAGACAGAGCTTTGGAGTCAGTTAGACCTAGGTCTCAGATTTCCCTTTAAGACTTACTTGTTTTGAGTTGAGGATATCTCAATAGAAGAACACTTGCTCAGTTTAGCATTCATGAAGGTGTAAAGATTTACTGTCTTTGGAGTTTTGGAAAGAGAGTTGGTTTTCCCATCTATAAAATGGGAATGCTCACAGTAACAATCTATTAGTTTTGGTTTATGATGGAAGCTTTAAGCATAGTGCAAGACATTTTGAGCATTCAATGAGTACCAGCAATCACTAGAGTCTTTCTGATACTTTTTTTCTCACTCCTGTCATGTAGATTTCTGGTGAAGTGTCAGTGATAGTGAAGAAATCCTCTTTGCTCTCTTCCTGTGAGAAGTAGCTGTGTGGTAGAAGCCAGCTGCTACCACCTGCCTTGGATTAAGCAAACACCCATCTCCCCAGGCCCCCGTCAATGATGTGACGACCATAGTTAGTATTTCTCACTTGGAGGGGTAGCCCAATATAAGGTGCTAAGGATGGTAGGAGCAGACAATCCTTACAGCTCTAATCTCTCTACCTGAGCCCTTGCTCTAAAGCAGCACACTAGTAATTCCACGGGGGCCAAGGCAAACAATTTGGACCATGCACAAACCTGTTACTATGAGCATTATTCAGTGTGGGAAGTTTCCAGAGGTTCTGTTGGTACTGTCATCTCCTCAAGAAACTCAACACCACTTTTTCTCAACACTGAGGATTTATTTGTTTATTTGTATGGAGAAAAATATGGTGCTGCTTTCATTAGTGGCTGTGGGAAATTTCCTTGATTTTACTGAATCTTAGTAGTGACTAAACCCTGAAGTTTATGCACTAATTGACTAAAAAACAATCAGGAAAAAAACCCAAACTCTTTGTGGTAGCTTCTGTTTGGTTACGTATAAAATTTGGATCTTAAGGCAGTTTGCTATGATGCTACTTAAGTCAGTTATAAAATGTTGGACAAAATGTTGCACTATCCATAGAGATGTACCCTTAAATGATAGAGACAACTAATAGTATTAACATAACATTAGTACTTACACATCACTTCTCAATTGGTTTTTAATTCTGTCATGTATCATATGGTTCCTGCTATATTTCATCATAAGCACTAACTTTGGAGGAAGGTCCAGGGTACTCCTCTTGGTCAGTGTTCTCCCTGGTCTACCCTCAGAGAGGAGAAGCAGTTCTAAAATGTGTTAAGGACGAAAGAGTGTGTGGGACATTAGGCCACTGAATCATAGAAATTCTTCTCTATGGTTAAGCTAGCTTGTCTAGTGATACCAAGGACTCTTAAACTATTTTTATTCAAATAATCAAAAGACATATCATAGTGAAGCCAGGAGGATTGTAAGTTTAAGATCAGCCTTGGGAAGTTCTGTCTCAAAATTAAAATAAAAGGTATGTGTTTGTAGCTCAGTGGTAGAGCATTTGCCTAGCATGTATAAGGTTAAAGGTTCAAGCTTCAACATGTAAAGATAAACAAGCTATGAAGAAATATAAGATGCATCATTGACATGGACTTTTGTAGATTTATGTGAATGCTTATACCCATACGTATTTGTACACATGCATGCATTTTGGAGACTGGATCTCTTTAACCATGGATTTGGTGGACTTGCCTGTTGGAGAAGCTGCTTTGCCTTGGTGCCTCCGTTTATGGTGAAAACAGCAAAGGGCTCCGGACCTGGAACACCATGCACTGTGACTCTGTGAGTCTGAGAACATTTCCTCTCTTCAGTATTAAACATCTGTCAATGAAGATCACATGGTTTCTCATGCATTCTAGATCACACAGAAGTTCTAGGCTGTATTCAACACAGAGTGCCTAGGACCCACTTGCTTGCTGATGTGGTGGACAACAGTCCCGAGGAAATTCAGCCTTCAGGGCAGCAACTTCCTGAAATTACATTGCTTCTTCCCAGCAAGAGCAGGGATTGGTATCACATGAAATGCATGTGAGCTTTCACTTTTAAAAGCTCCACGGGTGATACAAACATGAGCCAAGGTTTCTGTAGAGTGATGCAAGAAAAAGGAGAAAGGACGAGGGAGGCCCAAGAAAATAGGGCAGGGGTACACACAGAAAAGGAATCAGCAGAGGTGAGGGAGAGAGAGGCCAGAGAAGAAAGCAGAACTAGATAAGATGAAGGTGGTTCAAGAAAGTGCCCAAGCCTGTGCACACAGACGGAGGGAAACCGAACACACAGTCACATACAGTTTTAATTTATTAGAGGAAGAATAATAAAATCAACCAATAAATTAGAGCAGTGTTCCTCGTTTAAATGAACTACTCCAGTTTAGAGGGGTGAGCCCTGGTCCACTAGTTCTTAGATATCACTGGATGTGTGGTATGAACTGGTGAGTTAGTGCTTATGTAAGCACCAAGTGTCAGCCACCTTTTATCATTTCCATAGCTACCTAATTAATGACTCACTGGCAACTCTGAGAGAGTCTACCACCAGTGTAGCAGCCCTGCAGATAAGCTGGGTGAAATAAGAACTTAATTACCAAAGAGGCTGGCATGGTACTGCCAGAGGGATTTTCTTCCATCCTTCTGCTATTTATGAATAGGCTAGAGATTTCCAATATTTCATTGTGGAGGTTCCGCAGCTGAAGATGTCGATAACCTAGAATGATACAGAATTGGAAAAAGTCTGTTAACCATGCACAACTGAGCTCTGCAAATATCCCCATGGAGGTCACTACGTCCCCAAGATGGGCAGCAGATGGTAACAGGTATGCCAGCAGAAATCTCTCATTGTAAGAGAGCTGTCTCCAGAGGGTACTCCTGGACTGTCAATGAATAATTACCTTACCAGTCTAACTTAGACTCAAATGGATAATCATTAAACTCAAACAACAACAAAGAAATAGGAAATCTTGATGATTGTGACATCAAGGCAGCTACTATCTCTGCTTTACTAAAGGTCAATATCCATTTTAGAAAGCCTTTCATCATAATACACTTTTAACAACAAGAGATCATATATAGATATAAAATGCAACAATATTCAGCCAGTAAAATGGTAAGGTAGTTGTATGATTATTAATACAGGAAGGTGGTCATTATACCCATTAGAAATGGAAAACCAGGAAGTCTTATAACATTGAAATTAGTAGGAATTATTAACCGTGTATATACACAAGCAGAGAAATAAAGCTTGCACAGATGCATATCTAAAGTTATTAGACTGGGGAATAGCACGAATACTCTTGAAACAACTGATTTTTGTTTCTCTGTCCTTTCTCACATTTCTCTAGTAATTGTTATGATCTGAATTATGGACCCTTGGCAGGAGCCATGTGACTTCTTTGGGGAACAATGCCTGAGAAGGGCATGCACGGCCCTCTGTGTGGCAAGGCCCCTGGAGATTCTAACCTACTTGGCAAGAACCTGTGAACAGTTCACTGCATGATTCTGGGCATGATCATGGGAGCATGGGTGCTATGTGCCGTCTTGTTTTCACTGTGCTAGCCATACTGCTGGCCTGACTGAGTCACGGTAGGTCATGAGTTTAGTCCTACATATTTGCATAACTGTTCTGGAAAGAGTGATTTTAACCATATGAGCTTTAAAGAAATGCTATTAAGTAGATGATATCAGGAACTAATGGGAACATTCAAGGACTAGGGAATGAAGCAGAATCGAAGAAACTCACAGTTCCTTCCTTTCTAATAGCTGTGCCAACACACCAAGAAGTTAAGCTAGATAGACATAAGAACAAAGGCTAAGTAGTACCAACTATTAAGAGTAATGTTCCAGGTTATGTCGCTTATAGCATAAGTGGAAAAACCTGGTATGCCCCCAGAAAGGATAGAACAATAGAAACATAGAATGGATTGATCTAGCTTTGACTGGAGCATTGATCACGAGAACCCAAACCCTACCAGATATAAATATTAACAAGAGACAAAACTATCTCTTGCCCTGCATATGCTATAACTGTGTGTGCTGCCAACAAGACACAGTTCTACCTGTAGGTGTGCCTAGATAGAAAAGTTCCTTTGTAACTTGCAAAACTGCTTATGATTTTGACAATAGAGGTATAGACCAAAAAGGTAATGGCTACCCATGGGAGAGTTGGGAGACAGTAGGTGAAAGAGACAAGGAACAAACTGGTAAATAGTCCAACCATTTTTAGAAATTAAGTAAAAAGGTTTTATGTAGGAAGTAAAAATCGATTATAAAATTGTTCATGCAAACCATTGAAACTATATGATTAAAAACAGCTCAAGCTATCTGGGGCACTTGTTTGAACAACACAGGCTGTCAGAATACCTTATTGGCACTGACTCCACACATCCATCCCGGGTCAACAAACCTATCCAGATAAAGGCCTCTAGCAGACTCCTCTTATTGATATGTTGAGAGCCAAGCTCCCTAGCACCTGAGAGTGTGACTGTGAAGGTAGTTCCTTTCATGTTTAATGAGGTTAAAATGATGCTACAAGGGTGGGTCCTAATTCAATAAGACTAATGTCACCATAAGGAGAGGAAATTAAGAGATACCTCGGTGGGTAAACGCACTGGTGGCTAAGCCTGACAACCTGAGTTTGACATCTGGGACTCACACGATGGAAGGAGAGGATCAGCTCCTTCAAGCTGTGCTCTGACCTTCGCAGGTGCTCACCCACATGTGCACATGAAGTAAATGAAAACAATCTTTTTTAAAGAAGAGGAAATGAAGACAGAGATGTCAGACACGAACACACAAACTAAACAACATACAGTCATTATGTGACTGTACTTTGAAGAAGCCAAAGCAAGGAGAGAGAGAAGACATCAGGCTTCTGACATCTTGATTGTGGCTCTCCAGCCGTCCAGACTGTGAGAAAACAAATTGGTTGTTGTATATTGTCCTGAACATTCTACCAACTCACACATTGACCAGGGGCTGCTTGCATAGGAAAAGAGAACAGGAAGCCAACAGAAAGTGGGAAAGCATAACATGTCTGTGCAACCCAGAGGGTGTTAGGTTGAGTCAGCATCCTGGAAGCACTTCAGAGGCAGAATCTCAGCCTGCACCCTAGACCTACTGAACAAGAGTCTATATGTTATTACTGAGAGCCCAGGAGAATCTTATGCACATCAAAATTTGTGCAGCAGCACAAAGAGCCAACATTCCTGAGGACCACACCGAAGCCGACCCACAAGTCAATGGTACCAGCCTCTGCCTTTCATCTCACAGCTACGCTTCTGCTTCCGGTACTGCTGGGCCTCACCTGCAGCTGTGACTCACTTTGTCACTATTGTGCCCTTATCGCACTCCAGCTCTCCTTCCTTTGTTGTTTTTGTTTTGTTTTTCAAGACAGGGTTTCTCTGTGTAGCCCTGGATGTCCTGGAACTAGCTCTATAGACCAGACTGGCCTTGAACTCACGGAGATTCACCTGCCTCTACTTTCCCAAGCGCTAGGATTAGAGGTGTGTACCACCACCTCCCAGCCCTTCCCTTGGTTTTATTTCCTTACTTCAGTCTCTGCTCTAAAATGCCCTCGGCACTGCAGATGCCATTTGGAAACTTTGTTCTACCTCGTTTTAAAGCTTTGAGTGGAATGATTCTCTGAGCCGTTATTGCCGAACTGTTGTTTTCCACAACGGCAAAACGAAGAAATACAAGATCTTCAAAGTGAACCCGGAAGAGAAACTGTTCGTTCCACATGGGGTTCAGGGGGTTCCTATGGATGGGCTTTGTGCGGAAATGGCAGCTGTCCAGGGGCATGCCCAAGACATCAACCTCGATGCATGGACTTCCGGTGCTGTTACTGGGGCACACATTTTGGCCAGAGATGATCTGAAGGAAAATATAAAGGATCAAGTTAACAAAAGATGAAAGAGAAACAAAGAAATCACCAGTTATCTTACTTTCTGTCCACAGAGAATGATGCAATAGGTATTGTGAATTAGTAATTAAAACGTGTAAACACAAAACAATATAGGGAAACCCTGTCTCGAAAAACCAACAAGACAAAACAAAACAAAACAAACCCTGTAAACAAACACAAGTGTTTGTAATCCGTTAATCATGTGGCTAGAACCATTTGAAAATCCTATTGTGCTTATAGCATTCTCTTAAACTGATAAAAAAAAAGAAGCACTGAAATGAAACTGCATTTCTTACAGAGAAAAGAAAACCCTATTCCAAAGAAACAGGAGTTTGCCATTTACTTTCTATTTTGAACACTGCCGGAATTTATTTTACAACTATAAAATCTTCAACAGATTTGGAGCAAAACATGGAATACTGTTAAGAGAAGTTAATTCATGGCAGAATGAAAACAAAACAAAACAAAATGATGAAATGAGTATACCAGGTTTCTAGGTGTGGGTTTGAGAAGGTTTATTGTAGACATGAGGGAGAGCACAGCCAGAGGCATCAGGAAGGGTCCAGACTGAACGTGGCAGGCAGACTGAACAGGGCCATGTGAGGAGAGGGGGCAGGGAAGAGGGGAAAGCCAGAAACCAGGAGGCCAGGAGAGCGGGAACCAAGAGCAGCAGCCAAGGGGCAAAAAGGCAAAAGGACCTAGTAGCCAAATGGCTGGGTTACATAGGAATCCGGGAGGTGGGGGAAGAGAAGGCCAGCCCTGGACTGGAGAGTTTAGGACAGGGGCCGGGTATGCCAGTCAGCACATCTCTGCTACAGGTACAGGCCTCTGTTGAGAGAGGCTTTAATGTTAATAGGTACCTCAGCCACTGCCCAGGGTTTCCTCGTGACCTACAGTAGCCTTCTGCAAAAAGATAAACCAACATTCTACCCTTGCTAAAATGGTCTAATACAGAAGAGGCAACTGCTGCCCCGGCTTAGGGTGAGAATGTGGGTGATAGGAGAATGTGTGAGTAGGGTTAGCACAGGGATTTGGAGATCATGAGGACGCTTCCTTTGGGAAGAGAAAAATGAGATTTAAAGATGGAGAGAAGTAATGACTCTGCTCTCTCTCTCCCTCCCTCCCTCCCTCTCTCTCTCTCTTCACTCCCTTGCTCCCTCCCTCCTCTCCTCCCCTCCCTCCCTCATCTCCTGTCTTCATTTTTTTCTCTGTTAACTAAGAGGGAGCAAATTAATGAGGAAGTAGAGGTGACAAATGACCTGTAGTTCTTTATTTCAAGGCAGCAATATGCAGACTTAGTGATGACTTAAGAAACAGGCTGCACAAGGTTAGACTAGAAACAGGAAATATGCCTCTCTGTGTGTATACCCTGATGCCAGTCTGTGCCATCTAGGAAAAAGCTCAGTATTTACGGGGACACCAAGTTATGAATCTGTGTACCCTCGAAGACACAATGACCGTTCATGAGATAAAGCAGGCATTTTCTAACTCCACCTGCTCGACTCAGAAACACACAGTCTGTGACAGCGAGCCTAACCTCAGTCACTGCTTTCTGAGAAGCAGGAAATTGCTGTGGGAACCTGTGGTACCCTGAATTCCAGACCGTTGATATTTTCTCTCAGAGGCTTAAATGCTATATCGCTCGGACCACAGGGGAATACTCACAGTTAGAGAATAGATAGCAGGATCCATGCTGTCTAGGTCTCTTTCCAGTGGAGAAAACTTCTGGTACATGGGGCAGCTTTTATCCCACAGGACAGGGGGCTTCAAAACATAACCACAGCCACCATTTGCCTCAAACATTGCAGCATTTAAATGTAAAGGAAGATCTGCAGAACAAACACAGCCGAATTTACACGTCACAAAGAAGAGATAACCAGCCACTCATGTGCTGGCTAGTTTTTGTCAGCTTGACACAGAGAGAGTTATTTGGGAAGAGGAACCTCAGCTAAGAAAATGTCTCCATCAGATGGCCTGTAGGCGACTCTGTAGGACACTGTCTCCATGACTGATGTGGGAGGACCCAGTCCACTGAAGGACATGTACTCCTGAGTTGTATAGAAGCTGACTGAGCAAGCTTTGGAAAGCAAGCCACTAGGCAGTGTTCCTATATGGCCTCTGCTTCAGGTCTTGTCCTAGTTCCTGTCCTGACTTCCCTCAGTGAAGGAGTGTGACCTGAGAGTTGTAAGCTGAAACAAACCCTTTCCTCCCCTAGCTGCTTTTGCTCATGGTATTTTAGCAATAGAAACCATTAGACACACTCCCTAGACTGATGAATGCTCACTCTGTGCCAGGCTGTGTTAGGAGGCATGGAGATAAAGAGGTGCTTCAGGTAACAGAGACAACATCACCAACAGAAAAAACACCTTCCTCACCGTCTAATGAAATGCCCCATGTTCCAACTCCAAGCTGGGTTATGCCCCTTAAAAACTCCTTTTGCAAGGAAAATGTCATCATAGCCATCAGAAACCTTATGTAGAAAACATCATTTTATGCTGAAGTTTGGAACAAAATCATTATTTTGGGAAAGAATCATTCCATTTTTTTTTATCCATAAATACCAAACCACGTAGACAATTTTATGACCAGTTCTTACTATTTCAAAGGTAAGATAAAATCTTAATGATACAAGAGAGAAAAACAAGAAAATCAGCATTTCCATGAAATCTTAATTTCAGCCCATAATTATTTTTTTACCTCATTTTATAGTTAAATATGAAAAAAGTCATCACATATGATTCACATCATGTCTACAGCTTCCTCCATCATAAACTTTAGGAGCCCTCACAAAGGCTTCGAGTGTTTTGTCGCCAGATTTTACTTGGCTCAGTTTTTGATGAACGACTGCACAGTTTCTGGACTCTTACACACTCACACGCTCATCTGATGGCTCAGTCTGTATAAACCCTGCCCAAATGAGCAAAGGGTTTATGAGACACACCTGACAGATGTTCCCGGTGGTAGATTCCTTCCATGTGCGGAATGAACTTTGCTACATGAACCAACATCAAGGAAAAGTGGACTAAGTGCCTTTAAACAACAAAGGCTTGGCCCCTGCTCTGTATCTTGTGTGTGAAACTTTTCCATGTATCTGAGGTCGGCCAAGTGCATGTGCAGGAATTCCTGGAGAAGATGTATTAGGCACGCTGGGCCTTGGTCTCCTCCGTTGAATTAGTGCACAGCGCCCATTTGTCAGGTTCCTTCCAGGGCTTAAAGAGGCTATGCTGTCCCTTCCCTGGCCATTCTGTGACCACGAAACAGTCATATCTGGGATGGCCGAGAGCAAAGCAAACAAGCTCGCTTGAGGTGACTAAATATGAATGGATATTTATCCCAATTTGGAAACTGGATACAACTTTATGAGCACGGATATGATACCACAGTAAAAAAAAAAAACCCTGTCTGACCTCATGATAGTTTTCCATCAAAACTGTGTTTCTGCACATACTCAAAAAATCCAAAGGGAGGTAAACCCCCAAACCAACAAAACTTCAAGCCCACACACTTCTAGTCTTAAGCATTACAGAAAAAGAACAATCAATTAGCATTCTTAACTTCATTTAGGCGTGCTGTTAGACCTTTTTAGCACTGTGTCTAACCTAATCACTTTTTTAATGTTTTGTTTGATTTTTGAGATGGGGTTTCACTGTGTAACAGTTCTGGCTGTTCTGGAACTTGCTCTGTAACCAGGTTGGCCTGGAATTCACAGAGATTCACCTGCCTCTGCCTCCTGAGTGCTGGTATCAAAGATGTGCACCACCACTGCCTGGTTCTAATAGCTTTTTAAACTTTTTTTTTAAAGACTGGGTCCCACTGTGTATACCTGGGAGACCTGGGAACTTGCTATGTAAACCATGCTGGCCACAAACTCACAGAAACTGGCCTGCTGCTGCCTCATGCTGGGGGAATCTGCCTGTCTCTGTCTCCAAGTGTGTCACTCTCAGCTTTTAAAAACTCTAGGATCCCATTTGCTACTACAGTGTGTAAAACGGATTTCTGTGAAGCTGCTCAGTTTGAAATAAAGAGGGGCTCAAATCTAATCCTCTTACTGTCTCCTAGGGAGGCCTAGTGGTCATCTGCACTTTGGAAACCTCTGTTTGCAACCAAATGAAAGTACATGGACCATATACCTGATTGGCCCATTTGAACCCACACATGTGAGGGTAGAACAGACATACCACTGTCTGCATGGTCTCCTATTCTTAAAAGCGAGGTGGGAGGCAGATACCACACTCTTAACAGTTCAGTTACCCTTGTATTTGGGATTTTGAAAAATCACTATGAAAACTGCAACTCTAATCCAATAAAGCATAATAAATGCTTTTTAGAAGAGGCTTTTCTTCTGACTGGAGTTGCAATGCTTACATTCTTGTGGGTTCTGTATATTGAGCAGGATTCATTCTGGCCCAGAGGAAAGAGCTGGGGTGGACTGTTGCCCATGGTAACCACAGCTTTGCATGCTAGCTTCAGGTTTGCAGGCTCAGTGGTTGCTTTTATTGAACATGGGTCACTTCTGACCTTCTTGGAGTTGACAGGTCATCTGGAAGCTTGAGGATAGAGGGTCCTAGTTCCATAGACACACCCGGGAGGCATCAAGCTCCCCTGACGTTTACAAAACGGCAACGTAAATGAGCCCTGTGAGATGGGGATGCTGATGGGGCACAGGGAGGGCCTTGGAAAATCAAGTGCTTCTTCACCTAGGGATTGTTTTGAACAAGTGAGAAACGGCTGTTCTGACATTGATTGCCCATTTGTCTGTTTGGATTCTCAAATCACGTACTCGGAAGATGTCTTGTTATGATTTGAATGTGAGATGCTTCCCAGAGGTTTGCACGCTTAAACACTTGCTCCTCAGATGGGAGCCATTTGGGAAGGGCTGTGGAACCTGGAAGAAGTTGGTCAATCGGGGTGGGCCTTGGGGTCCACTTCTTGCTCCTTCTCTGCTTCCTGACTGCAGATGCACTGTGACTAGCTGGCCTCTGCTTCTCCCACCATGCCTTCCTTGCTATGATTAAATGTGTCCTCTCCAACTGTGAGCCAGAATAAACCTTTTGTGGTAGTTTGAATGTAATGGCTCCCATAAACTCTGTGAATGGCACTACTGGGAGGTGTGGCCTTGTTGGAGGAAGTCTGTCATTGTAGGGGCAGGCTTTGAGCTCTCATATATGCTCAAGCTACACCTAGTTCAGCCTACTTCCTGTTGCCTGTGGGTCAAGATGTAGGAAGTTCAGCCTCTTTTCCAGCACCATGTCTGCCTGCACGCACACCACCATACTCCCAGGCACCATGCTCCCCAACCTGATGATAATGGACTAAACTTTTGAAACTGTAAGCCACCACCTCAATTAAATGTTTTCCTTTATGAGTTGTCAGGGTCATGGTGTCTCTTCGCAGCGATAGAAACCCTAAGAACCTTCCTTCTATCCTTCCTTCCTTCCTTCCTTCCTTCCTTTCTTCCTTCCTTCCCTTTTATAATTTATTTTTATTGTATGTGCCTTGGTATTTTGCCTATATGTCTGTCTGTCTGAGGGAATCATATGCCCTGGAACTGGAATTACAGACAGGCATGAGCTGCCTTGTGGGTGCTGGGAACCCTCAACCCTTTTTTTTGTCTTTAAGTTGCTTCTTGTCAGGTATTTTTGTCACAGTGAGAATTAACTAACATGTCAATGTGAAAAGTAACAGAGCTGCACCCCTCCCCCATGCAGATCCATAGCTTCAGATTGTAGAGAGGCTGACCAAGATGTTGCTGCAGCTCAGGGCAACTCTGACTGATCATCCGCTGCCTGTTAAGTGTCGACTGAGGCTTCGGTCACAGTTGCATAAATGAAGGACACACAGATGTTGCATGCGCAGCAATGGTACATGTTTAAGGCTCAGTGAACTGAACTGAGAGAGAGTAGGTGACAGCACTCTTTCCGGGTTGCAAGGCTATGCAGGGAACCTTGCTGATGAAACAGTCACTGTTTCCCTCGAGTGGGGCAGCTCCAGCAGGTGCTTCCCACTTGGTTTGTAGAGATAAAGACTGCAGAGGTGAGTGGAAGGCACTCTGGGGTTCAGTTTGTGTTGCGGGCTATGGCTTGGGCTCAGGAGTGGCAGCTTCTTATATTCCCTTTAGCTAGGGTGCCCTTTGCCATGGTTGGAGCCAGCATGTCTGCACCAGCCCTGGCACCTGGGGAGCAGGGCGCATCCCAAGCCAAGCATACACACATTTCTTTGAGGAAACCATTCCGGTAGTTATTTTGGTGCACTCAAAAACTTAAGTAGCATAATAGCTTAGGAAGCCTTGGACACAGGGCTACCGACAGAGCCAAGGCGGTGAAGCCACAGGCCACTTGTGAAAGATTGAAAAGAAATGGAAAAGCAAACTGTACGACTCTGAAAATATTTTGCTATTATTTCCATTTGTGAGTCCAAATCATACTTTTTTTTTGCAGCTTATCAAATATCCTTGAAGAGAGCTAATGGTTGTGCAGTGCTTCTCCAGGGCTAGGAGCTTTTCTAGTTGCTGCTCTGTCTACACATCCTAGGTACACTCAACTAAAAACAGTAAATCTGGTGAGGGTGAAACAAAGCACGGCAGATATCAATTAGTCGATGTCTTTATGTCAGCTGCAGCTGACACCAGCGTCAGGCACCTGGTTATCCCAGAGCTAAGAGCTGTGGTCTAATCTCAGCTTGAGACAGGGCCACACTGTGGTTTATGGTTCAGCATGGGTTCAGGTTACATTCATGTGAGATGAACAGGGGGCTGCTGGCACCTCTGCTGTCCAAAAGAAGCACTAGATTTTGCATGAGTTTCTAGGAAACATTACTCATTTTCCTTCATCACTGCATGGAAACAAAATGTCTTAGTCCCGGAACTCCCAGAGAACCTGAACTTACTAAGGCATGCTGCAGCCTTGAACAAGCGAAGCATCTAAACAATGTTTGAATAACACTATTACATTTTTCTTTGAGACAAGCTCTCTATGTAGCCCAAGCCAGCCTCGGACTTGTCAGTCTCTTCCCTAAGCTTCTGGAGTGCTGGAATTCAAGATAGGTACAGCGACACAGGCCGCTACCTCCCGACTTGCAGAAACAAAGGGTTAATTAAGTGATGATAGGGAATTCCTGCCCTCATAGAGCTTTAAAATTCAGTCGATCAAGAGCAGTTTGTGTTTACAACGTGCTTTTAAAAGAGTCATCCATCACCCGCTTCTCTATCAGACCAACTCTAAAACGTCAGGAGCACAATTCCTGCCAGCTTCAACTTCGCATCCTTTGTGTTCCTCCGCCACGTACGTGTTCCCCAGTCTGGACTCTTTTTTTTTTTAGCCGTGAGAAAACAAATGTTTATGGAACTGCGTTTGCTGAACACGAGAAGATGTAGAAAGAGGGGAGGACACAGGTTCCTTACCATCCGTCTGGTAGTTGAGGGCCACAAGCTGTATCCCATGGAGCCAGAACATGAGGGGGTTGGGATTGGATGAGTCGATTCGGGTCGCTGCCGGGTAGGTCCTCAGCAGCTGACAAGCGGTGTGCTGGATTAGTTTCTGAGAATACCTGCGACACAGACGTTTGGCGGCGTTTTCATTCAGTGAGGAGATATGATAGCATTTGGGAGTTCTAATGATAGCGCTGAGGGATGTGCTTGGGCTGAGTGGCGAACACGATTCCTCCCAGGTTTGCCGAATTCCTTCGTTGGAACCTAGACCCCCCCCCCAAAAAAGATCAACCTCTGGTTAATGTCAAAACTTCAAACATTGTCGAAAGAGTAATCCCAAGAGAGCACCAAACACACAGTTTCGAGAAGGAAGCAGGGCAGAATATATCTAGAATTTTACTTTGAGTTAGTTTGCTACCTTGAAACATGGTGGCGACTGAGTTTTTTTTTTTTTTAATTTTAAATAGCTTGTTTTACATGTCAATCCCAGTTCCCTCTCGCTCCCCTCCTCCCGCACTCCCCTTCCACCCTCCCTCCCACCCTATTGCCAAATCCTTCCACATAGGGGATGTCTAGAGTCTATCATTTTACTCTTGGTAGGGTCAAGGCACTCCCCTAAGAGTCCAGGCTGAGAGAGCATCCCTCTTTGTGCTATAGGCACACGAAGACTGTTTGTATACCAGGGATAGACACTGATCCACAACTCAGGGTCCCATAGGTTGTCCAGGCCTTCTCACTGACACTCACATTTGGGGGGTCCAGATCAGTCCCATTCTGGCCTCCCCACTGTCGGTCTGGGGTCCAAGAGCACTCCCCTGTTCAGATCAGCTGTCTCTGCTGGTTTTGCCAGCCCATTCTTTGCCAATTTGCTGAGTTTTAAAATGAGAGTGGCAAGCAAGGCGAGGTGTGACTCAGTGATAGGACACACATCTAGCATGCACAAGGATCCGGGTTCAATTGCCCCCCCACAATAAAAAATAACACCAAGATAGTAACACCAATTTAAATTGGGCATCGAGAAGAACTTTTGCCTCGGTACATCTTTGTTCTGTGTGTAATCTTTACAAATACAAAGTCTGTATGTAACTGTATGAAACTTACAAGAAAACAAAACCCTCTAAGCAAGCCAAATGTCCTATTGGTGACATAGTTAATAAATATCCATGTAAAGGAATATCACACAGGCACACAAGAGGAAAAGACAGAAAAGTGTACAGACTATTGTATGACCACTGAGAGCAACTAAGAAGTTAAACAACTATGTTTGGTTACATCCCATTTGGATTTTCCTTAAAATAAGTTTATTTTTTCTTGAACAAATTACAGTGAACTTCCCAGTGGGTCATCTCTAAGAAACAACATCATGACACTGATAATGGAAGGAATTTTAATCATCTTATGTACCAGCTGGACTTTTAAGTAGGGGAATTTATTATATTTAAGATAAAAAGTAATTAGAAATAAAATGATGTATCTTCTGGATAAAAGATGCAGTTCCAGGAACCATCTGAACTGTGTAAGGTGCTTCCAATTTTACTTTTGAGGCAAACAATGTGAGATTATCTTCAGTAAAAATGTTATTTTTAGTGAGTTAAGAGATAAATTAATAATCAAAAATATTTATGTTGCACTTAGTGTAAACATCTATGAAAATAAAAGTGAATTTCAAAATTCAAGGGAAGTGGTTAGATGGAGAAGAATCTGAGTCACCCAGCATGCAAGACCAAGCAAAAACACTGAGAGAAGGTGACTTTACTTTTTCCAGATGTTCTGTTGAAGGATGCTGTCTCCCCTGGGCTCATTCTGCCAGGATTGTTGCCAAAAATGGACTTCCTGCTTTTCCTTTCTTTCCCTCTGCTAGAGCCAGATGAATTTAGAGTCGACAGGCCTGTTCTCATAAAAAAGAAAATAAATAAGCCAAAAGCCACAGGCTAGAGAGCTCAGCTACATTTTCCATCCTTGTTAATGTGTATGTTGAAGTCCTACTATTTATTCCTTTGTTACACAGCACAGAAGACCCATTACACTTTAACATGGTTGATAATAGTATTGTAGGCAATTCTAGCAAAGTTTATTTAGACAGATGGAACAAACATTGCATGGTTATCAAAGAATAATCCCCAAATTACAACACACACACACACACACACACACACACACACTCACACACTCACACTCCAAATGAACTGTGTGCCTGAAAAGAGTTTTAAAATTGCACGTACAGAATATGCTACAGTTTAGATCTAATTCCTAGAGGCTAACAATTCAACTTGGGGAAATGAAAGGATGAATATGAGCCAGGGCATAATGTTGTCGACATTATAAGCCTTCTGGTATTCTTTGTTGAGGCCTTGTGGGCTTTCATTTATCCATATTAGTATGCTTAACTTATTATTGTTGTCTCTGTTTAGCTCATGTTTAGACAGTCACAATAGTGAGACTCTGGGCATAGCTTCTTCGTAGGAGACACAATCTCATTGTAAACTCTCAGGTCCCCTGGCTGCTACAATCTTTCTGCCCCTCTTCCACAGTGATCCCTGAGTCTGAGATACAGGAGTTGCTTTATAGATACATCCTTTGGGACTGGGATCCACAACTCTGCCTTCTAATTGGTTGTGGTTTTCTGTAATAGTCAATTAAGGAATGCTGAAAGAGGGAGAAATGGTCATGCCAGGGAAGAGTACATCAACTGGTTATCTAATACCATACGGCCAGCCCCCAAAATGTATATACAAGTGACAGTATACAGACCAATCAGGCTGACTATGTATTTAGGAATATACATACATGCATGCATACACACACACACACACACACACACACACACAATTAACAATTAATGGAAAAAAACCAGGCCACGAGTTTGAAAGAGAAAAAGGAGGAGTATATGGGATGGCTTTGAGGGAGAAAAGGGAAGGAGGAAATGATGTAATTATAATCTCAAAAAATGAAAGAAATAATTCAAAAAAGTCCTTCTGGCATGATCTTTGACCAAACCATAGGTTTTTCCTTATCTAAAAATGAGTGCCATTGTAGGAATTACTCATAGGATTAGTCTAAGGGTTCAATGGGAAAGATATGATGATGATGTTTTATGGCTTTTCTCTCTCACTCCTGGTCCAATCACTCCTGGGTCCTTTATGGCAGGCGCAGTGCCTGGTACACAGCAGAAACTTACGTGTTTGCTGAGTGAGAAAATGAGTGCATACCACCTACACCCAACTCTATTATAAGAAGAGTGACTTAAAGGCTCCAAGGAAGCCAACTGACAAGAACTCATCCCTATGGCTGTTAGAGAATGACTCCACACTCTGCAGCAGTTGGGAGGATTCAGAAAATGGAATGCCAGCAGAGAAAGAACAGAGAAGTGTTTAAAAGCATAGATGGTCATATCTGACACTGCGTGCATGACCAAGACCCAGGGACAAGATAGCCCAGGGACCAAAGGTAAATCCAAACTCTACTTTAAAAAAGTAGTGATGAAATGACCCTTAGTAATATTCTGCTATGCTCATAGATACAACCATCATCAGAGAGGCTTCCTCCTGTAGCAGATGGGAACACACAGATCCACAGCCACATATGGAGAGGAGTGGAGGGAGAGGGAGAGGGAGAGGGAGAGGGAGAGGGAGAGGGAGAGGGAGAGGGAGAGGGAGAGGGAGAGGGAGAGGGAGAGAGGGACTGACTTTGGAATACTCAGAGCTCAGGGAACCATGTGGAAGATGAGGCAGATAGAGTGCCTGAGGGGATGGAGGACACCAAGAGAACAAGACCCATTACATGAACCGAGCAAAGGTCACATGATCTCACAGAGACTGAAGCAGCAAGCACAGGGCTTGCACAGGTCTGCAACAGGTCTTCTGTGTGTGTCATGGCTTTCAGTTTAGTGTCTTTACAAATGCCAGGAAAGTTTACTGAGCTAATAATCCCACTTTTTTGTTTGTTTGTTTGAGAAAGGGTCATTTAAAGTTGCCTAGCATGGCCTTGAAATCATTCTGTAGACAAACTTCCAATTCACAATTCTGCCTCAGCCTCTGAAGCAGCTGGACCATAGGCCTGTGCTCCTGGGACCAAACTAGATAATGCTGAAAAGTGAGATTTACTGAAACTGATACGATAACTTATTAATTTATCAAACACAAAACCAGCAAGGTAACAAAATAAACATTTTATAATTTCCTCATGTACATCAGAAAATTTTATAATAACAGTTAATTTTTAGAAGTTATTACAACAGTTATACAAGAACATAATTTTAGTTATTCTGAGAAAGGACATAAAATTATAGACAGGGTAGATAAACTTCAATTGCTAACAAACAGCATAAAGTATGTGCTGTGCCAGGTCAGAGGGACAGCTCAGTGGCTAAGGGCACTTGCTGTTCTTGCAGAGGACCTGAATTCAGTTTCCAATACCCATAGCAGATGGCTAACAATAGCTTGTTATTCCAGCTCTGAGGATCCCAGGCCCTCTTCTCATCTCCTGGGGCATGGCACACACACACACACACACACACACACACACACACACACACACACACTTTGTAAATGTTTTAAAACAATGCATTAGGAACAATAGCCAGGTGTGGTGGTGCATGCCTTAACCCAAGCACTTAGGAGGCAGAGGCAGGTGGATCTTTATGAGTTGGAGGTCATTGTGGTCTACACAGAGGACAGCCAAAGCTATATAATCAAAACAAGAAAACCAAACCAAACCAAACCAAATCAACCAACTAGTCAACCAACCAACCAAACAGAAAACAACTACATGTCCATCCTGCACTTCAATTCAGGGTTGGGCCATATGGCCCCCTGACACTATCACAATTCTCTATTTGGCATAACTTTATCTTTCCCACTAAACTGAAATATCCATGAGAATTTGGGCTCCCAGTCTCTCTCAGTCCTTGAAAAGACAAAGTCAATTGAATTGTTTCTATATTTCTAGTGTTACCTGATTTCTCTCTCTCTCTCTCTCTCTCTCTCTCTCTCTCTCTCTCTCTCTCTCTCTCTCTCTCTCTCTCTCTCTTCCTTCCTTTCTTTTTTGAAACAGGGCCTCACTCTATAGTTCAGAATGACCTAGAATTCACTACATTAGACCGCACTGGCTTTGAACTTGTGTCAATTCTCTTGGCCCTGCCACCTGAGTGCTAGGACTATAGTGCTTGCATTGATTTTTGAACAATATGGCTCACACTTGATCTGATGCTGATAGGTTAACTTTCTTCCTCTATAATGAGATAAGCATCACTGGTGTTAAGTACAACCACTGCATACTTACTTATGTGACATAAATCATGCCCTGTGAAACTAAAAAGGTAAACATTTTAGGTGTATGTATGTGTGCCTACTTGTGTATATGTACAACATGTGAATGCCTGGGTGGGAGGACTCTGATGAGATGGCTCACCAGTGAGGAGCACTTGTCGTTCTAACAGAAGACCTGAGTTCAGTTCCCAGCACCCACGTGGCAGCTCACAGCTGTCCATAACTCCAGTTCCAAGGGATTCAGTGACCTCTTCTAGTGTCTGAAAGGACCAGGCACACACATGATGCACATATACTCACACAGATAAAACACTCATGCACATAAAATAAAAATAAACAAATCATTCGAGAAGTACAAGCGGAAATCCACTAACCTTGGAGAATTATTATGAAAGGTCAGAGACCATGTGTGGGAATTATGGGAATTATTAATTTCCGTCACACAATTCAGTTGTTTCAAAATATTCATAATACCCCATTAAGTAGTACACTTTTACCCTTTGTGACTTCAAATATTAGAGTGGTTATTGACTACTCTTACCTGGAAATTTTACTGCCTGGCAGTAGATGATGAGGTCAGAGAGCTCTGGTGCAATCTGTCTGCTTTCCTTTTTGTTCTGAGGGAGGTAAAACTCCTCCCCCAGTTCCATGTCATATACCTTTCAAGGGAAAATGACACTGTTTTACCAGAAAATGGAGTCTCCTGACTCAGGATCCCCAAAGCACTTCCTCTATTCGTCTCCCGCATTGCCAGCATGCTTCCCCTTCCTCAGCATTTCTCCACTCTCCTATGCCAGCACCTTTCTGGGGGAAAGGGGTGTGTCTAGTTCATCCTTCCTGTCTCTCAGGACGGAATCTATTATCTTATACATGGAGTAGTCGACACACATTTGTTGACTTAATAGAGGACTGCAGAGCTTTGGCTCTGCAGCTGTCTGAATAGATTTTGTTTTCAGTGTCTATAGGCTGCGAGGCACCTGAGGGTGAGACCTGGGTGCCTCATGTGTCTTTCTGGTCTCTGTGTTACTATTGCTAACTCTCTTCATAATCTGCTTTCCTTTTATCTTCTTGGTGTAGATGACTTTAAAACCTCTTACAATTTCTTGAACAACCAAATTGTCTTCTTGGCCTGAATGCCCTGTTTCTTTGGATGTGGGCAAAACGTTATTCTTACACAGCATCTTCGATCCTCTGACAATACAGTGAGATCACTATGTTTTTTATTTATCTGCAAGCTTTGATTTGATCCTAAACCATCCATACCCTGTGCCACTGGAGGTGTCTCCACACAGACACCTCCAGTAGGTTTTGGCTGGGTGAAATAATGACAAGTGGCAGGCAGGCGTCTTATGCCATCTCCATGTAGTCTTTGGCATCTGAGGGAAACTGATTGAGAAAGGGAGGGGAGCGGAGTCCCAGATGAAAGGGACAGACTACCAAGTTCCAAGAACCACATCGAGAAGACTCGTCTCCTACCTTTCCCTTATTGCAAGAAGAGTTATCTGCTTTCTTTATCCTCTTGGGGATTTCTTCATTGTACTCAAACTGAAGCTTGTCAGCACATGATTTGTTTTCAGGTTTGTCTTCCAGAATATTGTCTGAAAATGAGTGATCAGGCTTCAATGAGGCAGAACCAAATGCGTCCCTTCAGGGCTTTGTGTGAGGGTGTCCAGCCACCTGCACGGATCTACAAAACTGAGGTGCCGGCTACACATTACTAAAATGATGACTTGAAGCACAGCTTAAAACCTGGGTATGTACTTAGCTTCAGTTCTATGGGCTCATTTACCAGTAGTTTTGGTACCATACAGACATAATTTAAGTGAGAAGGTTCATCTGGCACAGCTGGTGGTGTCCTATGCCAAGAGGCTGACAGCACACAGGTCTGGGGGATCTAGTGGTTGAAGCACTTCTGGGTGGCACATTCATGAGTTAACCAGCCTTCCTTTGAAATGAAGCTATTTGCTTCTTGAAATGTCAAGGCCAATAATCATGGGAGAAGACTTATTGTTATACATTATGCTAAGTTTCCCCATTTTAAATTAATTGGAAAGTAAGGTTTTCTTGATTGTTGTTTTTAAGTTATAATCTTAAGAATTCAATTTAAAAAATTATCTGTGTTTAGTGCATTGGTGTTTGCCTGCATGCATATCTGTATGAAGTTGTTAGATTCCACAGAATTAAGTTACAGACAGCTGTGAGCTGCCACGTGGGTGCTGGGAATTGAACCTCGGTCCTTTGGAAGAACAGCCAGTGGTTTTAACCATTGAGCCATCTCTCCAGGTCCAAGAATGCAAATATTTCTAAGAGTGGTAGATAATCTTAGATTTTTGCCATGTTTAGTATCTCTATTCAGAACAAGTTTAAACGTCTAAGAAGTGTATCACAACTGTACTCTTCTAAAGTGAAAAACAAGAGAGCTAAGATTTCATCCCAGATTTACTAACTTTTTGGACCACAAATGCTTAGACCAAGATATCCTTATAGCAAGCCAGGGCCATGCAGCTTACCAAGAGATCAACAATTTCACCGCATTTCTATGCACAGAAGTGTCACAACTTCATGCTAACCAGACCCAAGACAGTAGAGACTTAATTTGGACATCCATGCAGTTAAAATACCGGGTTCAAATGGTGTTTACCTTCCTGACTGTTAGGAAGAGGGGAAGCAGTAAGCACATCTGCTACAGAGAAACAGAATCAGAAAGAAAATACAGGTAAGGAGAATTAAGACTGAGCCAGATAAATCAAACGAAGGTGTGGCACAAAGCATAGGTTACATCGGCTTAGATCACAGGTTGAGTGAAAAAGTAAGTGACTCAGAGACCTAATATCTTGACTGCCATAAATACAAGGACTAGCAATAATGGAAATGCAGCCAATCCTGGTCCTTGGGTAGTGGATGCAGAAGGAGCAGGAGTTCAAGGTCATAGTCAATTACATAGAGCATTTAAGGACAGCCTGGGCTGTATGAGATGCTGTCTCAAAAAAAAAAAAAAGCAAACATTGTTAATGCTAATCATGCCGTAAGCTGCCCATTCATATTACTAGTTAGTGAGGACTGTAACATTCCCGATATGGCCTTAATTAAATTCAGAGAGATGAGAGAGGCACTGCAACCACCATCAAAATCATATGCTTGCTAAGGCATTTAATGGTTGCCTACGTAAGCTGTCATAGGACAAACTTCACAAGGCATGCCATAACTTCAAGGCCTATTTGGAAGTCAGCCAGCCAGAGGGAACTTTTAAGTGAAATCTGAAATAACCATGACAGTGAACCTCAGCTGTCATAGATCCCAGATGTTTGTGCTGGAAGTGTTTGGCCTGGAACTCATAGAGATCTGCCTGCCTCTGCCTCCCAAGTGCTGTGATTAAAGACAGAAGACTGGCTGATTCCTTAAGTATAATTTTTCATTTAATCTCTGAATCAGTTTGTTTTGCTATGGGACATTTCCATGGGGGCAACTGTGTCAATATATAACTTTTCACATTCTCATGGCTTTTTAGGACTAGGATGTTAATAAATTGTCTTGACTTCATTCAAATTTTATCCCTTTTATTACCTTATGGTATTTTAGATCAAATACATAGGTCTTTAACTGATGGCATGAACCAATCAACTGTTACGGAGGCTAAATATTAAATGGTCAGAATACAACTAGACTGTCACCAGTAATGAAGGCTCTGAAGTGAAACTTGAGTATGAGAAGCTAGTATGTGGAGGGGCTTAGTGGTCTCACATCAACGGGAAACAGTTACCAGTATGGGGACAGCTGCATATTTATCAAATAGTCTACTTTAAGCAGCATGTGTATGCCAGGGATCATGGGGCCTTTGTTATATCAGGAAAACGCTCTGCCACTGGGCCAAACCCTCAGCCCCATACTTAATGCTATGTAGGAGACGGAGTCAGGAGGATCAAGACTTGCAGGTCAGAATTAGGTCTCACTAAAATTTTTTTTATTCAATTAGAAACCTTGAAATTTCATCATGGGAATATTATTGCCTTTTAGAGATCAGCAAAGTGAAAATCCACTATCAGTAATGTTGTAGGAGAAAACATTTTGTAATCTCCTGCTAATGACACTAATTATGTGTAAGTTTTGGCTTGAGGAGAAGGCTTCACTAGGAACCTTTAGTTAACATGACTTATTTGACTTTTAAAAATTGTGTCATTAGCCATCGCTCATGGCTTTCTTTTTGTTGGAGCTGGAAGGAAATGTCTTGTTGGTTTAGTAACCTGAGAACAGGGAGGAAGGAGACAGATTCTCCTCTTCTTGGTGACAGACTACCAGAGGGACAGTATGACAATGAGGAAGAGAGCACTGGGCAGTGAGGCTGTCCCCTGCGGACGTTGCAGGAGAGAGAGGGAGGATTTAGGTAGAGTCTGAAGCTGCTGCCAAGAACTTCTACCACTCCAGAAACTCAAAGGCTGAAAATGTGTTTTTCTGCTATTACATTACCTCTTCCTCTACAAGCCCATTTTAGGAAAGACACCCCCATGGCCCCCCCACTTCTTCCTGTGCTGTCCTTATCTTCCTGGAGTGTGGCTGTGATGCTTAACAGAACCCCTGCTCTTCCTTGGTCCTCACTAAGTGACTGGATTTTCAAACTCCCAGACATTATTCAAATAATCTCTCTGGCTTATCTATGGAATTCCAGATTTATTTTTTGGCGGGGAAAGGAAAAATTATCTAAGCATTTCCCTGCTCACAGAAGCAGGTTCTGTTTCTCTTACCATCAGAAAGGGATTCATAATCATAATCATATTCATCCTCTTCGTCTTCCTCTTCCTCATTACTGGCAGGTGGGGGGTTGGCACTCCCACCAGTGAAAGCCTGTGCTTGCATAGATGCTAACTGATGAGCCTGTAAGATAGTAATAATTAAAGGCTGAGCATGCAACCTACGGACCTTCTGCCTAACCCTTTAAAGTCACTGCCTAGTGCTTACTAGGGTGATGAAAGTGGACTGTCCCTTTGGGTTCCTTTGAGAGAGGAAGAAGTATCTGGATGCAATAGAAATGTCAGTGTGAAACAGGCATTTGCTTGAGGCTTTCACTCCTCGTTTGGGCCCACGGATAATAAAAACCAGCACAGTATCTTGGATTTCATTTTGTATCTGGCTTTTTTACTTGGAGTTACCTGCTTCTCTTGGCACACGGGACTGATGATCACTCAGGTAGTGTCCACCTAACCTGTCTCATCTCCCATCAAGGCTAAGGAACAGAGAGAAGCCACCTTTCCTCTTAAGCCACCTTGGGTTCCCAGAACAGCAGAACCTCATTGAACAGACTCCCGCCCCAAGATGAGGGCAGGTATCCAGGATGGGAAACTGCTTCCTGAATCAGCAGTACTCTCCCAAGAATCTGGTTGTCTCCCAAGGAATAAGGACTTCTTTGGACTACCTGACAGGTCCATGCTGAGACAATGATGAGCTTGACCACTCCCTTGACCGGACTGGTTAACAGTGTATACTGTCTCCTTCCATTTAAAGCTAAAGCTCCTGCCAGTGTCCTGATAATGGACTTGAGGTCACTGAGTTCCTCCATCTGTTCTTTCTCCCAGGGGAGTCACACAGACTAGATCTCTTCTCGTTGCTTTACACCGTTACATGTGCTTCTAATTGAGGGTCAGCGGTTAAGCTGTGTTTGTTGGGGATGCCATAGCCCAGTCTTTGACCCTAAAGACTCTAGACACAGCTTTTTAGATGAATGTCAACATCCTTGAAGAACTTGGGACCTTTTAGAAACAATCTCAAGAAACTTGTGTGAGGTGACTGGATTCCTAGGCTCTCTGGGAAGTTCTGCAAGAGAAAACTCTAAGGCTTGGAAAACTAGTATCAGTCTCAAGGGACTGAGTGAAACAGCCCATCAATTTTAGAGCAGGAAGTCTCAGCTAAGAAATTAATTTTTTGTCTTAAAATAATATTGAAAGTCCTCTGACCTTGAGAACAATGCTAGAATCCCTGTGGACAAGCAGACCAAAAGAATGGTTGCTAGTTTAGAAAACACTTTTTCAACAGACGTTATAAGAACTATAAATCAAAATAACAAAACAGGCTTAGACATTTTAAGAAACCTGGGACTGGACAAATGGTTGAGTGGTTAAGAGTGCATATGTAGAAGCTCAGTTCCAGGCCTGGAGGAGATGGCTCAGTATCTAAGAGTACTTGTTCTTGCAAAAGATCTGGTTTTGATTCCGGGCACCCATGTGGTAGCTCACAACTATTCATAACTTCAGTTCCAGGAGATCTTATGCACCAGGTGTGCTCACAGTGAATAAAGATGCATGCAAGAGAAGCACTAATAGACATAAAATAATGCAAAATTATTTAAAAAATAGTAAGTTCAACATCAGGGGGATCTGATGCTTTTGGCCTCCACAAGTTCCTACGCAGGAACTCTCTCTCTTTCTCTCTCTCCCTCTCTCTTCCTCTCTCTCTCTCTCTCTCTCTCTCTCTCTCTCTCACACACACACACACACACACATGTATGCACACATATAATTAAAGCTAATAAAAATAAACCATTAAAGCAAAAATTTAGGAAATGTGTCAAAACACATAGTAGTGGGTCAAGTGATATTTTCGAGTATAGGATGAACATAAATAATTCTTGGAGGTGTCATCAACATCTGTGAGATAAGAAAGCTGTCATTTCTCCCAGTGAAAAAGATATACATTAGGTATTGCCTAAGTTACTTGGTTTCCCCTATATTTATAATCAGAGGAATTGCTAAATTAGAGATGAGTGAAAATAAAGGTATGAGCTGACAGGATGGCTCAGCGAGTAAAAACACTTGGCACACAAATGTGACAACCTGCACTGGATCCCTGTAGCCCATGCTGGAAGGAGAAAACTAACTCCTGAAGGTGTCCTATGACCTCCATATGTGAACTTCCTCTTTCATTAACATAAATGATCAAAAGAAAGTAAAGACATGGTTTGTTTTCATTTCTATTCTTGGACTCCATGCTGCGTAGTTTTATGTCAGCTTGAAATAAGCTGGAGTCATTAGGGAAGAGGGAACCTCAACTGAGAAAATGTGCCCATCAGCTTGGCCTCTAGACAGCCTGTAGAGCCTATAGGCAAGCCTCTGGAGCCTGTGAGCAAGCCCATAGAACACGTTCTCGATTGATGACTGATGTGGAAGGGCCCAGCTCACTGGGTGGTGCCATCCCTGGCTGGCGGTCCTGGGTGTTATAAAAAAAATCAAGTTGTGCAAGCCACGAGGAACAAGCCAGTAAGCAGCATTCCTCCATGGCCTTTGCATCAGCATTTGCCTCCAGGTTTCTACCTTGAGTTCCTGCTCTGACTTCCATTGATGATGGACTGTGGCCTGAGAATTGTGAAATAGATTAAACCCCTTTCTCCAGAAACTGCCTTTAGTCATGGTGTTTTGCCACAGCAATAGGAACCTAGTCAAGACAGAGTCCCTAACTGGTAGCTATGGACATTACTAAAGTTATGATTTTTTTCCAAGAGGGTTTCTTTGTGTAGCCCTGGTTATCCTGGACCTCGATCTGTAAACCAATCCGCCCGCCTATGCCTCCCAAAAGCTGAGATTAAAGGTGTGTGCCATCTTGCCGTTAATTTTAATTTTTAAACATTTATTGTACTGTGTGTGTGTGTGAGTGAATTTATGTCACAGTATGTATGGAGTTCAAAGGACGACTCCAGGGAGTCGGCTCTTTCCTTCCATCATATGGGTCCAGGGAAGTGAACTAAGGTTGTCAAGCTTCATTGCATGTGTCTTTACACGCTCAGCCACTTACCATCTCATCTTCCCTAATTTTAAAAAATGTGGCTGTATTATCTTTGTAATAAAAATGTACAAATAGGGAAGATGCAGTGGAGGCTGTGTTCACATCTCGATAAAATATTCTATAGTGCTGGGCACCTAGATTATTAAATGCTCACTGGCTAGGTTCAGATTTCTCGAAGTGGGTCTAGGGAGCTTTGTGGGTGCTAATGACTAGTGTGGAAAAACTGAGAGCTTAGCCACAAAATGTAAGGCAAGCCTGGGAACAGCTGCTTCGTTAAACACACCTCAGAACACAGGGCTCTACAGCCTTTATTAAACATGCTAAAGGGTGTCATGATCTCCAGTGCAACATTTCCCACAATCCAGAGCCTGCCTCCTGCCCTCCCTGCTTCCTCCCTCCTCCCACCCTCACTGAAACAGTATGCATTCTTTCAAATATTTTATACACATACCATCTGTGCTGACCTATGTTACTGTGCACTTGGTAATGCATTCCATATTTTATTAGCTGCTTCTTCTACCCTACCCTACTCCTATGCTCCCTTTTTTCTTTTAAACAATGGACCTGTATACAATAAAATAAAATATATAAAATAAAAATTGAGAAGAAGGTGGGGGAGGAAGAGGAAACAGTCTGTGGGAACAATGTTCTGGCAGAAACAGCATCCCCTGCTGGGTGGCCAGTCACTGACATCTAAGGAAGACCAGTTAGAGTATACACACACACAGGATACCACCTTAGCTAAAAAGCTTCACTACAGCGCCCACGCACAGTTCTTACAGCTTTCGGGGCTGAAGCAAACACCAGTTGCTCATAGAGAGGATTTGAAACTTTTGGCCCCTGGAGGAACTTCAGCTCCACAACAGACTTGTTTGGCTAGGGTGGTGGTTCTCAACCCTCCTAATGCTGTGACCCTTTAATACAGTTCTTCACGTTTTGCTGACCCCAACCATAAAATTGTTTTCGTTGCTACTTCATAGCTCTAATTTTACTACTGTTATGAATCATAATGTAAATAGTTTTTGGAAGCAGAGGTTTGCCACAGGGGTCTGGAAGCTCAGGTTGAGAACCACTACTGCGACACTTTTCTTTTTAAAAGACATAGGGTCTCTCTGTGTTTCCTAGGTTAATCCCCGGTTCTTGGGCTGAGGTAGTCGTCCCAGCCCAGTTTCCTTGGTAGCTAGAAATACAGGGACACACCATGGGTGCTCAATGGAGGTAACCTTTAAATTCTTTTAAAGTAATTTGATTAGGGCTGTTCAGTTGTGGGGGCATGCACCGTCTGCCCTCAATACTTCCATCTGTCTTGTTTCCAGGGCATCCTTATGCTGGCCTTTCCTGCCTGACTTCTGAAGGTGATTGATTGAACAACTCTTGCGTTGGGGTTGTGTGGCCTTCAGTTGTAGAATGTGCTCTTCTGAGTACATACATTTCTAAGGATGTATAGGTTGAGGCACTTTTTTTTTCTGAGACAGGGTTTCTCTGTATTGTTTTGGAGGCTGTCCTGGAACTCGCTCTGTAGACCAGGCTGGCAGGCTGGCCTCGAACTCACAGAGATCCGCCTGCCTCTGCCTCCCGAGTGCTGGGATTAAAGGCGTGCACCACCAATGCCTGGCTGAGGCACTTCTTAATTAAAAACAATTTTTATGTGTGTGGATGTTTTGTATGCATATGTGTCTGTGTACTATGTGTGTGCAGTGCCCTCAGAGGTCAGAAGAGGGCCAGATACCCTGGGACTGGAGTTACAGCAAGTTGTGAGCTTCCACATCTGTGCTAGGAATGAAACCTTTAATTCTCTGGAAGATCAGCCAGTGCTCCCAACTGCCGAGCCATCTCTCCATCAGTCTCTTGGGCACATTTTAAAGGAACCCACATCTGGGCCTTCAGCATCTCTGTGCATATACCATGTAAACAATAGGCTCCTTGAAAAACAAGAGCACGGATGACTTCTTACCCCTCTCTCCTATACTTTTCTCAAGGGTTCAATCCTGTTCAAAGAGAGGCAGAGCTCTCACCCATCAAGCATCTCTGTGAAAGGGACACTCAAGAATGTGCAGCACCTGAGAGAAGGTCCCAAGGAAGTAAAGGAGACAAGGGAACACCATTGTATCTTCCTGGTAAATACCTACAAGGATGGACGTCACTTCCTCCTCTTTTCCCTGACTCTTTCCTGACTTCTGCCTATCTTGAAGTGAAAATTCTATATCAAGATGGTCATCATAGGGGTGAGAATATAATGCTTATCTGAATTTTTAAAAATTCAGACTTTTTCAACAGAAGTCTACAAGTAAGGCTGATTGATTCAGCAGTGAGGTCTATTTTGCATATAATATTTGTAGATATATAGATATGAATAAATGATATAATAGGACTTATATCCTGTATATGTTTCAATTTGTGATAAGATTTTTAATGTTCTTAGGAATGTATATATAGGTAGGCTTGGGAGCACAGACCTTCAATTCCAATACTCAAGAGGCTGAGGCAGGAGGACTGCTGTGAATTTCAAGGTAAGCCAAGGGTACCCAGAAAGACTTGTCCCCCCAAAAGTAAACCAATATAAATTGCATGTGAGGCTCACACCTTTTATCCCAGCACTGAGATAGGAGGACTGGAGTTCTAGCTAGCCTTGGCCATTATAACAAGGCAACATCTTTTAAAAAATGAGAGGAAAAAATATGAGAGATATGTAAGTTTTCAAAAGCTGGGATGTTTAAGCAAAAGATATCTGAAGACACTTCCTGGATATACTGGACCTATATGTATAGGTTGGGGATTAAGCACAGTACCCTTGCACCATGTGAGAATGGAACCAATCTTGTGATCATCAGGCCACCATGGCACACTGGGGTCTCAGGGCTGCTGGACCCCCACATGGTCTCCCAAGAACTATACCAAGTCTTACAGGACTGGTAGTCCTGAAGGCAGGCTTTCAGGATATAGGACTTATATCCTGTAAATGTTTCAACTTGTGATAAGATTTTAGGAAGGCTTAGGAGCACAGACCTTCCATTCCAGTATTCAAGATGTCGAGGAAGGGGTCACACATCTTCTCGCTTAGAACAAATTAAACAATGGAGGTACATTTAACATGGGTACAATCCACAAAATAAAACTTTAGGTTAGTGGGTCTATGAATTAGAAATCCCCAAATCAAGTGTTTTAGTTGAGGAATCTCAAGGCTCATAGCTATGCAGGAAGTCATTTGAAAAGTCCAAATGACATTAATTTCCTTGTCCCAAGCCCATGACATAACCCTAACTGGCTTAACCAAAGAGGAGTACCTTTTGTTTTAGGATGTCGACTGGTGTCTGATGGGCCTTTAGCTTCTTGTTTTTAAGAAGCACTTTCTTCCTGAGTTGGTCAGGTGAGGGAAGCATTGGATCATCTGAGAAATCTGTCTCGAATAAGAATTTAGCCACCAGCTTTTCTCCAAACACACTCTACAAAGCACAAAGGAAAACAAATCATTAATGCCTTCTACCTCTACTTGACAAATACATTTACATTCCCTAAATGTACTGAATAGCTCAACTTAGTTGAATTGTTTGAGAAATCCCAGGAAAAGGAACTTCAGAAGAGGTTGTTTATTCTCCTGGCCATTTCCTGCAGGAAGGAAGGGATGTGTTCAGGGCAAGGGGGAAGACCTAGGTCAGTCTGTAGAGGGATCCAGCTGTGATGACTTAGGAAAATGTTCCAGAGTCTAATATATTAAAGAAGAAAGCAAGCAGGGATTTGATGAGCTGCTGTGCTTTTGCAAGTGAACAGAAGAGACGAGAAGCAACAGGGAGTATTTGCTTCAACCATGGATGAAGAATACATATCATTTTCACAAGGACTTATGAGCACTGGTCTCCCAAGAAGACTGTCTCTCTTAAGGAGACCATGGGCAGAGGGTAGACACAGGGTAATCGCTCAAGGCAAGGATAGAAAATATGACAATTTTTATTTTTAAATAAAAAAGAACAAAAAATTCCAAGTGCAGGCTAAGGCAATATGAAAAGCCAAAGTTTTGTTGATATATATATGTATATATATATATTATTTTTAAATTTAAATTTAAATTAGAAACAAGGTTGCTTCACATGTCAATTCCAGGTCCCTCTCCGTTTCCCTCCCCTCCTCCCGTGCCCTCCCACCAACCTCCCCCAATATCACCTCATTTCCTCAGGGAGGGTGAGGCCCTCCATGGGGGTGTCCATAGTCTGTCATTTCATCCAGGACAGGGCCTAGACCCTCCCCCAAGAGTTCAGGGTGAGAGTGCATCTCTTATTGTTGGATGGGAGTCCAAAGTCCATTTGTATACCCAGGATAAATACTGATCTACTACCCAAGGCTCAATAGATTACCTAGGCCTCCTCACTGACACCCACATTGGAGGACATTTCCATGTTAGTGCTCCCTCCTTTTGTGAAAATATTTCTACAAATACTTCTCTCTCTGGAGAAGGGGAGTGTCTTATGGAATATCCCTTCCTTAATCTGTCTGCATTCCATTTCCCTAGTATAAAGAAGCTTACTGTTAACACAGAAACTGTTCTGAACAGTCTAACTTGCTAACTTGGATCCCTAGAATACAATGTGAGTCACAAGATGTGTGACTTTCCCCAAAACAGCTTCTGTTTTTCCATGTACAACTACCAGGTGACATTTGGTATTACTCCTGTTAGTATCAGGTATTGGAGAACTGGTTTATCTCCTGAGGCTTCCTAGAAAGGGCCACAAGACCAGAAAACAATACATATCTTGAAAAGAGGGACTATCCTAGAACAAGCCTAAGCTTTCTGAGCAATGCCATTTTTTTTCAGATCTGTAAAACTCTAACAGACTGTGCTTCATGGCTAAAGTCCAGCTATGTTTGGCTCACATCTGCCCTGTATAGATACCACCAACAAGTGAAAGACAACAGTGTCTTAGATGAAACTCACCTTGAAAATTTCTGCCATTTTTCGTTGTTGAGGCAATGAACAGTGGTTCTCAATGGATATGATGATTGGCAAGTCAGAGGTGATGAAGGCACTGCGATCAATGGCTTCCACCACTTCCTGTAAGAGCCAAACAGCTGCTTAGAGTCAGGTGTCTGTTCGTGGTAGTCAATGGGCTGGTACCGAGCCCCAGAAAGCGTCTTAATTGTTGCATTCAGCAGATTTTGGACAAAAGTGGTTTTTATCTTTCCAAAAGTATAGTTATCTCTCTAGATCTGTGGGAGGTTAATTACAGAACCTCTGCAGATAGAAATCTATATGATGCTCAGATCTCATTAAAATGGCATGATATTGAAATACAATTTCCACAAATCTATCTTTCCATGTACTTCAAATAATTTCTATATACTTAGAATCCCCTGTATAATGTGAACACATTGTTTCAAAATAATAGAAAAATGTATACAAATTCATTACAGACACAATTTCACCTCACTTTTGGACCTATGGTTGTATGGCTGAGTTCAGGGATGCAGAACCCAAAGCTAAGGAGGGCCAAATGTGTTGGCAAACTAAGCAAGAGACTAGGCTATTTTGTATAAAGACATCAAACTATTCATATCGAGTCTTGTTCTCATACTACAAGGGACAGCTATCATTCTGTTGAATTGAAAAAAAAAAACCCAACAACTAGTATATCAAAAAAGAACACCTTAAGTAAAAGACATTGTTTTTGTTATTGCATATAATATAATGAAGCCTAAGATACTCTGAGATAGTTAATCCTGTAATATGGCACACACCATATCTTTTAATGTATGTCTGTAAACATAGTATTCACCAATATATAGTACAAGGGTTTTATGAATAATAAATTGAAAATGAGTTGAAAATACATTTTAGCTTCTACTCCATATAATCATATTCCTTCCCAGCCTTGCTATAGCTCAGAGAAAAATAATGTTAGGTAGCTTAAGACCCTCTGAGGGAGGAGTAACTGCATAGCTAAACTAATAAGCGGTGTAGCATACAAAATAATCCAATAAGGCCAGTCTTCCGGGACAATGGATCTTCCCAGGTGGAACGGGTCCTTATTACTTTCTAATGGTAATTACTTGACCATCTCCTGACATCGGGACATCTCCATGATACTTTCCTTTGTCAGCCCAAATAGCAGGATAAATGGCCTTTAATATCTCTAGGAAGAGAATGGTCTCTGTCTTTATTTATCATTATATCCTATGAAAATAAATAGCAACGAAATCACTATGTACTGACATGAGGTAACAGTTATCAAAATTTTAGTTGAAAAGGGATCTAATAAGAGTTCTTGATCAAATCCCAGAAAAGCAAACCTGTTCACACACCGACAGTACTGCAAACACTCTGAAGGGCTTCCAGATCTAGCACAAGAATCTCTGACTTAAGGTATGATTTGTCGAGTGAGTAACTTAATGAGGACAATGTCCCTGTGATCTGATGGGAAGCATTACCTTGAAGGGGATCTTGGTCGTCAGTGTATGTCCATGGTAAATAATGGGCATGCCATCATCTCCATCCCAGCAGTCCAGCTCTATGCTCCTGCATCCTTGCAAGAGGACCTGTGTGATCAATGAAGGAATCCACCCCAGATGAGCACCAGGAGATAAAGCTTCAAACTGAACCAAGCACACAGGTCACATCAGTCAACATTTGCCTTTATGTGTAAAGAAGCTGGATATTAAATAAAAAAACAGATAATTGACATTTTGGTCAAAGGTTCTAATTATTATGGGCTCAGGGATGGAAAGAACGAATCAATGTGAGAAGAGTGCCAGAAATGAAGATGGTTAGAAGGTAAAGTGGATGTAAGAACACGACATCTCTCTCTCTCTCTTTTTCTTTTCAAAAGTAACTTTCATTCATTGAAATGGAAGATCTTAAAATTAGAGGCCTTTCTGTGTTTTCCCACACTCAATCTCCCAGTCTTGTCCTGAGAGCTGCAACTGAACACCAGTTGCTGCCTTCCCTTTCCCCTGCCCACATCTTCTGTGGATCCCACCCCTTCTAACCTCCCTGCCCCGACTCGTGGCTGTTTCCTATTCCACAACTCCAGGAGGCACCCTCTGCTAAACCACAGGCCACCGGCAGACCTCCTTTCTCTCTGTTCCACCAGGTTCAACCCCCAGTCTCCTCCCTAGCACTGCAATAGAACACCAGCTGCAGCCTTCTCTTTCCCCTGCCCACATATCCTGTGGATCCCACAGACCATCTCCTCCTAACCTTCCTTCCCCAACGTGTTGCTTTGGCTTAGACCCTAACTCCAAGAGGCATTCCCTGCTAAGCCAAGGGCTGCTGTTCCCAGGGCAACAAGTAGGCTGAAATAGACCCACTCCTCTCCTGCTGCTGCAGAGATTCAATCCCCCCCAGTCATCTCCCCTAGCTCTGTAGCTTGAAACCTGCTGTGGTCTCCCTTTCTCTGTTCTGTCTCCAAGGGATCACAAACACTGTGATCCCTCCAACCTTCTTACCCCTACTCATCCAGTTACCCAGCTTTCCTGTGAACACACCCGCTAAAACAGGCATCACACTCTCTGAAAACCCAGAAGAGAAACAGAAACCAAGGAATAAAATACCTACCCAACAAAGACAAACTCAGAAATCAGCACCTAGACCTATAATCAGCCCAAACCCAGATGTCTAGATGTCAGCATAAAAACACAATCAATAATATCCAGGGAAATATGTCTCCACTATAGCACAGTTATCCTACTATACAGACCCTGGATATTCCAACAGAGCTGAAGCACAAGAAAAAGACCTTAAAACCAACTATATGAAGATGATAGAGGTCCTTAAAGACGAAATTAATAAATCCCTTAAAGAAAGCCAGGAAAATGTAGTGTAAGGAAATAAGTAAAACTGTTCAAGACCTGAAATTGGAAATAGAATTTAAAAAAATTCTCAAGCTGAGGGAGTTGTGGAAATGAAAAATTTAAGAGTTTAAACACAAACTACAGAGGGAAACTTCACCAATGGAAAATTAGAGATAGAAGAGAGAATCTCAGTTGTTAAAGATACGACAGAAGAAACGGATGAATTGTTCAAACAAAATTTGGGACACAATAAAAGGACCAAACCTAAGAATAATAAGTATAGAGGAAGGAGAAGAATCTAGCTCAAAGGCCCAGAAAATGTTTTCAATAAAATCATAGAAAAAATGTTTCTTAACCTAAAGAAGGTGATGCCAATAAAGGCACAAGAAATGTACAGAATGTAAAATATAATGGACCAGAAAAGGAAGTACCCTCGCCACATAATAATCAAAACACTAAACACACAAAACAAAGAAAGAATATTAAAAGCTGCAAGGGAGAAAGATCGAGTAATATCTAAACGCAAACATGTTAGAATTACACCTGATTGCTCAATGGTGACTCTAAAAGCCAGAAGGGTCTGGACAGATGTTCTTCAGACTTCAGAAATCCACAGATGCCAGCCAAGACTATTATACCCAGCAAAACTTTCAATCACCATAAATGGAAAAAATAAGATATTCCATGATAAAGTCAAATTTAAGCAATATTTATCTACAAATCTAGTCTTACAGAAGGTGCTAAAAGGAAAACTCGAATGTAAGGAGGCTAACTAATTACTACACACACAAAAATGCAGGAAATAAATAATCTCACATCACCAAAATCAAAAGAAAAGAAAAACACACACACACACACACACACACACACACACACACACACACCACCACCACCACCACCACCACCACCACCACCACCACCAACAACAACAAAATAACAGGAAACAACTATCAATGGTCATTGATATATCTCAATGTTAATGGTCTCAATTCACCAATACAATGACACAGACTAACAGAATGAATGTGAGAATAGGATATATCCTTCTGCTGCATCTGAGAAACTCACCTCAACATCAAAGACAGATATTAGCTCAGGATAAAGGATTATAAAAAGATATTCCAAGCAAATGGACCTAAGAAGCAAGCTGGTGCAGCTTTAATATATAACAAAATAGACTTCAAACTAAAACTAATCAGAAGAGATAGGGAAAGACATGGCATACTCATCAAAGGAAAAATCCACCAAGATGATAGCTCAATTCTTAACATCTAACACAATTTTTCACAGACTTTAAAAAGACAATTTTCAACTTCATATGGAAAAACAAAAAAAGCCAGGATAGCTAAGACAATCCCAAATAATAAAAGAACTTCCAGAAGCATCATCATCCCTGATTCCAAGCTGTACTACAGAGCTATATTAACAAAAACTACACGGCATTGACATAAGAACAGACGTGTTACACAATGGAATCCGGTCAAAGACCCAGATATAAATCCATACACTTAAGGACACCTGATTTTTGATAAAGGAGGCAGAAATATACAATGGAAAATTGAAAACATCTTCAACAAATGGTGGTGGTCTAACTAGATGTTGGCATATAGAAAAATGTATTTTCAAGTTCAAGTGGATCAAAGACCTCAACATAAGACCAGATACACTGAACCTGATATAAGAGAAAGAGGGGAATGGCCTTGAATGCATCAGCATAGGGGGCAACTTCCTGAACAGAACACCAGTAGCGCAGGCAATAATAACAATTAATAAATAGGATCCCATGAAACTGAAAGACTTCTTAAGACAAAGGATACTGTCAATCAGACAAAGCAGCAGACTACAGAATGGGAAAATATTTTTACTAACTCCTCATTCAATAGAGGATTGGTATCCAAACTCAAGAAACTAGATATCAAAAAAACCAGTCTAATTAAAAAAATGGAGTACAGACCTAAGCAAAGAATTCTTAACAAAGGAATCTCAAATGGCTGAGAAACACTTAAAGAAATGTTCAATGACTAAAATCCTTAGCCATCAAGGAAATACAAATTAAAACTACTTTGAGATTCTATCTATACCTGTCAGAATGGCTGAGTTCAACAACACAAGTGATAGTTCATGCTGGTGAGAATGTAGAGAAAGGGAACACTCCTCCATTCTAGTGGGAGTACAAACTTGTATAGTCACTATGGAAATCTATTTGGCAGTTCCTCAGAAAGTTGGGAAGACCCAGCTATATTATTCTTGGGAGTACACCCAAAGGATGCTTCATCCTACCACACAGACATGTTCATTGCTGCTCTATTAATAATAGCCAGAAACTGAAAACAATCTAGATGTCCCTCAACACAAGAATGGATAAAGAAATCGTGGTACATTTACACAGTGGAGTATTACATAGTTGTTAAAAATGACATCGTGAAATCTGCAGGCAAATGGATAGAACTAGAAAAAATCCTGAGTGAGGTCACTCAGACACAGAAAGACAAATATGGTATGTGTTCACTCATAAGTGGATATTAGCTGTCAAGTAAATGATGATCAAGTTATAATCCACAGACCCAGAAGGGATCAAAGAGGGATGCAGGAATCTTCCTGGGAGGGGGGGAAGTAGAATAGATTTTGCAGGTGGACTTGGGACAGGTGAGGACAGGAGCCAGGGATCATGTGATAGGGGGAGATGGAGTGGAGGGAAAGAGATGGGTGGAATTGAGGGGGATCCTGGGGGCTGTTGTGGAAACCTAGTGCAGTGGAAACTTCTTGGGATTTATGCAGGTGATCCTAACGGGGGGGGGGGGGGAGGGTTTAACAATGGGAGGAGGAAAACAGGCATTGTTTTTGTTTTCTATCAGCACAGTGGAGAAACTGTGGGCAGTGACTGAGAGCAAACGCAGAGGCAGAGAGAGGGCTCTGCACATGGTCTAATTACATCTGCAAGTCTATGTGAGGCCTTAGTGCCTGGTTTGGAAAATGAGATAACCTCTGTTTCGGGTGGAATATTAAGTCAAACATGAATTGGATTCATTGATATGCTCAGAAATTGTCCATGATTGTTTTCCTGTGAGGGATAAACTCACAGTCATAGAAACACACACATACACACACACACACACCTATGAATATGTGTATGTACATATAAAATATAGACAGCATTTTAGAAACAAAGATATACATATTTCCTACAGAACAATGGATTTTAAACTTTTACAATTTACATTTATCTTTTTATTTAGTTATTTTGTGTGTGCATGCTATGAATGTCATGGCATGTATGGAGGTCAGAGGACAACTTGCAGTCTTCTACAATGTGGGCTCCAGGGTCTGAACTCTGTCATCGGGTTTGGTGGCAAGTGTCTTAACTCACTGAGCCATCTCACAAAAAATGCGGTTCCACAAACATTTTTTGACTTCGGAGCTCTTTGTGCAAACAAATAGCCAGCCTGTGAGGCACGTAAAAGAGTGGCCAGTAGTCTGTTAGCAGAACTGTGCCAGGACACAGCGCCTCCTAGCTGTGGCTTTTTTCATCTCAGTATAAGCAGCTGTGGGCCCTTGACAGAGCCCTACACTGAAAATTACTACTCTAAGAACACATTTTCACTTCATTATAAAGATTCCTTAGACTTCAGGGATTAAAACACTCTCTCTGCCAAACAAACTTGGGGGAAAAAACTATGTCATAGTCTACCGTGAATACTGGACCAATCAATCTGGAGAGCAGGGGATCTCACTGGCGCTGGGGTTGTGTGAGTACAATATAATTACAGTTTTCAAACTTGAACCCACAAGCACTGAATCACACTTACACACTTACATTCTCTGTATCAAACTTGAACCTACAAGCACTGAATCATTCCCTGCACCTAACCTGACTCTTTCCTGCTCTCTGGGAGGAGCTGAGAAAATCAGACATCAGAGGAGGAAGCTGCAGACAGTGAAACGCAGACAGGCACGTAAGTGACTGAGAGCTGGCTGGTCAGGTCAAAGGATGCGCCTTTCCCAGTCCACAGAGCCCACTGTTTCCCAGAGCGTTCCCATGCATTGCAGCCTGGAGGAAAGTGCCTCCAGTCTGTGCAGCTTTTTCTTTAGCTCGTTGCCATAGGGATGGATTGACTGTCTAACAAATTGCGAAGCAAAGCAAAACAAACAACATTTTGGGATTAGCTTTGTAAGAAAGTTGCATTTCTACTATGCTTTCCCACCACAATATATGGATTTATTTAGCATTTAGTGAAATGATTGGATAGCTTTCCCATGGGAAAATTTAATTTTAGTAGGAGTAGATCCGACTAAGATCTAAAAGCTGTGAGTCTCAAACAAACGCTTTCTTCTTTCTTTGCCTACTATGAAGGGTAAGATAAACAGAGGGGAAAACAAACAAACAAACAAATGGGGGTGGGAAGAAGCAAAGAGAACAACCGCTGTGTGAATTCCCTGTGTTCCCACACATGATGGCTTCTTATATTTCCACATCACAGTTTACAAGCTCTTCAGAGGAGCCTGGGGTCAGGTCTTTGTAATTTGGGGGCTACATACTAAGAAAGCTTCATGCAAGCCACACTCAGTCAGCATTCTCCGTACCTGGCTGTACAGCTCCACGGAGGATTCTCCCTTGAGCTGATGGCCTGTGAGGTAGGTATTGTGTGAAGATTCAATATAGTAGTAGGAGAGGGGTAGCTGCAGTTCTCTCTTGTTCTCTTGTGACTCATCATTTTTGGAGGCGAAATTATCTTTATCCATCAGAAACCTGGGTGAAACACACTTTCTTAGGGCTGCATCAGAGCAATGCGCACTCTCAAGTCACGTGCAAAGAGGATCTGAAGTGTTACCTTGCAAACCCTTCAAACGACATTAGGCCCTGATGACACATACTGACGCTAGGCTCGAATTTCTGCAAGGGATTAAAAAAAGGCATTTCTTTTTAGGGTAAAGAAAGCTAGGAAGGGGGAAATAACATCACATCATTTTTAAAAAAGCTGTTCTGTTTTCATTAGGAAACGCCTAAACCAAATATTTGAATTAATTTAGTTATGTAGTGGTAAGATGTAGTTTTTAGCTCAAAAGAAAATATTTATTATATGTGAGTTTATTATACCAAGCATATTTACTTAAGAGAAAAAAAAAGGAGCAAGAGAAAAGAATAAGGCTGTTTTATTTGAAAACTCCGAGCGTTATTGAGGTGAAGATGAGGATAACGGCAACTACCTTCCAGCAGTGGGCTGGGGGGTGAGCTGATTCTCTAGGCACACCCCTACCAAACTTTCAACTGAGTCACAGTGGACCCCCACATTTTTAGCAGTTAAATCTGAAGGCTACCCAGCTACTCCACGGATTCCCAATCAGGCGATTAATCCCATTCTGCTGCATATGACTCTGCCACAGTGAAGTTTCACTCCCTATAGCTGCCCTTTAAACAGTTTCCTCCTCTTGCCTGGGATGCTCAGGCAGTTTCCATCATTCACCAGTCTCCACCCTTCATCAGCACGATTTAGTCCCAAATGGGCTCACGGTGACCCCTTCAAGCATAAATCATGCACCCTCCTGCTTCAAATTTCCCCAAGCTTCCTGTTTCACACAGACAACCCCCATCCGTCCTGTGTTCAAAAAGTCCTAGATGAGCTGGTCTTTGGATACCTGCCTGAAATCGCATTTGCCAGTCCTGCCTGGCTCCGATTACGCTTGCTTTTTGGATGCTCCTCATAAATTCCCAGCTCGATCCTGCCCCAGGGTTTGAGCTAGCTCCTTATGCTTCTCTGAGAATCCTCTTCCCTCAGAACTTCAAATGACTCAGCCCCAATGCCCCTCTCCAGCTCAGCCTTCCCGTTATCACTACCCTGCTCAATTCTTAGAAACCACTCATCCGTGAACGTGTTTGTTGTTTGCCCACACCCCAGGATGCAAGTGGCACAGGAGAATGAAACTTTATGCAGTAATATATGCCAGCTCTTGGAACACAGATTGCAGAGTAGGAATAGGTGTTAAATGACAGACTCAAAATATAGACTGTTGCATGTGTTAGAACAGCAAGAAGAAATGGGGCACAAATTCTTTTAGTTGCCATTGGGTTGGGATCTATGTTAATTACATGATAAATAAGAACATCTATGGACTTGGCATTAAAAGAAGCTCTATTTGGACCCCAGATAATGAAGGCTTCGGGAAGACGTATAAACAGAACAAAATGCTTTGCGTCAAATTATCAGATCAGTCAGAGGCATGCCGTACACGTGATACCTGGATGATGCTGAGAATTTCATCATACGTGCAGTGTTCTCCTTGGCAATTCACCAGGAAGTCATTGAGCTGGAGTATGCCGACCCCGAATATGCCCAGGGATGTGCTCTCAATCCCAGTGCCATTAGTCACAATGCTCGCCGCTGCAATAGCATCCGATATCTGCCTCTGGTTGTCAGAAAGTTGCTGTTTGCTCTTAATGAACAGCCCCAAGTCTGAGACGTTTCTGGTTAGCAAATCTGAAACACAGTCACCCATAGCAATGGATTGTCCAGAAGCCTTTTGACTGAGTTCATCTGGAGATAATGGTGTTATGGAGTCAATGCCCTGGAAAATTCTAATCTGTTTAAGTAAGGTGCCAAAGTCAGTGTGTACTGTTGGCTTCCCACAGTAGAGGGAAAAACAAAATGGATCAATAAATAAACAAAAGAATCTAGGGGCTGGAAAGATGCTCAGCCTAGAACTCATTCTGTAGAGTAGGCTGGCCTCAAACTCACAGAGACCCATTTGCTTTTGACTCCTGAGTGCTGGGATTAAAGGTGTGCACCATCTCATCTAGACAAAATTTAGATTTAAAAAAGATTTTAAAACACACATATGTGTATGTGTGTTTGTGAGTGGGTATATACAGGCGAGGGCAAGTGCCCTTGGAGGCTAGGGTGTCAGAACCCCTAGACCTAGAGTTACATATGGTTGTGAACCACCCATTCTGAGTTTTGGATACTGAACTTGGGTCCTCTGGGAGGTCAGCAATATTTTCAACTCTGAGCCATCTCTCTGGCCCAGGTTTTTTGTTTGTTTGTTTGTTTTGAGAATAACTGCTTCTGAGCTTTCCTTTTGGTAGAGAACCAAGAAACATATTGCTACAGTTTTTCTGTATTTTTAAATTTGTAATTAGGAACATCTATATATAGACTTTGCATCAATACTATCTTAAAATTAATTTTGGTAATAGCAACTTTTGGACAACAAATATATGTAGAAGAATAAAAAATGAAATTCATTTTGGTAAATGATCAAATAGCATAGTTGGACACTATGTAAAGGGTACGTTTGTTTCAGCAAGAAGCCATCACACTGTCATTTTACATTTGGGGAGACAATGTGGCAATTTCTTACAGGGCAAAATGGAGGCTTACCATACAATCTAGCACTCTTAGGTATTTAGCCAAAAGGTTATAAAACATATTGACATAAAATCATGCATACATGGACTCCAGCCAGACAGCTGGGGAACCAGCATAGGACCGAAACCCCTGGATGTGGGTGTCAGTTATGAGGCCTGGGCAGTTTATGGGGTCTCTGGTGGTGGAACAGTATTTATCACTAACGCACAAATGGACTTTGGGAGCGCATTCCCCCATAGAGGGATACTCACTGTCTCAGCCTAGATACATGGGGGAGGCCCTGCCCCAAATGACTTGACAGATTTTGATGATCCCCCATGGAAGGCCACACTCTCTTTTGTGCTTATAGTTCTGTCAAGAATTTAGGAGAAAAATAATAATAGGCTTAATAATTCATGGGTGACTAACACGGTATAAGAGGGATAGAAGGAGACATTCTGGTTAACAAAGAAGGAAAAACATTCTTCCCCTTCTGACAGGAACATTTTGCTGAGGTGGCCAAAGACTCCCCTTGACAAAGGACAGGCAATCACTGCCTGGGCCTGAGCAAGCAATTAACTATGGGTAGGATAGACACTGGTGTTTCTCAGTTAAGACACAGTCCCATCCTTGTGGACATTTGGGAATGGTTGGGAAAGGAGCAAGGTTGTCAGGGTGACTGAAAGCATTAAACACCCCAGTTTTGACTAAGTGCCAAAAGAACCATGTGACAATGGATTTCCGGCAGCACCTGCCAACCCCTCAGTACCAAGTGGGCTTGAAGACCATTCTCAAGTGTTTCAAAAAGCAGTACACCATAGGTAACAGGCTGATCATTTGTGTGGCTGGATCTCCCACCTTGGTTTTTGGAGAGAAAGCTCCCAAAGGAAAGTCTTAAAATGTTAAACCAACCTAGGTCTGGCTGAAAGTCACTGGCGTTTTCTTCAATGGTCAGGTTGGTGTACAGGGGGGCTGACTCAGAGGCAGACCGATTGCAGGGCACAGAGTAGATATCGAAGATGTCCTTCAGGTCCTTGCGGCTCCTTACGCTGAGGGAGGAGTGGGAAACATCTCCCATTTAGAGCTGTCACCCAATTGTGGGCCTGACAAAAAGTAAGAAGAAAGCCCGTGTCCTACCTGAACGACTTGAACAGCTCGACAAACTCAATGAAGCTCATGTTACTGTCCGAAACCATGAAGCTCTGGAAGCCCTTCATCCCTCCTTTGATCCGCCCATGCCAGCTGCTGCTGCTCCAGGCACTGCAGGGAAACACGGCCGTCACTGGCAAATGCACACCCGAGTCACTGTGCTCAACAGTCTCTGATGACAGTCTGAGCACAAAGGGAAGCGATGCTATATCCCGACTCTCTTTATTTCCCTTACCAACATCATGTCACAGGGAAAACATATGTACTGGTAACCGTCTTTCTAGTTTACTCAACTGGGACAAAACCCTGGAGCTAATATTTCTTCACTAACAGAATAGCTCTTTAGAAACACAAATTGATAAATCAGGGGATCTCATATTTCAGTGTATCTGAAGAAAAGTCATATCCAAAAAAATTTCCTCAAGTAATCCCTCATTCACAATCTATGTGAAATAGTTCATGTTCTTTTCTGTGTTCTAAATGATGGAAACATCCAGGAGGCAAGTTTCAAATGCGTCAGTGACTTTCTTTTCCTTTTTAACCAGGTCTTCAATGAAAACAGGGAAGAGCTTTTAATATCAGTGGAAAATGTGAGTCAGAAAAATACTAAGAATGGAAAGAAGCCAACCCTGCCTTAGAGCCCATCTGCACCTACCGAGGCTACATCCATTCACCATAAAAACATCGCTGCTCTCAGGCAAACATTCAATCTGGCCATTTCACTACACTTTTTATTTTCTATGTGGATTACTCAAAGTAGTAGAAGAAATGTTTTGCCTATGACTTTCAGTCAAATCAATTAGCAGGGTATTTCTTTTCTTCTTTTTTTCTTTTGAGAAAGGCTTGGATCTCTTTTGGAGGGTGACAGCAGGGGGGGGTATTTCAAGTGTTAGTTTATAAGAAAGTACAAAGGAGTAGTCAGTCTACTTTCAATTCTGCTACCAGTGTTGCCTCACTGAAAATTATTTAGTGTTACCATCTGATAGTCACCTCTCTGGATGGGAGAGCACCACAAATGGATGGATTTAAGCTGTGTGTGATGTGTGCAACTTAGGTCAAGTTCAGGAAGACATGCATAGTTCTTTATCATTGAAACACGCTGCATTTACACAGGTGAATCCCCTCTCTTTTCCAGTTGCACCCTTGGCTGTGGGACTGACTGTCTCTCTGGCTCAAGGGGCTCAGTCTTTCTCTGTCCTGTGGGGTTCAGGCTGGTGTTACTCCTGTATTCCTTCCTTCCATCCTGGAACCTGCCCTGCCCCCTGGGGCTGAGCCTTTGACCTTAGATCTGGCATGTTAGTTTCCCCTCCATCACTCTCTTCTGCTTTCCCCCTGGTCACATGTGACCTACATAAAAGGCAAACACACTTAATCCAGGTGGTTCGTCTATTTCATATACCTGGGTTCCCAAATGGGCTGAAAACATAAAGGATTCCGACTATTTTCAGTTTTATTATAAATCTGAGAGTTGTTCAGCCTTTGGCTCATCTTTACCAGTCGTGGGACTGAATGCACAAAGACTAAAGTGCAAGTTTGTCACTCCCAGTGTGAGGGAATTCGTCCCTTGAAAAGATAGTTTACTATAGATTTTTTATCAATAGTAAGGAGAAAGCTGATGAGAGCAATTACACGGGTGTGTCTGTATGTGTGTGCATGTGAGTAATGTGTGCCATGTGTGTCTGTATGTGTGTGCATGTGAGTAGTGTGTGCCGGGTGTGTCTATATGTGTGTGCATGTGAGTAGTGTGTGCTGAACATTTCCAAGGTCAATGTCTGTCTGCTGAGACCCATCTCTCTGTGGCACCCTGAACCAGACCTGCTTTACATTGGCTCTGCGTGGATCTTCTACATTTCTTTAGCTGTTGTGGAGGGAGTGGCATTCTGGTTCCCTTTGGTGGCTTTTTACTTTTTTATTACTTCTGTTTCTAAGATGTAGACTTTTTGTTTGTTTTTGAGACAGGATCCCACTATGCAACCTGGGCAGGCCTGGAACTAGCTATGTAGACTTGACCAGCCTCCAATTCATAGAGATTCTCCTACCTCTCAAGTGCTATCATTGACCAGCAAAGGCAGAGGTTTTTTTTTTTTTTAAAGTCTGTGATCCTTACAACATCATTTGCAACAATCCCAGCTTTGGATAATGATATCCAACGTGTTGCAATACTTTAATTTACTGCTCCAGGCAAGCATAACTTCTACCGCATGTCACAAAAGCATGACATGTATTTCACTATCTGTAAGGTCAGGCTATCAGATAGAGCACACTTCGGTGACACATATGTTCTCTATCTGCAGCGTTCAGACCAGGGGGCCATTAGCCACCTGTGGTGCAATTAAAAAGTGACCCAGGAACTTATTTTCCAATTTGATTTTGAAGAATTGAAGTGATGTTAAATGACTACATGTGATAGTAAACTAGAAGGTGCAGATTTAGGGCATCAAGGCTTGGCTTTCTATTACTGCCTTTGACCTTGGAAGGACTGATCTCTCTCAGACAATTAGAAGGGATTATAGAAGCATGAGATACTATGATTACAGGGAAATCAGAATAATTTTCAATTAGGGGTTTTTCCGTTTAACTGTGAGTTAGAACTAGAGACAGAATTTGCTTAGAGAGCAAGGCACACATCCTTTCTCACAGTTGGAGTGACATGGAGATTCCCTGTTTCATCATGTTAAGGCCCCACCTGGAGGGACTCTTGTTTGAAGAAGACAGCACAGGGGAGGAGACTGGCCTGATGGGAGATGACATCCCAGTAGTCAAGTTGGAGGACCCTGCCGTGGTCAAAGAGTGAGCTCTTCTGGAATGGAGGGGGTTGGGAGGGTTGGTGATGACATTGGCTTCTGCAGGGATGAAAAAAAAAGACAAAAAAGAGATGATGACTTAGCTTCTACTTTCCCTTAAAAATCAGTAAAACAATCCACACAATTGATTTTTATGAAGAAACATACAAATATTTTGATGAATGGGCCAACCTGGTGGGTTCTCAGCTAACCTGGGAGTTTAAAAAAGTACACAGAGGCCCAAGGCCTTGGCAGAGAATAAATAAATGACTTGGTCGTGGGTGTGACCATGACATCTGGGCATATTTTTAAAAGCACTGACATCTAGTCAGTTGTATCCTGTACAGCTAATATTATCTATCAATAAGGCAAGTAGATGAGGATTTTCTTTGAAGTGAAGTGTGCTTGTAGAAATACCTCTCAGGTTTCACATCTCATCAAGACAAATGATTTCTTCTTTTTTTTTTTGGCTTTTTCAACACAGGGTTTCTCTGTGGCTTTGGAGGCTGTCCTGGAACTAGCTTTTGTAGACCAGGCTGGTCGCAAACTCACAGAGATCTGCTTGCCTCTGCCTCCCGAGTGCTGGGACTGACGGCGTGTGCCACCATTGCCCTGCCTGACAAATGATTTTCTTAAGAATGCCCACCAGAGGCTGGAGAGATGGCTCAGAAGTTAAGAGCACTTGCTGGTCATACAGGGGACACCAGGTCCATTTCGAGTACCCACATCAGGCATTGCAGAGCTGTCTGTAACTCTAGCTCCAGGGGATCCGATGCTCTTCTGGGCTCTGAAGGCATCACACATGTGTCCACACACACACATATTTTTTAAGGGATGTAAAAAAGAATTCCCATAACATCAAATTGAAATTACAGCATAAAGCCAAATCTGTGTTCTTTTCCATGAAAGTAAAAGAGTCCAGATGTGAGCCCAATGCGTACCCGACTCCTCTTGTTCATTAGCGTCCTGAGGATCAGAGCCGCTCCGGCTTCGACACTCTCGGCACATTTTGGCCTTGCGGGTCGCTGTTTCATCGTCAGTTGCCTCTCCACTCTCTCCCTGGAAACAGAAATCTTACTGTATTGCTCCTGAACGGTATTGCTCTTCCCCAGTGCTTTAGAGCAGGCAGGTTTCTGCTTTCTGGCCTATGTCCCTCAATCTTGTCTCACCAATAAAGAGCTACGTTAAGGCTGCCCAAGTGACCTCAGGTCATTTCATCCAGCAAAGTCCCTGCTGGCTCCTCTGTGGCAGATGCCTTCCTTTGTGTTGTGCTTGGAAAACTCTGGTACACATTTCAAGACCCACCACGAACCAGCTACTCTGAGGTCCTTACTGCCTGCCTCTTAGGCCTATATTTTTCACTTCTCTACTGATACAGCTCTTTGCAGGTGACTCACATTTACTATGTACCGAGTTTAAGCCAATGCAGACTTTCAAGGACTTTGGTTTCTCCTTGGTGTCTTTTCCTTGCTTGATTCCTGACATTGACCCGGCACCTGAGAGGTATGTGGTAAGTACTTATGACCCTTGTTTTATAATTTATCTTGTCCACAATTCAAATAACCCCAGGTGGCTTACAGCAATGTAGACCACAAGGTGGTCTTTGAAGGCTGGATATGATGCTTAATAAACAGATTTACGGTACCCTCATGAGCATTTTCTTCTTTTTCTTGGTGGTGCTTATACCCAGGGTGTTGTTTCTCTGAATACTGGACTTCTCAGCATTCTTTGTTGACATCCCAGGGCTGACGTTTCTAGCACTCCATCGTCTGCCACCAAACAACTCCACAGCATGAGCCAAGGTTGGGCCTTCATACCGACCATCCTCCTACAAAGAACCATACAAGTACTGAACACACAAGCAAGCAGCAACAGGGAGTAAAGACTAATGGTCCCAGCAAACTCCCAGAGGTGGATGAGCTCAGGCATTTAGAGAAGCATGATCTGGCCACCCATGTGATTCTGTTTCAGATTCTAGGGGCTTCCTGTTGGTGGGTTGATTGTGTCCCCAGTTGTCCTGATCACATTCCAGTCAACGATGTACTTTAACCCATCAGCTGGGGGAAAGCAAAACACTTCCCGTCCTAGTCTCCGAGATTATTCAGGAACCAGTCCTATGGGAAAATTCATTAAGATTGCACATTAGGGACTGGGGGAGGGGGTGTAGTTCAGTTGGTAGAGTGTTTACCTAGAATGCGCGTCAGAAATCTTTAAGACTTTGCAAATTGTGATTCTTGGGAAATTGTCTAGCATCTATGAGGCTCTGGGTCAATCTTTAGTACTTTTCCTCAAATTTATTTCCACTTATTATTTCCTGTAACCTTTATTTTTATTCTATCTATCTATCTATCTATCTATCTATCTATCTATCTATCTATCTATCTATCTACCTGTCTACCTACCTATCTATTTTTATGTGTGTGCACTATAATCTTTTAAGTCCTCCTTTATACTCCCAAGCAAGTATTTGTAAATATGTTTTAAAATGATTTGTGTGTGCGTGAATGCAAGCACATGTATGCCGTTGACCCACAGGGTGTCAGAGCCTTTGGAGCTGGAGTTGCAGGTAGTTGTGAGGATCTGAACTTGGGTCCTCTGCAGGAGCAGTGAGTACTCTAACCACTGAGCAATCTTTCCTGCCTCCATAAATAGATTTTGATTCCTTGCAAATATGTGCAGATAATAAAGTAGATTTTGTGTACATTTGTTTCTTTGCCCTGATGTTTATCTGCTTTTATAACTTAATCTATGAACTCTATCTTGTTATGGCCCCAGGATGCAGAGTAATAAATGCTTGATGCAGAAATCTTTAGGTGACCACCTGTAATGTGACTTACATCTGTGACCTCTTTGTCTATTTCTTCCTTCTTTAGCTTCTACTTTATCAGTTTCCAGTAGATATTAATGGATCTGTCAATCAAAGTGGAATATGCTCCCTTAACCAGTGATTGATACTTGAGCCAAATATATCAATCAGAATCTTTCTCCCTGAAGGTTTTAAAACACAGAGTCCTACTATTGTGTGGTCCAACTTCCAACACATGAGCCTTTCAGTCCAGCCTCCCCAGAAGCTGAGACTGCAGGCGCATGCCACAGCACCCAGGAATAGGATTACTGGGTGTGAGAAAATGAACATGAATGACGATCGCCCCATCTGACACAGGCCTTCTGAAGACAGTATGAGCTAATGAGCTATTCTGGATCCTCCAAACTGAACAGATATCACCTGACCCAAACCAACAAATAGACTCAAACTGCCTTATCGAAGAACATAGAGCTGAAAGTTTTGTAGAACTTTTGCTCATTGATCTTCTTTTAACTCATGCACCTTTAAGTTTTTTAACAGATCTGCTACAAGTTACACAGGAAACAACCATCAGCATGACCAATCTCTGCTGTTTCAGTTTTCCTAATTTCAGAATATCTCAACATGCTGCAAAGTTTATTCTTAAGACTATCAGGCCAGGACCTCAACAATTCGTAAAGAACTACAGACATCTGAGGAAAGTTGGGGGTGGGGAAGGTGGTCTTCCCTAGGGAAGACAACAATTGATTGCCCAGTGCCAAATGGTCAGCCCTGAAAATGTATGTCCATGGACTGAACAGGGTGTATTTAAGAATATATTTGTGTATAACATACATATATGCATACAGTAGTAGTTATTAAAAAATAAAACAGAGCTGGGTGTTGGTGGCACACGCCTTTAATCCCAGGCAGAGGCAGGTGGATCTCTCTGAGTTTGAGACCAGCCTGGTCTACAAGAGCTAGTTCCAGGACAGCCTCCAAAGTCACAAAGAAACCCTGCCTCAAAAAAAAAAAACAGAAAAAATAAAAAATAAAACAGGTCATGAAATTGAAAGAGAGTTGGAAGGGTATATGGGAGGATTTGGAGGGAGGAAAGGGAAGGGGTAAAATGTTGTAATATAAATTATAACCTTAAAAATAAAAGTTAAAAAAAGAAAAAGAAAACCAGACCATAAGATAATACTTTTGTTTGCTCTCTCAAGGAGGCTTTGTGGAAACTAAAATATAGTGTAATTCTTTCTTTTATTTTACACTAAACAATAAGCATGTTTGGGACCCACAAAGGAGATAGTTTCCTTTTTCTTTTTAAAACTGAATGAAGGATGCTTATGAGTGAACACAAATTAGTTTTAACAAACAATTCACGTAGAAGTTTATGGCAAGGAAACGGATTCATTAAAAAATATATCCGCTTGAGCTGGAGAGATGACTCAGTGGTTAGGAGTACGGACTGCTCTTCTATAGGACAAGTTTGGGTCCCAACACCTGCCTGTAACTCCAAGTCCTTTACTGGTACCTGAATGCACACAAACCACCCCCACACAGACACACAACAATACATACTTAATTGAAAAGTAAAAGTAAAGCAAGTCCTGGGCAGGGGTGGCACACACCTTTAATCACAGAATTTGGGAGGCAAGCGGATCTTTGAGTTCAAGGCCAGCCTAGTCTACAGAGTGAGTTCCAGAACAGCCAGGGCTGCACAGAAAAACCCTGTCTTGGAAAAAGAAAAGAAAAGAAAATTTAAAAATCTACGTACTTAAACATGTTGCCATCTCTTTTCTATGAAGGCAATGAAACTAATCCACACCTTTGGCTAAATAGTTTTCCTTTGCCTATAGTAAAGAATTAGAATTTATTGCTTACAACCAAAGACACTTACCTGGTATTTCTATATTTGAGTTTTACAGCTTCTCAGGACTCCTAGCTTTGACCCTGACAATTTAAGCCAAAGCTAAAGGGTCCATATCTCTTCCACCTTCCCCATAAATATCATCGCATAGTTTCCTGGTTTTCATTGTATTTTTCACTTTGAAGTTGAAAAGATTATTTTTATTTTCTGTGTATGCTTTTTTCCAAACTTGGGATAAAGTAATCTTCTAATAGGATTGTTAACAGAATTTTGGAGAAAATCCCACAGATGTTCAAAAAGCAACTTATAAATTAAAAAAAATGTTGGTACTAGTGCGTGGCAGAACACTATGTTAATATGTAGGAGTCACTTACTCAGTATGCTAATATTATATATCACAGAGGCAGGACTAGTCAGTTCATATAAAGTAGAAATTAAAATACTTGGCCCCTGTGTGTTCATAGGGAGCTTTGAGCTTGAAGAGCTAGTTGGAAGAAAAACCCCTGGGCATGTCTATGTGGGACTTTCAGCACTGGGTTAGCTGACGAGTTAAGACCCATTCTAAATGTGGCAGCTCTGTTCCATGGGCTGCAGTCCTGGATGGCAGAAAAAGGAGAAAGTGGGCTGAGCACCAGCCTCCTTCCCTCCCTCCCTCCGTCCCTCCGTCCCTCCGTCCCTCCGTCCCTCCCTCCCTCCGTCCCTCCGTCCCTCCGTCCCTCCCTCCCTCCCTCCCTCCCTCCCTCCCTCCCTCCCTCCCTCCCTCTCTCTCTCTCTCTCTCTCTCTCTCTCTCTCTCTCTCTCTCTCTCTCTCTCTCTCTCTGACTGCAGATACAATGTGACCAGCTGCCTTAAGCCCCCATTGCCATGACTGCCCTGCCACGATGGACTGTACTCTCAAACTGTGAGCTAAAATAAATTCTTTGGTCTTCAAGTTTCTGTTGCCAGGTGTTTTGTCATGGCAGTGAGAAAAAACAAACAAACAAACAAACAAAAAACAACGCAGGGACTACATAAGCAGTTGAGTAGAACAAAGTCCTCAGAAATTGCTTCAACCTCCTGGTGTCCTGTGACCCTTCCTCCTTTTCTAGCATGGGGAATGGACTTCACATTAATTCATTAAAAATGCCCCCAGGTTACGCTCTTGGAAGAAGTTAGGGAAGCCAGATTGGATAAATCAGTTAATAAAGCCTTCTTGTTAGCCCTCCTCATCCTCCGAAGTATTGGGATGACAGGCATGTGCCACCATGCCTGACATATGGCGGTGCTTTCAGCTGAAACCTTCAGTGGGTGAAGTGCCTGTACCAACTGGTTTCTTTCCAGATGTGAGAATGGCAATGACCACAGCCACTGTTTCCATACAAAATAGTAAGGTGGCCCACCATGAACAGACAGACATATTAATTCAACTTTGTCTGTACATGCTATGCGTTCACACACTATGCACAGTTCCAGTTTTTAGGCAGGGAAACTGTGGCCCTGGGAGGCTAAGGAAAGCTACCCAAGTTGACACAGAGTGAGTGACAGGGCTGGGAACCTGGTAGTTTAAGCACCAAGTGTGTGGTCCTGAGGGTTGCACTACTCAAGGGAGAGGGCTGGGCCCATCCCTTACCTGGTAGAGGCTGACATACTGTTTCCGAAGCCACTGCTGTCTTTGGTCAGGGAACTTCCTTATCTTTCTCACAGCTGTCGTGAGTTCCAGCAATCCACTGAAAATCATCTTAGCTGTGTGCTTTGGTGCCACAAAGTGCAAGAGTCTATTGTCAGTGGTCTGCAGTCCATAGAGCAGTGTTACCCCAGTCTCGGAGAGAAGCAGGCTACTCAGTTTGTTCTGAACACACACAGTGTGTATATCAATGCCCGGGTGTCCCATGTACACAGCCTTCACCGAAAACAGGTCCAGGATACCCTCGGCCAGGCCACTCAGCCCAGGACTGCCCACTGACGGGAACTTGCCAGGTTCAGACATATTACTGAGCACACCAAACTTGGGTCTGGCACCAGCTGGGGAGGAGGTGGGAGGCTTCATCCAGGTCAAGGTGCTATTGTCAGGCTGTAACTGGAGGAAGCAGCGGGCAGAGAGATGTGTGTCCTGGTCATAGTGGATGGCTGTGGCCCCCTGCAATAGGAACTGGTGCACATCAGCTTGGATGGACAGCACGTACCACGGGATGAGCTCTGTCCCATGGTCAAAGGCCTTCTGGGACTCCTCTGATCCATGAAGGTCGCATTCTTTGGACTTCTCAAAGATGTCATTTTCTGAATCCAGAAAATCTCCAATTATCAACCTGATGGAAACAGATACCAATTTGCTTTGTCTGATAATCAGAAGGGGACCAACACAAAGCCTTTTCTTCACACACAGTGACAGTGTTTTCATCCGGTTTTGAATTCAAACAAACATAGGAAATATAAAATGCATACACCATAGGGTAATATATTTATAACAATATTCTACAGTCTTATATTTATCAAGGTGTCTGATCATAGGCATGCTGTTAATGATCTTGACAGTTTTGAGAAGCACATCTTGGTATTTTGCAGAAAGTGATTAACTAAGATTTGTCTGGTATTTTGATCAAAGTTAGACTAAGATTATGGGGATGGGTGAGGAATGGTACAGAGATAAACCACCATTATTATTACACTTTATAAACTGCATATACTTCCAACATGGCAACCCAGTGATGCTGACCTGAAACATGACTGAGGCAGAGTTTCTCATGTCCCACCCTATTGTTATTACTATTAATTAAAGTTCCTTTCCATATATACTAATTGGAAGCAAGTCACTATGTCCAGATTACACTGAAGGAGAGCATGGCATGTTCTACCTCTTAGGGAATGGAGAGGCTATATAAATTACACTTTTGGAATTCTTTGGCATGGGAGTTTTATCTCCTATCCCCATTAGTCACATTTACATGTCAGCTCCTTACTGTAGGGATTTACTGATATTTAAATAGCGCTGTAAGTGGGTTATAACTTAATACTGCTTCATTTTGTTGCTTTGGCCACTAGGAGCTCCTTTGGCATGTGCTTCTTTCATAGACCCACATTGGTTTGCTTGGATGAGTTGCTCTTTTCATTGCGTCTTACTACTTTGTAGCACTATAGGACACCCCAGGCTCACACGTCCCTGCTCTAATCCTTGTATCAGCCATTTTCTCAAAGGACTTTGCTTCTTTGTACTGAAGAATGGTATTAGAAACCATTTTTTGAGTGCTAGGTACAAATACATAAAATTTCATGCACTTTTCCTTGAAGTTCCATGTTATAGTAAAAAAATTAAATAAAAAGAAATTACTGCATGGGTAACGCAGCATACCTCTGCAAGTGCTCTCAGTGACAAGGGAAGAAAGGAAACACTCATGTTCATCTCCACAGTTGCCTCATGCCTCACACACTCTACATAGATCTGCCACCTGTGTTCTGTGTGATCTGGTCAGAACATTCAAACTCCAAGCCTCTCTCCACTTACCTACTAAACGGCAGGAGGGAAATGGTCACCTCACAAAGTAGGGGTGGCTATCAAACAAAACAAAGATTACAAGTGCACACAGCCATGAGTCTGGCTCAGTAAAGGGCACTGCTATGATTAAATGTAAGGAGACCAGACATTGCTCATTTGAAGTCTTCTCCAGGCTGACTAGCAAACTGTTTCCCTAGAATGGCTTCCTTCAGGGATCATGTCTAAGTGTCTCTCTGGGGCCACTACCACATTCTTTCTGTGATACTCTGTGGTAGTAAAAAGGCTGGGGTGAGGTGGTGGTGGTGACACCAGTAATTAGAACACGAAGGAGACTGAGACAGGAGGATCGCCATGAGTTTAGGTTAGTCTGGGCTACATAGTAACTTCCAGGACAGTCTGAACTACAACAAAAAATCCATTTTTAAAAAATCAACCAACCAACCAAAGTTGATAGAGATTCAGTTTGTGAGCATTGGTACTGATTAAAACATAACCCGTTAGTTTAAACATAGAATTTCTGATTTTAAGTTAACAAAATTTTGCCAGTGAAAAACTACAGGTATTATGGGATAAAAACATCTAGATAGAAAAAAAAGATACAACTTTTCTGGAGGCTGTTTCTGTTTCTCTAGATGACATAAGCTATGTGTATGGGGGGCAGGGCTATCTTTCTTGGCATCACTTTGTATTTTAGGATACAAAAGGAACTAATGCCAGATGGCAATAATTCCATTAGAAAGCATTCATCCAGGGGGTAATTTACAAAATAAAATTGACAATTGTTTGTAATGAAATAAATTCATTTCAAGCAGGAAGCTAGTGGTATCCTTAGTCTCTTAGACGGCAGAGTGGATTTTGTGTAGTTCTGAGCCTGATTCTCCTGGAGACAGTTTTCTGTGGGATTATGAGAAGGGAGAAAATAGAAAATTAAGATTTATTTAGAAATCAAGCAATATTAACCAAGATCAAAGATGTGGTCAACCAGCAAAGAAACTACCTCACCCTTAGGCATGAAAACTGAAGGAAGGTTTTTACCCTGCTTTTCAAGAGCTTCTTGGTTTCCTGCATGAGAAACCAGAGATCAACAGCTGAACATTTTTCTATGGAAATCTGGTGAAAAAAACCTTATATTAGGTGACAGAAGGCTGTTTGTCAACCTGCTTATGTATTTTCTTTTAAGGGTTCTTTGTTTTTTACAAATTTACAATGACTACTTGAATATGAATCACCAACAAATAAAACCTAAATTTTATGTTTTAAAATAGGAGAAAATCACCCTCACCACATGATTTGTTATAGTTGTTCCCTGTAATAAAAAAATCTACCGTTTTAAAGTTTTAAAAAATAATTTGTGCTTTTAACTAACCTATCATTTTCCCCCTCAGCTATAATCAGTTAAAAACATGTATTTCTAAAAGAGACCTGTGGTGGCTCATCTTATGTCACCTTGACACAAGCTAGAGTCATTTGGGAAGAGGGAACCTCAGTTAGAAACAGCCCCCAACAGCTGTGGGCAGCCTGTGGTACATTTTTTTGATTGATGATTGATGTGGGAGGGACCAACTCACAGTGGGTGGTGCTGTCCCTTGGAAGATGGTCCTGGGTGCTATAGGAAAGCAGGCTGAGCAAGCTAGTAAGCAGGATTTCTCCATTGCTTCTGCATTAGTTCCTGCCTTGAGTTCCCTAGATAAAGAGTGCAGGTTCTAAGCTGAAATAAAAATTTTCCTCCCCAAGTTGCTTTTGGTCATGGTATTTTATCATAGCAATATCCTAGCTAAGATGAGAGCTGTTTCAAGTCCACAGAACTAGGTATGAAGAGAAGTCAAGGGTTAGCTCCTTTCCAGTTAAATGTCTTTAATACTGCTGGGCAGGAGTTCCTGCTCAGCCTCAGGTCCCCTGGCCTGCTAGTTATCATAGGCAACTGACTTCAGCTTCCTGGGTACCACTTCTCCCCCTTAGTCTTTGAGACACAGTCTCTCACTGAACCCCGAGTTCACCAATCCAACTACGGTGGAAGGTCAATTAAGTCCCTGCTTCCAACTCTTCAGGTCTGGGATTACAGGCACACAATGCTGTTGTTGTTGTTTTACCCTGGGTGCTGGAGAAATCTGAACTCAGATCTTCATGCTAGCATAGCAAGCACTTTGTCAACACAGTTATTGCTCCAGTTCCAGGCCATTGGCTTTTTATGATCCCTTTTCTGGGGTTTCTGGGGGTGTTCCCACTGGTTTTCTGGCAGGAGCAGGTGAGGGCTTTGAGAGGAATTCTGATGCCCTCCCTGCATGCTGGGTAAATGGAAGGACCATGAGATAGACTGCTTGTTTCCCTGCTTTCCCCTTCTCCCTCTTTCCTTTCTCCCCTCCTTCCTACCCTTTTCACCCAGTTGGGCGCTGTGGCATGAGCAGGGCTGAAGGTTATTGTTTAAACTCAACAAAGCCCACTTCTTTTGTCCTTTAGGACCAGCAATACATTGTGCCTAAGACACCCTGAATGGAACATTTTCACAAGGTGCTCTGGACTGAGGTAAATAAGGAAACAGTGCTTACTGGGCTCGCTTCAGTGACCCTATTAAATCCTGCCTCCTGGCCATATCCAAGGCTTCTTTTTGGAGTAGCAATCACTTAAGGGCCAGGAAACCACTTCCACTACTTAGGCACAAAGGTCTCAAAGTGAGGATTTCAATATGTCTTCCCAAGCTTTGTGAAATAAATATTTGCATCTTTGTGGTTTCCTTCCCCGATTCTCAGGATGCTTACAACCGGATCTGGAAAATGGGCAGTGGAAGGGAATGTTCTTAGGCTATAGATGATTAAATGATGAGGAGGAAGACCAGGGAAGAAACAGAAAAAATGGAAATAAAAACGTCCCAAGCAGTAGCTTCCGTGTCAAGTGGCAGCCTAGAAGCTACCTCCCTGTGACCCTTGCAGAGGTGTCAGGATGAGAAGAAAGGGGACCATTACTAAGAAAGGGAGGAAGAGCTTTGTAAATCCACACAAGGCTGCTGAAAGGTGTGGAGAAACAGAAGAGTCGCCATGCGCAGGGCTCCGTGGCGCGGAGGCAGACACAGAAACGTCATCTGAAAAGCACATCACCAGGTGGCTCTGGAGAGAAGAGACTGGCAGTCCCGCCCCCGACACCCATACTTCTCAGGAGCCTCACCCAGTTGTAGTCACTGAGAGAGCGGCTTCTTTGGTGGAAAGAGTGAGCAGCTGAGGAGAGTTCAGCCAGCTCAGAAAGGCCCTCCCATCCCGAGGGAGTTCGTCATTTAAAACTTGGCTACCCGGGAAACTACAGACTGGGGGAGAATCACAAGCCAGGGAGCCAGATTCAACTGGCCTTACCCCCAAGAGTGAGAGACAGTCCCTAGAGGCAGTGTAGAGAACAGGGCCGAATGCTGACAGACAGCAGAAGGCCAGGAAGTGAAGTGTTTAGGAAAAGGAAGTCCCACCCTCAGTGGCTGGAAGCAGAATTCGTCCACTGAGGACCCTTCTGGACTTCAAGAGCCTTGAGCCCAAGGTCATCAAGTAAAACAACCTCTGGAGCTACCTTGCTACCTTGAAGCTGCAGCGACCCCTTATATCTGAAGCTGCATCTCTCCAGTGGGGAAATTAAACCCGAGCGGACTCTGAAAACATAAGGACAGATCCACCTGTATAAATCTCAGCGGAACAGTTCTTTCTTCTACTCCCAGGGATCTTGGGAAGAACCTCTGAGCTAGAACTAGGATAGAACCTGCCTAGTTCATAGACTGCAAGGCTAAGTGTGGCCAGCAGAGGCCCGTGGTGTGCACAGAAGGGAAGCTACCAAGGTGAAGTC